GGAAGTTCGGATTTTTTATGAGTATTAAGAATGCATCATATGAATAATTTTGGAGAATATAATTTACAGAGTATTCTGCAAGGGTATATCAACTTCGGCTCCGCCCGAAGTTAGCTTTCCTTTCTTGTTTTTCTTTCCGTTTGCTGTTGCGCTTTTTCGCTGTTGCCTCCTGGCGAATCCCTGTTAAAGCTTCATTTTTCCTGTTCCGCTGTCCGTTTGAAAATGTCTTTGTTGTTGGCTCGCTTCCCCACCTGATCTCCTTTAAGTGCTCAGTCAAATTTAATTTCTTCGACTGTTTATCTTTGGTAAGGGGCCGGCTTTGCGTCTCACCAGGTATCTTGACGGACATCAAAAAAGCCGGTCCGCCCAATTAGGCAAATGTTTCCATCGCAAATAGGCCGAAATGGCTTGATGCCAAAAGAGAAAAATGTATACAATGTTATACTTGTTTGTACAAAAACATTATAATTTTTCGTCACAAAATTTGAAACCAGAAAGGTGCTTTCGTCACAACTTTTGCTTTATATGAGAAGTTATTCTTTCAAACTTAAAATTACTAAAATGTCAGACATTTAGTAATTTTAAGGAAAAGGAAAGATCGGACCAAATCAGCTTAATTTTATTGTATTGTAATCATACAGAAAATAATAATAAATTCTAATAACTCGTATGTTTTAGTTCTTTTACCAAAACCATATTTCGTCCCCTATTTAGATATCAAAGTCTTTGGTAAGAAGATCATCCAACATATATTTTCAAAATTTTTAATATGATTTCGGCAGCATCCATTAACATTTTCTTAAAATCTTTAATTTTATTTAGAATCTTTAATTTTATCGCTTTTCCGTATTGTTATGTTACTTATTAAGAGAATTTCTAGAATCATTTCAGGTTCAAATGAATACATGATTTTAGTATCAAAATGACAAAACCAATTTCCTTATTTCCACATTCAAAAATAAAATTTTTTTTTAAGAAATTCTAGTTTTTAATGAAAAGGAGTTTATTGATGATTGACACGGGTATTTAAATCTGGTTCCTTAAAGATTATTTTATTAATTGCGTAAAAAGCTGCTCGCAGCATCACAACAAACTCTGCTGTGTTTTGAAGCTCTTAGCTGATCATGTATGGATAGAAATTAAAAAATTTTTGGCGACTATTACATTTGAAGTTTGATTTTCCACTTCGGTAACTGTGCCTCGTCCGCAATGAAAACGCTAGTCAAATCCCTAACAGAATATAACCTGCATAATATCTTCCTGCTGGCCAAGGAAAGTGCTAGAAATCTGCAGCAAAGTAAGATCAGGCTGACAAAGTTGGCTCAGGAACTTGGCCAGCGGGAGATTGATGAGCATGAGCGGGCCGTGAAGGTGTTGCGCTGAGATAAGACACAGCTGAAATGGAGCTCCCTCCCCTCCCTCTCCACTGTACAAATGCGGCTAATTGGAATCATTAGCCGGGCCAAAACAAACACTTACAGACAGTTGGGAATCATAGACAAATTTGCGCAAATTTCGGGCAGTTGTTGACACCTCCCGAAATGATAATCCGGCGATTCCCCGGTTCCTGCCTGTCGGGCAGGCCAATAAATCATCTGGGCCGCCGGCAGACGGCGAAGAGAATTGGCTTAAGTGCGTTAGGAAAATCAACGGCGGCTGTCTGTGGCAGCAGGTGCTCGGCTTCTCAGGCGCCCTGCCACCGCAGTAAATATGTGCCCCATATTGAGGCTCTGAAACTGAACTCGCAACTGAACTGAACTGAGAGGGCCTAAAGCTGTCTGCGGATGTTTGAGCTTCGCCCGCGTTTTTGTTGCATAATTTTCGGGGCTCTGGCCAAATACATTTTCATTTGTTTGCCCATGTTTTTTGCCCGGTTTTGTTTTGGCTACGCCTTCGCCGTGTTTGGGCTGCTCCTGCTTCCTGTAACTGCGTGTTCCTCTTCCGCGGAATTCCGGTTCCGCTCCGCGCCCTTGTAGCTGCCACATTGTCTGCCAGCGACATTGTTCGGATGGGAAATTTAAGGCATATTTCTTGGCGCTGGGCCGCGGGAAAAATGGCATAATAAATAAATCTACTTTGAATTAGCGCCATTTACTTTACATTTATTCTCTGCCGCCGTGCAATTTATAGCGCTCAACGCACTTCTCCCCTCACCAGCCTTCATTCCCATTTTTTTTATTTGAAGATATTTTCGCGTTTGTTGTTTCTGTCGTTTCAATTTGGCGGCGCGTGCTTTTTGGCTAATGAAGTTTTGAGGTTAGACAGCAGGAAAATGGGGCTGCCTCGAGGTGTGCAGCTAAGTGGACACGAAATGTGGCTCGCTTTAAAATACATTTTGGGAATACATCAGACTTATTTCAGCGAGAATTAAGTTTCCGTCCGATTGCAAATTGTAGTAATAATTTATGAAAAAACGTTTGGTATTATCATATTGATAACAATTTAATTAAATTCCTTAAAAAACACCTGAAAGAACTTCGTTCTTAAAAAACTAGTCCCTCAGTTATAAAGCAATTTGACGAAACTTGGCAAAAAGTCTTCTTTCTATTGCAGGTAGTATATAAGTATATAGAATTATCAATTTCAGATATACAAGTTTTTAAGCATCGACACCTAAATATATAATATTTTCACAATTTTAAATGCTTAAATGGAATGGCACGAAAAGTTAAAGACTTTATGCTTGGTAAACATGTTTACATTTTTATATTTATGAAAAAAATGGTGTTATTGTTAGGTAAAAAAACCTATTTTCGATGGCTGGTGTGGTATACGCTCACAGAAAAATCGGAAACACAAATAGGATTATGAGTTTGGAATAAAAAATAACAAACTTAATTTTTCTTTCTTTTCTTTTTTGTATTTAAAACACAATAAAACATAAATAAATCAGCCCGAGCATGTATTTTTTATACGAAAACTTTTCTTCGAGATAGTTCGCTAAAAGAATTGAAAAGCTTCGTCTATTCTTCTTTAATTAGGGCCATGATTTCTATTCTATAAATTAATATTTCTTAATATTATAAATTCAATCAAAAATATATGTAAGCAGTTTTTTTGTTAACATGCAAATAATATAATGAGAGCAAAATAAAATTAGCAGGTTTTTAAATGTGTGGTATAACCAAGATACTTTCTGTCAATGGGTTTAATGTTCAACTATAATTTCCAAAAAATTCTTCTATATGAGCCTTGACTTGAACTTTTTCAAAAATGCAGTTGTTTTGAGGCTTCTAAATTGCAACACAGTTGCCGGCAGTCTCGAGGTGTCCATCACAATCCCCGAGTTCCAAGACTTTGCTCTTCCCTTCGTAAGTCTCGCTGTGAATCTTTCACGGTCACGTCGTATTGCCTGCAAATCACGTCATACTAGGCACAAAAAGAGCAAAACGGACAAGACCAGAATAGGGAACTTTTGGGCAACTTTCGGAACACTTTCATTCGGTTTTTTTGGAGCTCAGACTCAAGTTGGGGCACGTAACGGTCCCTCGAAACATTTGTTGGCTAGCTCGATGCGTTTTCCATGTCTGCACATGGACCGAAAGCCGCAAGAAGCGAGGAATCCACTGCCATGCTCTGGGAAAATGGGAAGTGACGGGCGACTGCAAGTATGCAACACAAAATATTACAAACAGCAGCCAGACCAAGTCGCACACAAAAGTTGCTCTCCATCAGTTGATTTCTGCCTGCTCCCTCTTTCCCGAATCTCAAAACAATTTCTCCAATAGACGTACAAGAAATCGAATTTATTGCTCACTCTTATGCGTTTGCGGAAGCCACAAAATGTATTTGCATTGCCAGCCAGCTGCGACAGATGTGGGAAAAGTCGGAAAATTCGGAAAAGTCGGTAGAGTCGGAAAAGCCGGAGCAGCCGCCTCCTGCCCAGTTAGCATGTGCTATGCTTTTATTAAAATGCAAACGCTTTCGACTCGAGAAGTCGCAACACGAAAATTAATTGAAAATTCACTGCCCGTTCCCTGCCTCGGCCTTAAGTTTTCCTCAGCTCCATTTCCACACACACAGCGAATGGGAATCCATTTGCGCTATTGACTCGACTGTCTGCACGCACAGAGACACGCGTTCAAGGTCTCTCCGGTTATAGATGACAGTATTTTATGGCGCAGCCGGAGTGCCCGGAAAATGCGGTGCAGAAGTATGTGTGCCAAGGTGCCGGGCCAAGTGGAAATGGAAATCAATATCAAAACAGTCGGCGACTTGGGAAAGTGTCAATGGCTCATTTCTGTATCGAAAGGAGAGCTCTTTAACAAATTGCAGCTTTAGGTGAGCACTGCTATTTTGCCGAATTTAAAAATGTCAGTAATTAATTTAACATTCATTTTATTTTGATAAATTTGTGGATATATTGGTGTGTTAATTAACTTATACGATTTATACGCCCATAAATATGTACCAGCTGAATTTCCCCAAGGCTGGCCTGCAGTTCGTATTTCCACATTCTAAACGCGAGCTCATAAAAGTAAATCTATTTACCCATTTGCCAGCATTTCCTAAATATTTTATGACGCGTGCCCGAAAATGCAATTCACCTGTTAGCTGCGGGAATTGAACCCCTTTTTCCCGCAATCGATTTCAGCTGCTCCACCGATGCAGCTGCACAAAAGTCAAATTGCAACTTCATTTTGTGGCTGCGAAAATTACAAGCTGAGCGCCTGCAAAGAAAGGCGCTGAAAAAAGCAACGACCCTAAAATATTGGAAAAGTTCACCAAACGAGAAGTTTTTCTCCCTTGGTATTCTGGGCGCGTTGGGTGCGGTTTTTGGGGTTTAAAGCTTGCCAATTTCAAAGAAGTGCGGACGAGCCGGGGTATCTGTTTATATTCCTTACACACTCCTCACCGCAAATTGAATTTGCACTAAGGATAACCAAGCCAATATTAACTACCTCTCTAAATGTATCCGTCTCTTCGTTCCATCTCTCCTGCCCTGGATAAACTCTCAACGCTTTTCATGCCTCGGTGGCACTCGGAATGAAATCTCGCAGCGGAAATGCAAAATAAGGATGAGCTACTTGAAGACATTCGCGAGGATACGGTCGTCAATGCGATTCCCGAGAAAGGTAAGTAACTTGCTGCCCCACCTCATCCCCATCCCCCGATTGCCCATGTCGCCCAACTTGAATTTCCATATTCTCGGTTTCCAAAAGATTTGTGTATCCCTGTGACAGGACTCATGCACATTAGCCTAGAACGCATGCTTTAAGGACACGACGGTGCTTTTAGGTGCTTAATGCCAGCAATTGTTTATGTATTGTCTTGATTGTTTCCGTTGGATTATTTGAAGGTTGAAATTATTAATTTATTTATAATTGTGTGATTTGGTTTCATTCATTGTGCTAGTATCCACTCAACTAATACAAATTTGTTTATTTACCGCTTTAAATGTTGGAAACAATGGCCACTATTCATTAGAAATTCGGCTATTTTAAAGCTTTTCAAATTTAATTACGTATAAATGAATCGCCACTTAAACTATTAAACACTACCGTTGGTAGACAGCTTTTATTTGGTGTAATTCTTAAATGCACATATATTTTTAAGCCTGAACCATCTAATGCTCTTGTTATGTATATATATATTAATCAATTCATCGAAGCAGGATAAGTATTTGGTTTGGTAGGGTGGGTTACAAAACTAAGCGTTACTTTTATCACCGACGTCTGCTAAGGATTTATTTTTATTTATTGGGTTATGTGTAAGATGTTATTAGAAATTGTTTCATAAAATAAGAGCTAAATTCCCTTTGCTTTAGGTAACGTATTAAGCAAATTTTTTGAATAATGTTTCCTTAAATATTTATTGTAGAATTCTTTCAATAAAAAATTTTTAGGTCATTGTTTCCTTAAAGTTAGTCCTTTACAGAAACTACTAAAAAAAGGATTAGATTAAGTTGGTATTTATATTTCATTTTTTAGTTTCAGCGCAATGCTATGTAAATGTAAGTTTGTTCAGAGAGAATATAAAATATTTAATTTAACAGAAGTTAATCATAAGAATTAAAAAATATTGTGTTGCTGGAAATATTCCATCTCAGCACCCGTAGGTAATTCATTTTTTTTTAATGTAATTTTTTGGTTGGGTGACACTAATATATAGCCGTATAAGTGAAAATCTGTTGTGATTGTCCGTTCGGAACGAGTAAAGCAAACCAAGACTTAAGACATAAAATCATTTGTCTTAGGAAAAAAAGCGGTGAAAGTAAAAATTAAAAAAAAATGGTTGCATTCTTTTTTATACGTTTAAGAGTTATTCAAAAAACATAATTTTGAGACTCTTTTCAAAATTAACGAGGACGGAAGCTAACTTCGGCAAGCCGAAGTTTTAATACCCTTGCAGACTTTGCCGAAATTGCTAAAAGTGAAAAAGTAGCGAAAGGAATAAGGTATACATAAGTAAACTAGATTTGCATCGTTTCAAGTCAATTGCTTTTATACTGCAAAAATGTCATATACAAATAGAAAAAAACGCCTTTAACAATTTTTCCTATCTCCTTTAAGATATAGATTTCCGAGCGGCAAGCGCTTTTACCCTAATCAAGATATGCGTAATTAAATAAGAATTGGAAAAATTTATGTTAGTAGCTTACACACTGCGCGAAATATCCTAAAAATCATTAAATTTTAACCGATTTTACCCTTTTGTTCCTATGGGAGCTATAGGATATTGACGTCCGATCCTCACGCGCTTTTACCCTGATCAAGGTATGCATAAAAAAATACGATTTGTAAAGATTAATGTCAATAGCTTTTACACTGCGCGAAATATCTTCCATTCTTGCTAGTTATATCCGATTGTTCCTATGGGAGCTATAGGATATAGACATCCGATCGGGGCGGTTTTCAAACTTGATCTGCGTACACTTGTTTTAGGACGACTGTAAAAGTTTCAGATCGCTAGCTCTTAAACTGAGCTCGCAAACGGTATTGAAACAGACGGACAGACGGACATGGCTATATCCTGATCAAGTATATATATACTTTATAGGGTCGGAAACGTCTCCTTCACTGCGTTACAAACTTCTGACCAAAATTATAATACCCTCTGCAAGGGTATAAAAAATTATTTTATCTGTGCACAAGCATCAAATTGTGGGTAGAGGGTCCTAAAATAATGGTTCGATTTCAAAAGCCTACAGCTTTTACGTTTTTATAAATGTTATACTTAGTTTTGACATTATATCTCAAGATATCAATTATATCCAGAAGTTTATTTTTGAGTTCACATTTCACCAGACTTAACACGACCCCGGTGATTTATTTTTAGCTTCGAACTTCTATACCTTCTGAGATATTCAAATTTTGGTATGCCACACATTTTTCTCGGAAAATAAAAAGAGCAACTCATTTCAGATCTGTAAAATTAACATGATGACGACTCCTATTAGTGCCTTATAATTAAAGATATATCTTATAAGCATAAGCAAGTTAACTATCGACAAAATTTGAATTTTCAGATAAAATCAGGGGTCACAACTGCTTGTGTTGCTTTTTTGGTTAAATAGGAACGGCTTCTCGTCATGGTTTTGGGAAACTTTGACGGAAAATAAAATAAAAACTTATGATATAAAAAAGACCAGGTAAAAAAGTTGTGCCGAAAGTCGCACTTCCAACATACAAAAGTTTTGATATTATGTGATGAAAAATGGATAAACAATCCATCAAATAAATACACCTTCTAAAACTTTTTCATTCAGCACGCTGAAAAATTAAACATTTTTCTTTTTTTATAGTCGTCAAAATCAATGGATTGCGCCAAAAGTTAGAAAATTTAAATGCATTCGAATTTGACCAATCGCGTTAATTGGAAAATGTAAAAATATAAATATATTTGTGAAGGGGTGTGCAAAAAGCAACATGCTCGCCCCCTAAATTATCTTATTTATAAAACTACTAAACACAGTTACTACCTCTACCAGTAATACATTGTCTCTAATAAGCTCGAACACATTAATTGAAAGAAGCTCGTTCGCAAACACGGTCAATTGATATTCCAATTATGAATATTAAGACTAATTAATTGTCAAGCCGACGGTCACATCCACCTGGGCCTCAAGCCGTAGCGTTTTTATATCTCTTAAGCTTATCCCCAGTGTCGTCACGTGCTCAGTTCTTGTCAGCCGGCGTCTCCTGCACCTTCCTCGTCCTTCGTCCTTCGTCCTGCGTCCCTCGTTCCCCTACTTTCGACCGGCGCCATTAAGGCAGTCGCTTTCCCCGCGCTTTCCCGCTTTTCTCGTCCCTCGAGTGTCTCTGAATGCGAGTTGCTTTGGCTCTTGTCGCAGTCTTTTTTCTCGCTTTTAAATTTTATTTATTGTAAATTGTATTTGAAACGTGCTGAGGTTCAGTTTTCTCTGCAGAGAAGACGGCGGACAAATGTCAAGCTCGCCCTTGGCATGAATATGGGCTATGGGGTATGGGCTATGGGAGAAAGTAAGGCATGGCTGCACGAGTGTGTGTATCTCGCACACATCTCGTGCGAGTGTGTGAGTGTGTCGTGCAACTTAATAGAGTTGTTTAGCATTTAAATAGCGCCATTTACTTGTTGTTGCTGCTTCTGGATGTTGCTGTTGCGCTTATTAAGTTGGAATGCCAGTCAAGACGGCTTGACTTAATAAAGTTGGCTTTAAGCAGCGGAAGGAAAGTGGGAAATTGTGCCTAGTGAGCTTGAGAAAGTGGTCCATTAGGCACTGACAACTAAGCCAAAGCAGTTTATAATATCAAATGGGAGACTTGCTTGGGCATGATTTAAGGGTATTCAAATTGCATTTGTCCTGGCCACTTTAAGACGTCCCCAATGAGCAGAAGGTAACTGGAAGATAGACAACATTTCGGATGAGTTAGGGGCATCACTTAAGCTGCGTTTTCCTCGAGCCACTAAGCCTCCAAAGAACAGACGCTAAACGGCGATTTGCAATTTCATTCCTCACATCATAAACATTATGCTAAGCACCCAGCGTCTTGGGATCCGCAGGTTTCTGTGGCACATATATCCACTTCAGATACAAAGCAAATGCCCATTAAATCCTAATTTCATATGCCCATAAATCCACTAAACAATCACACTTCCAATCCCAAAGACGGAGCGCAAAATATGTAACAAATTTCCACATATTCACACACGACCGCCTCGCAGAAAGTAGGCCATAAAAGCCCTCACCCACGCAGGCATATCCTTATTGTGGATGTATCAATAAGCGGAGGCGAATCAAATGAGTTGGCAAAAGGCGGCAGACGATGACAAAACAGCATGTGATGGGCCCAGTTGGGCTTTGACGAATCGATGGTTGTGTGATCGAACTTGTTAGTGGGGCTACCCGGCACTCGGCACTCGCCTGCATTATTATTATCAAGTGAGGCGCACGAGAGATACGAAATGCGAGCTGGGAAATGCTCTTTCAGTTTTAATCCCTCGGTGATGCGACCTAGATCACGACTTCGAATTGCTAAAAAATCGGTGATTTGTAAATATATGATTTCTTACCTTTTTATTAATTTAATTACTTTATTATCCTAATGTTAAGTATAAAGGACATATAACTGAACGAATAGAAGGCTATTAAAAACCGCGCTAGGCATTTTTTATTGTCAAATAAAACGGATGGCCGATGTATGACAATGAGAACTGACCTGTGGGGCGAAACCAACCTCGCGCTTTTCTGAAAACGACGACTCATTTTTATTTTTTTTGAAAGTCTATGGCATACACTAACACCTTCTGGGGTACGCCACTTGCGCTGTATGTAATTTTCACAGTGTTGTGCCATGAAAATGCTTTCCACGCGTAGAGCGATTCCCAACCGCCCGTTACCCGAGCAAAAGTAAGGGTATCGTTGACAACTCGAAACGTGATGTTTAGGAAGAGATTAGGCGACAATAAACGGCAGGATGGGGACACACAAAAACGACGAGCACAAAGTTGCCCTTCTCCCGACGTTGCGCATGTTGCCCGCCGCAATTGAGATTTACGGCCGCATCAATAAACATCAAAAAATTCGCCCGCCACTTTCTTGGCCATCACCCTTGCTTATCGCCTTGTTTACGCATTTTAAGTACAAGATTGTTATGTGTTGATTTGCCTTAACCGATGCGTGCCCCGCATATGAGAAAAGGCCTCCGTCTGCCAGAGTTTCACTTGTTTTTCCTACATTTATGTTTTTATTTTATTTTATTCTCGAGCGTATGCGGAGAGCAAACTTCGTTGAGGTTTCTGAGCATGTCAGCGACAAACAAGAGCAAACACAAACACAAAGCGGCGGCTAAGTTTTCAGCCCCGCCCTCAGATTTTCCCCTCCCCTTCGAAAGGCAAACCACAAATCTGTTGCATACTTGCGGGCGCGCCTTTAAAGTCAACGCGCTTTTCCAACGCTCCGCTGAGCATTGGTGTGAGGAGTGTGGGTGTGTGGGTGTGAGGAGTGTGGGTGGCTGCGATCTGGGTGGCAGCGCGGTGGAGGGACTTTGATTGACTGGTTGAGAACTGACTGACAGGCCAGTCTGGGCCACGATTGTTGATGTTGATGTTGACGTGGGTTATGTTAAACAGAATGGAATGGTCATGCTCCCAGCCGCTAATATCCGATCCAAATCAGGGCTCACAAATTAAATTAAATGAAATGCTGCATTCCTTAATTTGCATTCATTTATTATGTGGAGGCTGTCATATAATTGAAAAGTTAAGTTCAGAGTAAGCAGTACAAAGAACACGGGCTTGTACGCCTGGAATTATCTTCAATACAAAGAAACCTGCTTCAGTTTCTTACCCTACGAGTTTGACTTGCATTTCACTAAACTAAGAAAATATTGGTATACATTAAGCCAAATGCCCGATAAATCTTAATGGCTTTAAGCTGTTCCAAGAAAATTAGTTGTAACGGAAGTAAGGACTGATTAAATTAAATTTTTTCAATTCCAACCAAGCACTTGACCTTTTATTTTTTTAGAATATGAGCAAACATTTCCGAACATATATTTTGTCACTGTACTTTATTAATTCCCGTATTTTTTACAAACCTATTTCAAGTTCGTTATATCTACGAAATTACATTTTATCTGATATATATTTAGCATGCTGTTTTGATGGTCGAATTATCTTAGAATCAAGGCTCTTAACTTAAACACAACGAACATAAGTTAAGCTCCCCTATTCTAAGGCAAGTATGACCTTGGGCTTGAATAATTTGGCAACACAATAATTTATTATGGTGGAGTTGGTCTTTTGTCCATTCGAAACAAAGGTAGATACAGATGTTTCAACGGTTGAATATAGGAAACAACCTGATATGTACCTTGTTTTAGATTAGATCGAGAGCCAGTCAGTACTCATTTCTTCTCCTTCCTTGCAGATCTTCCAAAGTTCGGGGAACTCTTGCAGAACGTGACGGTGCCCGTGAGTCGGGAGGCCATACTCCAGTGCGTAGTCGATAATTTGCAGACCTACAAGGTGAGTTTTTATCTCAAAATGGAAAGCCTCCAAGGTCCCATTTTTAATTTTCCCATTTAATTTATTTTAATTTTGTAAGCCGTGTATAAGGTTTATTTTCTCGTTCGTACTTCAAAGTGCGTTCCACATTAAAGGGGAATCAATCTAAGCAGATGATAGTGGATTTTCGTTAGTTTTTTCGTACGCACTTATATTATAAGCACATCATATTTTAGGCACACATTTTTGAGACTAAGTGGCAGATCTACTGAGAGAAAGTTAACGAATATTTTAAAAATGTTTATAATATTTAACAAAACAAATCAATACCAAATTTAACATATAATAAAAAAATTAGACATATCTAAAATGCTTGCGTACGATTTAATTTATCGCCCCATGATTTTTTATTAATGATTTGTCGCGCAAACATTTTAGCATCGTAGTTTAAAAAAAATGTAACCCAAGTGAAATAAATATTAAGGTATGTTGTATTAAAATATTAAAAACAACCATTTTCTCAAAAAAAAGGAAAAAAGATGTCCAAACAAGAATGTTGGACCTTTTGATTCTTATGTAATATAGACTTTTTTTGCATTAAAAAGCCAATGCTTATTAGTTACTTTCATTTTAACGTTTGTGCCAAACAAAAAAAAGGGGTTTCGGAACACCTTGCGCCGTCAGCTTTAACCATTTTCACTTAATCTACTAATGCTGAAAATGTTTGGGCCTAGTTTTCCACCTTTGCGTGTCGTCCTCCTGGTTGAGTTGACCCTTTTGTTGGGCACGTTCCGGGGCCCATTGGTGGTACTTTGTCTTCGTGACACACTAAAAGGTAAACAAAACGAAAAATAAATCTCAATGAATTGCCGAAACGAAAATAGCAAATCCCATACACCACCATTTTGTCGTGCGATTTGATTATATCCAGCCAGGTTATTAGAGCTCATTGTGCTGTATTGTAATGTCCAACGATGTTATCATTATCACTGTTGCGTGGGGCAAACAAGCTGAAAGCTAGTGAAAGTGATGTCCAGTAGTATGGAAGACAACAGTTTCTCTACCTTATAGCTTGAGTGCCCCGTGGAGGTAGTTGAACTCAAAGCCGAGTTTATTTGATCGCCAGAAAACGAAGTCGGAGCGAGAACAACCTCAGTAACCGGTGATCAAAGAGAACTCGGCTCTAAGGACGATCTCAGGTCTTCAGTTGAATTAGATTTGATACCATGTTAGAAGTGTCCCGGACCGTATAGCAATTAGAACTCAAAGCTATGCAATCAGGAATACTCAGAATCTAGCACAAAACTTGAGATTGGTGCGATGGGCCTTCCAGTTTCTTTGAGCTATATTTCATAATACCCCCGATGACAAAGCCGCCTCAAGGAAAGGTCTTTATCAACCCGAGTACTAAGAATATAGAACAACATTGAAATCCATCTAGCATGGGCACAGTTTCCACTAATTCTCATCGGTTAGGCGCATTATCCAAAGGGCTTTTCACTCCTCGGTGACATTTTCCCTGGGCGTAATAAATGAGCTCCGGCCACGCCACTGGGGCATTAGCACTGGGTCGAGGAATCGCTGAACGTTTTAGTTTTACAACTCAAATCTACCCGAATATAAACGACTTCTTTACTCCAGCGTACATTTTTTTGTTATTCTAGATTGCGTGGCTACGTGTCGATACACAGACCATTTTAACGATACAAAATCACGTCATAACCAAAAATCATCGCATGAGCATAACTCACGCCGAGAAACGTGCCTGGATTTTGCGTATACGTGATGTAAAGGAGTCCGACAAAGGCTGGTAATGTACCCACTATCAGGCTGCATATTTAGATATCTGCCCCATGCCTTTTACTATCGCTTAAAGTATGAGAGGGTCGCAAACAGTTCCTTAATTGTTAAGTCTAAAATCTAATAAACAAATCTCGTTTGCATCGTTCGCAGGTACATGTGCCAAATAAACACGGATCCGATGAAGAGTCAAGTTGGCTACCTGGACGTCGTCGGTGAGTATTCGAGTGGGGATTGCGTAAAGCTGGCAAACAGCAAAACAGAGCAAAGCTTGTGAAATGAAATTGATGCATGTAACTCCGAAGGGAGCTCAAATGAATTGTAATTTGCCTTGAGTGGCTCGGCGCTGGAACAAAGTTGCTGTTGATAGTTTTTCAAATAGCACTAATTGCTCAGCCAAGTGGCGATTGAAGGCAGAAACTGGGTTAGGGAAACGCAGTTGTGCAACTTTCAACGACTCCCGATTGGGTTTAATTGCAAAATGAAGAAGCGAGTATTCGACTTAAGCCGAATGCCGTATGCCAACGGGCTTTTGTCGGAAAGTTTTCACTTAGCCAACACATTAGTTCGTTCCCGCAAACGGCGGAGAGCGGCAGGTAATGAAACCATTTACATGCTACGTGCACCTGCACCTGCACCTGCGCCTGTCCCATCCATGTCCAGGTCGTCCATGTCCCGACGTTAATTATTCAGACGGCGTAGACGTCGGAGCGGCACCGAAAAACCTCAGAGCACACAGAGCGGCAGATCCGCCCCGTAGGCGAATTTAAAATGAACATGCCGCCCCGTTTCGGAGCTGGGGTTTTGTGTCTCGTTTCCGGTTGCCTCGCACCGTCCGCATAAGTAACCACTCTGGTTGATTGTGTTTTCATTGATGTTGAAATTCATTAAGGACCCAGTCGTCCGCCCCGATACACTGAGCGCAACAGCGGCTTGCCATGAAATAATTTACACACAACCGCACTAAGTCCATAAGCAAAATGGCAAGCCGCTTTAAATCAGCGCGGATTTTCCAGCTGCCACTGACAAAGTGCTCGATTTTGTGGTGCCCCCACCCATCTCCATCTCCATTTCCATCCGCACACCCCCTCCCCCCTTCGGCAATCCGGGCCACGCGATGGCAACCAACTATTATTGTTGTCGCCGCCGTTGTAGTTTTCCACACCGCGGAATAGGCAAATAAACGGCGGCGCGAAAGTGATCAGAACTTATAAGCCAGTCGCTGGGAAATGGAAAAGGGTAAGCTGATAAACCGAAATTGGCAAAGGCTGTAGAAATGTTGTGACCTCATTTGGGAAAACGCAACGATGTTGACTTACCTAAACATTATCAAGTCTTAATAATATTTATATACATTGAAACGGAAACTTTAAACCAAAGTCTTGAGTTACGTGCCTTTCAGCGGTCGTAAACATTCTATAAAGCAGTTGCTTTTACAGCGGATGTGTTTAGTTAGATTAGTTGACGTCGTTTCGAATGTCCAGTGAAGTAACTGTAATGGTAAAAATACTTTATTTTTATTAATTTGTAACCTTCAAATTTTAGAAAAAAATTTTTTTCATAAATTGAAAATTAGATTATTTTAAATCATTTATTCATACTCTTAAGAAGAAATGACAAGCTGCAGAAATCGAATAAAAGCAATGAAATTCTATTTTGTTATTATTATCTTTGTTTTGGGGAATAAAAATATAAAATATTGTCAACATAACATGGTTGGGCGAAGCTTAAGAATATTCAAAAATAACTCACGTAAAGGTATAGCGCAACCAAACAATCTGATTGAAGTAAGCACCTGAAATATTAATAGCTTGTTGAAAGAAAAAGCCCAAAAAACCTGTCTAGTGCCCTGATTATACTGCAATCTTGTAGTACTAAAACAATTAATGTATAAATAAATAAGACAACCAGAAGGAAAAAATATTAAGAGGTTTAAGAGGACAAGCTGCCAACTAATTTAATCGTTAAATCCTCTTAAAAAAGTCACTAAAATGAAAAATAAGCGAGCAACCGAAAAATACGGTCAGGAAACAAATTTTGAAACAAATTTTCTTATTTTTACTCACAATTTCGGCGCTGAAGTTGTATGGCCTTGTTTTGTCGGCTAGTTTGTTGTTTTTGGCGATGATTGTTTTTGTTAAGCCGAACGATGGACTGGCATGAGTGTGGAAGCCAGCCAGGCATTGAATAATTTATAAAAAGCAATATGTTCTCGCACCGACGTTTTGCCTATGGTTAAATGGGCTTGGTTTGACCCCTGCCGAGGGGTCAGCTCAGAAAATGGGCGAGCTGATTTGAAAAGCGCTTAAAAAATATGAATAAACGATTAAACAAATATCAATTTTAAGGATACCTTTGAATTCGATTGTTGTGGAGGAATAAAGCCAGCTTTGCGGCTGATACTCTTAAAAATAATTTTCATTCGTGTTAGGTTTTATCGCTTTAAGTGCACAAAGTTAGTTTAGGCTCTTATCGAAAATCCCGAAATCAGTCAAACTCATATCTGCCATTTGCCGTCATCTCAATCCAATTGAAATTAATTTCTGTAACGCCAATTTAATCACACACCATTTCACCTGATTTCATAACTTATCAACTCATGCCGCGCACAATAATGGCGGCTAAGAAAAGAAATTGCCAGACACGCCCACTTAGGCCGCCCCCCGATTTGGCCCCTGTGACATGAGTCGAGCTATTAAAGGAAAGTCAACACGGGCTAAGGAAAAGCAGCTGGAGCGGAGCCTACATTCAATTTGTAGGACATGACGTATACAGCTGTGTGTGGGCCGGGTGAAAAGTCAAAGTACATTTTGTAAAACATGCACATCATTGTTGGCATGAAGACTTTGAAGTCACATTGTGTGTGAGTCATAACTTGCGGCAGTGAAGGATATCAAAAGCAATAAAAAATAAAATGCTGTTTATGGAGGAAATCAATTTGGAAACTAATTCTTTTTACGAAAAGTTAAAATGTGAAAATCCATTTTTATGACACATTCTTTGCCCACTTCAGGAAACCTTCCTTAAAAATCTGAAACACACAAAAATCTAACTAGAAAAAAAATGTTTCCCTTCTTGGGCCCATCATCAGGGTCTCTTTATTTTTGGACACTTATTTTTTGCCTTTATTAATTGTTTCTTTTTGGGCAAGTGCAGAATAGTCGAGCGTAAAATTATAATTAATTGCACCGCTGGGCAAAAGGTGCATACAGACACAAAGCTCTTCAGTTTTCTATGGCTTGGAAATGTTAAGTTTTCAGTAATTTGTGAGCTACCTTTTGGTCTGCCATGGGGAAAATAAAAATTAAACATTTGCTTTAATTGTGGATGCCTCTGAACTACAAATAAAACTTTTATCTGAAGACTAGTAACAAATTAGCAACGTTTTAATTGGTGTTCCTGAAAAAGATGCTATTATACAACAGCAGTTTAAACAATTTAATGGCAATGTCTTTATTAAATTGCTCTCTTTCATGTACACACATCTTCATCACCGTCAACAAACTGGAACTGAACCTGCTGCCAACTGTCTGACACCCGGCGAACAATTCCCGCAAACAATTCGGTCGCTGTCCCACGCTGCGTATGAATAATATGCCGCTTTAAAACTTGTATCTCCGCCTACGTGCGCGCACGTGTTTCGGGTCCGCCCACAGTTCCGCCCGACATACTGGACTACCCGACCAGCACCGATATGGTAATACGTGAGGGCTCCAACGTAACCCTCAAGTGCGCCGCGACGGGATCGCCAACTCCGACGATAACCTGGCGCCGCGAAGGTGGCGAACTGATTCCGCTCCCCAATGGCGCCGAGGGTGAGTTGCATGCCACGGGGTTCCTGGATTGGGATTGGGATTGGGGGTATGGGATTGCATGAGCGTGCTCTCGCAGCATTAAATTTCATTACAAAACATTTTAGAGTTACTTTCTCTCCGTGGTAATTAACTCATGTGTGCCGGTGTCAAAGAGGTCGGCAACTGGCCCAATAGTATCAAATCTGAGCTACATAATTTGTTTTACTGCGGCTGATGTAAGTAAACTGGGTAAATTGTTAGTCGCAGCTACATGCTGATCGGCCTGTGGCTTAAACAAGATTAGGGTACAGCACCAGATTAAAATCACTATCGACCAGGAAAAGTTGCAATCAGACACTTATTGCCAAATATATAGGATTTACAGCGAGTAAGTTGGATGTGTGCAATAGAAGGGATCTTATGCCAAAGTTATGCAATTTATGTTTTGTAGCTTAGTTCTGGAATTGTCAAAGGGATTTCGCGTTCACTGAAGCTTGGTTTAAAACTTCAAATTTCTAGCCATGTCCGCATGTTCGTCCGTCTGTTCATTATTAAGCAAGCTATTTGGATGAAACTTAAAAAGTCCATATATCCATGTATTTTTAGCAATTTAAGATATCCTTATATCTAAAATATATTATATTAAAATGAAAAGCCTTGCAGAAGCTTGCTTTCCTTCTTCTTTTATATAGAATAACTATTTAAGATATAAGGTTTTACTTATATTAAAATCAATAGGCTTGCAGAAGTTTGGTTTTCTACTTGTTATATATAGCATTTATAGAATAACACATCATTTGGTAGCTTTAAAAGTATATAAACTTCGACTTGCCAAAGTAAGCTGTCTTTCTTGTTTTAAATTTATATTCATTAATATTTATATGGATATAAGCCAAGAATCAAGACTCTACTCTAGTTATGCGGAGTACAAAATGCAATGCCCTATTACAAGTAATATAAATAAATATTATTTTAAATCTTCATTTGCTAAGAAGGTACATCTTTTCACAAAAGTAAGGGCTAAACTTAGCATGTTCTATTCCGACTTCTTTGCATTATATAAATATTTAATACAGAAGTGGTTTATGTGGAAACTGGGTATCGTATTGTCGAATTCAAAATAGTATGTAGATTTTCCTTGGGGCTGAGGGCGGGAATCAAGATGCCGGAGAACTCCGTGTGAATATGGCAACGAAAAAGTATTGCTGAAATAGATAAGTTTGCCCAGTGGAGCCTCCGATATTAATAGATATTATATTTCCCTCCGCAGCCGTCGCGTTCAACGGATCCTTCCTGACCATCGCCAAAGTGAGGCGGCTGAACATGGGCGCCTACCTCTGCATCGCCTCCAATGGCATCCCGCCAACAGTCAGCAAGCGTGTGATGCTCATTGTGCACTGTGAGTATTCGGGGCGGGGCGGCCCATCAATTTTAGCATATTTAAATATTTATAGTTCTGCGCCAGGACACCGCATGCTGCTCCTGCCGCTCCTGCAGCTCCTGCTGCTTTTGCCACTCGAGGGGGCAGGGAGCAAGGGGCAGGGTGCTCCAGGCGAGACCGCAATGGAAAACACCAGACACAGTCACAGACTGCGACATACACAAAGCCCCACTTGAAATCTTGCCATGCTAAATATGCCCTGCATTTTAATTTTCCAGTGCGAGTGTTTGTTGGGGAGGGGGGTTCCGGAAAATGCTGTATACTTTTAGGTGCCAAGCATAAAGCAAATAATTAAGTGTGTGCTCAGCTCCCCGCCCCCTCGCAGCTAGTTAGCATTTCAGGGCACTTTGCCTGGCTCCTTCTCGCTAATTAAATGAAAATTAAAATTGCTCAACAATTTGTTAGGTAAGTTCACGGCACATATTTAAGCGAGGCTGCCAGAGAAGTTGCTCTGGAGGAATGCTCTTCGGTTATTCAACCACAATTCGGTTCGGTTCGCTTCAGATCGGTTTCGATTGCAAAGCATTTTTTGTGGCTTTGCTATAAAATTAAAAAGCAATTAGTTGGAAACAATAAATGGCAACCGCAGCGAATTGCCGGAATTGAACGGCAGCATAAAGCACTAGAAAAACAATAACGATAACGAACGGAATTTCTCTATAAATGGGAATTCTTTGTTCTTCGCCCGCAAAACACCCGCACACCCACATACACACACACACTTCGCTTCAATCGCTCAAACATTCCACACCTGACGCAGAACTTCGGCCCACATATTTCCCACCACTGACTCCTGGTTTCGGCATTTCGCATTTCTCTACTCCTTTGCAGTTCCCCCCATGATTTGGATACAAAATCAATTAGTCGGCGCTGCCCTCACTCAGAACATAACCCTGGAATGCCAGTCGGAGGCCTATCCCAAGTCCATCAACTATTGGATGAAGAACGATACGATTATCGTGCCGGGTGAGTGTTTCGAAGGACATTAAGGGATGTGACTCTGGGGATAACAAACAGGTCTCACAGTCTTTGTCGGGATAGCGATCAGTAGAGCAGACCTTTGAAACCAATAATTGTAGGCCAAGTTGTTAGAGAAAGACTTTTCCTTAACTCCGCAAAAGCTTCATATTTTAATTGAGAATGTTTTGACAGACACTTCGTTAATGCTCAAAATGAATTTATACACAAATATAGTTTCGTGGTATGTTACTTCGTTTTGTTATCCCAATAAAAGATTGCATTTTAACAGTTTCAAAGAAACTTAAATTATTAAATTGAGCTTGCTTTAGATTAAAGTTAAAGGGGATCCAAAATTCCATCAAATTGATTTACTGAAAGGGCTTGTTTGGAATCCTTGCAAAAGGAATATTCATTTAATAACTATCTCCATTGACCATTACGTGTTCCCAGTTAAACTTCGACAGTGTAAGGTTTCCCTTTGCTCAGCCTCTCATCCAGTTCGTTCAATTTAATTTTCTAAGGGCCTTTAACGATGGATGGGTCCATGCCTTCATTTAACCTCTTCAACTCCCCCACTCATCTTCAGTGAGAAATGGACTGAGCACGATGACAAAAAGTCCTGCAGAGCACAAGTAAAAAAGCGATGAAAAAATAAACATTCAGCCGAACACTCGAATCCGCGGTCGCAGAATAACTGCGGTAGTGGACCCCCCTCCCTCCCCCCGTCCCACCCTTCCACTTAACCCCCTACTGCCCCGTGGACAGGAAAAGGCATCGTCATCGGCATAGAGGCCGGCGGAAAAAAGTCACAGACATGCAGTCGGTACGCTTCCTTTTTCCAGTCATTTTCAAGTTGTTTTTTGCCAGCGGAGAAAATGGGAAAAGTGATTGAAAATGACCTCAAGTCAGAAGCAGTTGCCGGGAACTGTCCGACCGCCGTTGGCTTTTAATGGAGTTTTCTGTTTTAGTTCTGAGATAGTCAGTTGATTTTCCATAACCGCAAAAACCGACCAACTGTTACAGAGAAGCTATTTAAAGAGGCTTGATTAGGCGGCGAAAGTGCCCAACTAGCGGGGAGCAACTAAAATACACTACCCATCTGCTCCCCCCGAAACCCAATTATTTCTAATCAAGAACAGGGCCAAAATCTACATCTCTGCCGGGCCATCACAATGGCATTTTGCTGGGGTAATCAGTCGCCTAGCCGGCATGCATAACAATTACCGAACCTGGACAAAATGTAATGCTCGGCTTAGTGCTACTAAATCTAACCGACATCAAACGTAAATCAAAACCTGCATGACAAACAAAAACGGGACAAGCAACAATACCGAGAGCAGACTGCTTTTTGTATAAATTAAAACGAACCATTTGACAGGGGCAACAGGGTCTGAAAACCCAGCCAGGAGCAAGGTGGATCCATTTGAGCCGGGCTAAGCCGAGCTGAGTAGAGTTCCTCCTCAGTTAAATTACTTTGACAAGAAGCTGTCGAGCAGGGAGTTCAGTTCGAAAAGGGGCACAGTGCACTGCGGTTTCGGGAAAAGGTCCTTACACCGCCCTACGTTTCTGCTTTCAGGTGAGCGCTTTGTGCCGGAAACCTTTGAATCGGGCTATAAAATAACCATGCGCCTCACCATATTCGAGGTGGACATCCAGGACTTCGGGGCGTATCGATGTGTGGCCAAAAACTCCCTGGGCGACACTGACGGCGCGATCAAACTGTACCGTAAGTATTGGCGTAAGTAACAATAACTACATGAATACCATAGCAGAGCCAATAGCAATAACAATAACCGTAGCCGAAAGCCAAACAACAATGGCCATAAGTCGGAGCGCCCTCGGCAATTAGGCGCAAACTATTTGCCCAGCCGATGCTTTTAATTAATTTGAGTCAATGACTCTGCGTGAGCCGACGGCAATGTGTGTTTGCCGGATAGCTTCACAAAACAAAGGGTCTTTCGGAGTTCGAAGGTGACCATTTTCCCAGTGTCAGTGATTGATTTACGAGCAGCAGGCTATTGCGGCCCGAAACCCTTCCTCCACTCTTGGGTAGGGAAAGTGAAACATATGGAAATTTCCAGGAAATTAATGGCAATCCACAAATAGTAGGAGTTGACGAAAAAACTTCATTAAACAATCAAGCCTGTGGGTTTTCTAACTCTAGATTTATCGCTTAGACAAATATCTTTCCAAAATGAGAACACTAAATATCTTTATTTTATATGGCGGCAAAGATTCAGATAATACCTAGTAATACCTCGCATAGTTGGTGCAATGGGAAAATTGATAACTAAAGTAAAATTCGAATCCATTGATTTCAATTAACCTGCAGAATGTTGGTTCTTTGCTCTTAAAGCAGCTGGTTCAGATGTGTTTTCAGCAAAGTTGGGCATCACCGACTGTAATTTAGCTGCCTTGAATCGCTAAACAATCCCTACCTTCCTCCACAGATATTCCCCAGACGACCACGATGACGACAATGGCTCCGACCGTTTCGATCAACACAGTGCCCGTGGTCATGGTGAAGTACAACAAAGGTGAGTAATCCCGAGTTCTTGGGTCCCCGGAAACTAAGCCACATCTCCGAATCGCAGAGCAACGCAACCAGAATGCCAATGGTAACAACAACCCGTACAACTACAACCCCGGCATCGGGCAACAGAACACAAAGCTGCAGCGCGGCAAGTCCAACAACAAGGGCCTGGATCAGTCCTCCTCGGGATTGAACAATGTCTTCGTGGGCGCCACGTCCAGTCTGTGGAACTCGCAGGATCACCTCTCCTCCTCGCGGGGAAGGGATCACCATCAGCAGCAGCACCACCAGCAGCAGCAACAAAGCCACGGTAAGTTGGTTTCCCCTCGGAACCTCCTGGGAATCCGCCTCTTTAAGCCACTCGCAGGCTCAGCAATTGATGGGAAATCCTTCTCTGGGGGCGATGGAGCATACCATAAATATTTCGCCTTTTATTTTATGCTTATGACAAATCATAACGACTTTGGCTGCTTGGCTTAAGGGTCCCTGGCATGTCGTTGTCGCCACTTGTTAGATATAGATACTTTTGGCTCACGCTGCGACAGAACTTTGGCATGAAACCAAGGGAATTGGACTAGCGGATACCGTAAAAAAAATAATACTTTTTGTATGTAAGGAGGCTCTTCAGAAAGCACAAAGGTTTTAATATCACTTATAAGAATGTACAAAAATATGCAACAATACTGTATATTGTGTACGAAAGTCCTATGGATTTATTAGGAATTACGTGCTATTTTTCACTGCATACTTTTAGACACTATTATAAATGGTTTCAAAACGCAATTGATTTCTTTTGCACCCACAAAAATGTTTTTAAACATTCTTTGAAAATAAACGTGAGTATATAACACCTTATTAGTATCATAAGTTCCGATAGTCCAACATACTCCTCCATGAATGGCAAAAGCGTATAAATATTTGGCCAACACATTTTTGTATCTTTTCTTGTCTGTCTGCTGGTGTGTATTTTTTGTCGGGTTGTCAGAGAAAATATGACTTTCTAGCATGCAACGGCAAGGTTTCTGGGATCTATTCGGTCTCCATCTAATCTTCACCCCAGTTGCTGAGTTGACAATGTGTCTGCTATAATGTGCTGCTAATGCGGACCATCGTAATGTACAATCATAATAAATAATAATGGGCTTTTGCTATTTGTTGTTGGCCAAAAGGAAGGAAAAATTTAGCCCGAGGTGCCGATGAAACTATCGAACTGGTTGGTTAAAGCGCAAGTCAAAGTCCCCGTGGAGCAGCTGCCAATCGATAAGCATAAAGTTTTACACTTGCTTTCCGATTTCCCGTTTCCCCTGTTCCTTGTCCCCTCCCCGCCCCTGCGTTTTCCACTTCCTCCGCCGATCACACAATTGGCGACAAGTTCCTTTTCGCCCCTCCGCAAGGACGAACGCATAAAACTTTACAGGCCCTTTGCTGCGATGTGGAAATTTTCTGCATACGCGCTCGACTAAAAATAAAATGCACTCGACAAAATCAAATCGAACAAATTGAATATGAGAGTGGGCGTGGTGCTGCAGAGGGGGGTGCTGCAGAGAGGGGGGCAGCGAAAAGCGCAATATAAAAATAGCAGACAAATTGCACACAAGGCGTCAAGGCGGTAGAGTTGCCGCTGCCCCCAAACTTATCCCGTCGTTTTTGGCAAACGCAAGCAGAAATGTTGCATCCCTCGCAGGATGGCCATCCATTTAAAGGGGGGTGGGTGAGGTGGGTGAAGTGGGGGGTGGAAATGGTTGGTAAATGGGGCTCTTGGATGCGGGTGCTACAATGACGACAACTTTCAAGCGCTGCATGCAACGTCGTAAGCGCTGCGTTTACAGTTAGATTTATTACCTGCTAGATGTTGCACATATCGTGCCAGGAGGGGGTTATGCATAGTGTAGCAGGATAACCACCCACCTCCAAGGGGGTAGGGGGGGTGTGGTATGGTGGCTCGCTTATCGTTGCCGCGTTTTGCATATGTCGCGACTGTTTTTGCTCGGCCGCTGACACTTTAAGGCGGAACAAGCCAGCGACAAGCGAGTTTCATGACCAAAGCGCCCGTTTTGGGCGACATGGCCCCGCCCCCCGCCCACACACATTTATTTGCGGGGACATGGGAATGTGTTAAGCGAAAGTGATGCCGTCACCAGGGATTTTCAAAATTCAATAGGTATTTTGAATTTGAACTTCCTTCTATTTTCTACTTATTTCATTTATGTGTACTAAAAAATTGATTTCCAATTCAAATTATGTTTGCGTTTCATCACATTGTATTCAACTGTGTTAATTGCCCTTTGCATACTTAAAGCCTTTAGCTATTCAATGAGACGAAATTGCATACACATGTTGTGCGCTTGGAAAAAGTAATTGCAGCTGAGGTCGGAAATTAAGCAAACACAATCAATAAGGAGATATTTACTCACCTGTAATAGGACTAGTAATTGGAAAGCAAAAATCCAACTCTAAATGTACACTTCACATCAACGATTCACTATGAAACTTCGAATTCCATCTAATTGCAGTGGTCGGGCTAACTGAGTCCGTTTATCTTGCGCCCAGATGTGCGAACACTTGTCCGCATGCCAATTAAATTCAATTTCCAATTATCAATGGAGTCGAACGGCTCGTTCGCTCGGTCAGCGCTTAGTTCGCCCCAGGCCACAAACCCGGTGTCCCCATTAAGTGCTGCAGATGCATTCGGCTCGCCACTTAAACTGTCATTAAAATGTTGCAATCAACCACAGGAGCTGCTGCCTCCGCTTGGCACTGTCATATTTAATTTGTGCGGCCAACAGGCAAACAATATGGCACAAATTACAAGGAAATGCAATAAAAGAAAATTGCACTGTCCGGGGAGGTCACATGCAGAAATGCAGAACTCGGCCTGCGACTGCGACTCCAACTCGAATCCTGGACGGATGATTACTTCAGCATTCAGTGTCTGGCAATAATTTGCCTGTAATTTGCACAGGCCGGCCGCCCTTGGAGTGAAAAATGATGAAGTAAATGAAATGCAACAGACATCGCGTGCTTCGGAGGGGGGAAAACAGGACCGGGGAGTGGGGAGTGGGGAGTGGGGATTGGGGAAAACTGCACAATAAATATGCCGCATGGCAGCACCAAAGTGAGTCTCGAGTGCTGAGTGCAGGCTGCACTTTTTCTTTCATTTCGCCTAAGTGCAACAGGCTCGGAAGTCGAGGTGTGAAAGCCGCTCGCTAATGGAGTTGTGGCTGAACCCAGAGCTAATCCCCATCCCTGGTTTGAACACGGCTTATCCTGCGGATTGATAGAGATACCAGGTATCATAAGCCGAAGCAGTTTATTTCTATTACCCCAATTGCTCCCCGCGGATCGCCCGGGGAATTATGCAAAAAGACTTAAAGTTTCGAGTAGTTTTAAGAGTGTTCTGTTTGAGCCAAAGCGTTTTGCTTCGGCAAACAGGGCCTTCTTTGCTTTCTCTCCTTTCCGTCCCCCTCCCTCCCGTTTGCGCCTAAGCTCTTTAAGGACACCGCTGGGACTTTCCCAACATCCAACATCCAACCTCCCACCTCCAACCCCTCCCCCTGCTCACCCACACCGAGGCACGCATAAACACATGCTCAAACGTCAATAAAAATCAGCCACACACACATACACACACACACACACACACACAGACGAGTCGATGCGTGTTGGTGTTGTCGGCTTTCACACATGGAAATGTTTGCAGACGCCAGCAAAACAACCAAGGCAACGCCAGCCAGGAATGGCAGCCAAAGGAGTTTTGTGGAAAAGCTGCTTACGGAAAAAAAAAATAAAAAAGCAGGAGACACACACTGGCACAATCACACACCCACACACCCACTCACACACACACACACCCACACATGGACTGGCAAATACATTTCCAGCCCGGTGCAAAGCAATTTGCGCATTTCCGTTATAAAAATAAAAGGGTTCTCGTTAAAAACAATACGAAAAGTCCCTGAATGGACCGAAGGTGGCAGCACCGAAAATGAAGGACCAGCCGTCGGGCCATATTTCATAGTTATGACAAAGTTCGTTTAATGCAATGGAGTTCGACTGCGTCGATTACGAATTGTGGGGTCAAAGGCGATTCACTCGATCCTGTTTTTTTTGCTTTTCCGGCATATTTAGGTGAGGGCTGGGCTCCAAAAGGCAAAAATCATAAAGGTGCTTAAAACTAACATTTTGAAGCTCATGCAATTATCTATGTTCCCAAGCAGTTGGAGAAGTTTGTTTGTTAAGTTTCCACGAATGTTGAGAGAACTGTGTCTATGCACTACTCGACAAAACTTTAAATGCTTTTTCTCAAAACCACATCTTGAAATGCGCCGTACAACCTAAAGCTTCATGGCTCAAATTTATGGTATTTTAAATAAAAGAGCCATAACATGGCGTTTTTTTTTTAATTTTCAGGACAAAAATGTTTATTATTTAATAAGAACCTGATTTTTTTAATGCAATTATGGAAAATCGGTCAACGATGGGTCGCCTTATTTCGCCAATTCGTTTTTTGGTTTTTTTAAATGGGAAAAATTACAATAAATGTTCATTCGCAAGTGTCCGAAAAAAGCAATTCCAATACATATTTTTTAAAATTTCAAATAAGCTAGTTTTGTTCGTTTCTAAAAAATATTTGTGTAAAAATGTTGTATTATCTATTTGGATGGCGCTGCTACAGCTTCTTACTGACTGGTTCAATTACGACTCCAAATATAGTTTAGTGACTTTTATTTGAAACGGAAAAACATAAGATTTTGTGGTTTTACATCTTCTCTCCCGGAAGCTCAAAAAGCAAAAGCGTGCCCCGATTCTTTTTCTGCAGTATCGATATTCTAATATCAAAAGATTTGCAAACAGATTTAAAAAAGATAATGCTAACCTAAATAAACTAAAATAAATGTTATATGTTTATGCATAACTGTTGTAGACATGACCACTCCTTGTTATACCCGTTACTCGTAGAGTAAAAGGGTATATTGTATTCGTGCAAAAGTATGTAACAGCTAGAAGGAAGCGTTTCCGACCCTATAAAGTATATATATTCTTGATCAGGGTCACTAGCCGAGTCGATATAGCCATGTCCGTCTGTCCGTCTGTCTGTCCGTCTGTCTGTCTGTCCGTATGAACGCTGAGATCTCGGAAACTATAAAAGCTAGAAGATTGGCATTTTGCATGCAGATTCTAGGAGTTCCTACGCAGCGCAAGTTTGTTTCAAAAAGGTGCCACGCCCCCTTTAACGCCCACTATCGCTTATATTCGATTTTAAAAATTTAAATATTTCGGAAAAGTAAAAATGCAGTTTTATTGTGTTTATCAATACCTATCGAAATGATCTCCATCTCCCTCGCACTCCCTTTACCTGAGTAACGGGTATCTGATAGTCGGGGCACCCGACTATAGCGTTCTCTCTTGTTTTCCTTTCTTTTCCCACATGGGATATAAATGTCAAATACATTATGCGAACGGACTGAATGGACTAAAATGCTTTGTAATATTATTATTTAATTGTCTTATTGCCCAACTCTTTTGGTGTTACTACAGCAGACTTGGACTATACTAAAAAAATTAGTTAGCAATGATTTCTTGGATAAAAGCAGGTTGCGGAGTTGCTACAGTGGCGGCAATTTCCCACTCTCCCACAAAAAACTTTAACGTTTTATTGATATTTATTATTTATTTATATTTTATTTTGTGCTGAAGCTGGAGCAATACACCACAAACTGACTGTAGTTCGTAGAATGTTTATATTCCAGGTTGCTCGCAGGCTCAGACCAAACAAGATTTTCGCAAACAATTGTTTGCCATCCACCTAATGACCAATGGCCTTACGTCAAAGTCAAACAGAACCAAATCGAGTTGGACGAAAAAGCAACCGAAACGCCCATTCCATTGCACTCAGAGCAGAGCCCAACAGGCAAACAAATGTCCAATGAACCAGATTTCCGGGCAAACAAACAGCCGAAAAGGGAAGACGACTCGCAAAAAATACTGTTCGATAAATTGATGGCAAAAACAATACACAGCCCCCCACTCCCCCCTCACTACACAGACCCCTCCCCCCGCCCCAATCGCCATGTGTCCTGAATGCCCCCCACAAGTCGCCTCCTTGTTTGGAATGCATGGCGCAAGGGTTTAACGCACTTAAGCAATAAAAATCGAAACAATTTTCGATGCTGCCAAGTGAAATTGAAACAAAATGGCAGGGAGGATGAGTGAAGGGGGGGGGGGAGAAGGGGGGTGGAATACTTTCGCTTCTTGCGAAGAGATTGAGTGGGAAACTGTATAAGTGAGAATGTTATAAATAAGTGGGGCAGGCAAAGTTGTGTCCCTTTTGCCAGCAATACTTTCTGCTCCGCCAGTTGACAAACAGTTTGGGTTTGTGTATCCTGTATCCTGAGCTCACTGTCCCCTCGGACTTTCCCGCTTTCCCCGCCTTCCCCCCGGCCCTTCGGTGCTCGGTCGTTTTATCTCTTTCGCATTGTCGCCTGGTACAAATGGCTGGTCATAAACGCATCCTGGGTCTATTGTTTATGCTCGTTGGCGTGTGGCAAGCGCATAATTGAAAAAGGACATTCAGCTGATGACATTCGAGTCGCAGCAATATGAAGGGCGCATCATAAAGTGGCATGTGTCAGTTGATTAAGTCGGTGTAGTAAAAACAAAGAGTCACAAAAGAACCATATATATTTCAATCAATCATCGAAGTCCTTTCCCCTCCTCTACTTCCAGGATCGGATCACAGCGCCTCCTATCGTTCCGACGGCAAGAGCCCGCACCCCATAAAGCATGATGCCAAGTCCCTGACCGACGACCTGGATCGCATGCAGGACCTCAAGGGCTGGGCCCACCGCCTCGCACCCTGTTTGCCGATCCTGCCGATCCTGACCCTTTCCCTGATCTTGGGTTCCGGCTATCTGGGGGCGTGGCCGGGCTAATCTACTCGAGGGAAAGTGTACAAATACCCATGGAAACCCAGTGCTAGTCTAACTAAGATAAACTACTTCGTAAGCAATACCCTTATAAATCGTGTTGGTCAAGACAAATGTATAATTTTTGTGCTATTCGGAAAGTTGCTTACTGTAAAAAGTTGTTGATGTTTAAGGTAAATTTAGAATTTAAGCGGAAAGTGGATTGATCGATTATTAAATGGAGGGAACTGGAATTCGCAACGGAAATACAAAGTATTAGAATGCATAAGGGCTTAAACCGTAAAAATGTTCTTAGGCTTTTCACGAAAGTTGCTATTTATATTTCTGGTTTAATATTCTATTTAATATTCTCCATACTCATGAATAAAGATTGGGACGTTCTTTTCCAGTCCGATAGAAATACAATTTTGTCAGATTTTTAAAATTTTTTTTGCATTTAACTATTTTATATATTATATTTAAATATTTTAATACTTATGAGAATATGCCTGTATCTCACAGATACTTTTAAGCCTAAAAGCAAAGGACAAACATTTTTAAAATTAATTTAAGTTTTATTCACTAATATTTTAGATTTACTATAAATTTGTTATTGTAGGCCAGGAATATAAATATCAGCATACGTGTCTACAAAATGAGACTAGATCCTAGATTATATCTAAGTCACCGGGCTCAACCGATAACCATATTTTTATTGTCAGCCCTGTTCTAGCTTAGTTTCAAAGCACTGCAAGCTGTATAATAAATATAACATAAACAATTACACTTTGTTTTAAGAAAAAATAAAATGCCGTCTTAAATCATGTAAACTTCAGAGAAAATGTGTGTTTTTTTTAGCTTACTTAAACAGAAATCGACAAATCTATATCCCATTATTATACCTTTTGTTAAGTTGGAAAGCTTGGATCATTGTTAATATGCCATTTAAAAGAGGCTTTAAGAATAAAACATCAAAACCTATATATAAAGTCCTTGAAATGTTTTAGGTAAGAAGGCTACTATGCAACACCAATAAATTTATAATTAAATTTATCATGTTCATCAAATAAGAAAAGTTGCTTGTCGATTAAACCACGTCCGTATAACCAACATTGCGAGTGGCAATAGTATTATTAATTTGGGATATTTCTATTTCCTTACCATTGTTTGGGAGGTACAAATATTTTCTACATTTTTGTAATATCGCTGGTTTCTGCGAAAAAAATGCATAGGTAAGTTAAAGGGTAAACCATTTTTTATACTCTCATCCCTTTTAGTATTAAAAGACAAGCCTCACATCACAACCCAGATGAGAAATACAATAGACCTCAAGAAAACTAATAATTAAAAATTTTTTTTTAATTTAGTATCTTAGTTTAAAACCTTTTAGGAACCCACATTACCAACCTTAACTCTCTGCCAACTTCTATTGACTATACATTCTATCAACAATATAGCAACAATCACCAACCAACCGATACACAATTCGATCTTCCAAAAAACAACTCACAGCAAATCAAGACGTGAAGCAACTGCAGTCTTAATTGAACATAAACCTGAATATGATATCTATCTAAACCTCATCCACTAAACACTATAAATAAAAAAAAAATGTTAAAAATGTCTTTAACCTCGACGATGCTCCCACTAGATTCTTCGGAGCTTTAGTATCGTTCACACGCCTAGAGGTATTATCTTAGCCAAACTGCTCGATCATTCAGATTTCATACTGTTAAACAGCATATCACTAACCCACTTCTCCCACTCACTTACACCTTTCCTACGCCTCATCCATCGTTGCCCCAGAATTTTTTTGGAAAACCATTGACGACCCTCACTGACCGTTTCCCGAACTTATTCTCCATAAACCTCAACAAACTTTAACCTTCCTAGTCCGCTAGACCAACCTTAAAATGCAGACTGGTATTCTTACGGAAAATAAGTCCATATTAATTCTGATTTTAACCAAGTATCCAAAAATGTTAATAATGAAGCATCTTATATAAGACAAATTATATTATATACATTATATTATATAATATTACATATATTATGGAATCATAAGCTATATGTACTGAAAAAGACCTAGATATCTAAATAAGCCATACTCAAACAAAGTATAAGTGATTTTATTTGATTGAATGTCAACGAAAAATATAAGCTTTGAAAGAATCCAAACGGTCCTCTCTTTTAAATTTCAGAGCCGAATTTAACGCCTTCCATCAACAGCAAAATCTTGGGCCAACTAGACGTCTCTACCCCACAAAAATGCAAACTTTTGCACTTGCCGAAGATTCTAGCTTCTCACCAACTTTTTGTTCCAATAAACTTCATTTAATCACTACATTAGCCAAACAATACTGAAGTCTGGCCACTTGAAACAGAAAAATACATCTCATTCTTGGAATTCAGATGCCTATTCAATTTCCCTGAAAAGTAAAACTCTATGATTAAATTGAATCTCCTACATTATGATCAAGAACCCCCCTGTCTTATTTAAACACAGAATCCTTAATCATTTCACCACAATCTTACACTACAATTCAAACATAGCCTGGTACTTCCCATTCTAAAGCTACAAAAACCATGGACCGACATTAAACCATACCGCCCAATATTTCTTAACTCTTGCCTTGCAAAAACGATAGACAAAATCATCACAAAGAGGATGTGGTGGTTCATTTTATATAACAGCCTCATCAACCAGGACATAGCTTTTCCTTAAAGAACACCAAACACTGATCTCTCTTGATTTTAACAAAGCAGTGACAAAATTGGCATTCACTCCATAGTAATCCTGCTCAAGAAATGGACTAGGTTATTTAAATACCATTCCCTCTAAAAAATGGCATCCCTCTAGGCTTTCCCATTTCAATTATACTGTTTATCATAGCTTTCAACATCCTCTCCCACATAACTTCCATACGATTTCAATCTAATAATAGAGCACACCAAAACAAAACCACACAACAAGCCTTCAATCCTTATTTACCCAAATGGACGAATGGTGCACAAACTCTGAATCAATAATATCAAAATAAAAATGCCAAGTACTCCACATCATAACCATCGGCAAGAGTGTTACATGCGATACCAACATTCCGAGTACCAATACCCTTTAATTCTAGGACTCCTCATCAACAACAAATACAATTCCCACATCTCAAAACTTAGGTTCGACCTCTCCAAGCCGCTAAATTTTATAACACATCTTTGGAATAGTCTTTTCAATTGATTAAAATCATCCTACTCTCGACACACCTTCTTATACACCGATGGATCCAAAGCGAATTATTTATCTGGCTTTATTATTACTCATGAAAATGATTAATCAAATCTGGCATTATTCCTACATACTTCTCCACCCTAAATCTATCTTTCCTCTCTAAGCTCTCATTAAAAACGTATATTAACCATATTAGCCAAACACTTCTGCAAAATTATCATAACTTGGATTCCTATCAAAATAGTTATATAGGGAAACCACGCCGCAGACTTATTTGGAGACCTAGCATTTAAATCTGCTCATTTACACGCCACATTACAACCCACGATTTTAAACAGTATTTGTATAATCAATTAAAAACTTTCTTGGATTATCAACTCCCAGGTATAAATCATTAAAACCCACCACATTTCTACATAAAGCCAACATAAATAAAACAACTCAGGTTATAATAAATTGATTAAGACTTTGCCAAAGTAAGTTAACCAACGAAAGAAACCGCACCACAAATTGCCCTCTGCTCAATGCAATAAACATTACCCACATCATCACCTCATGTTCTTTATCCCACAAAGAAAAGCATTCTTCAAGTCCCTGAACCCCAATCACTGTTGCTCCAATGGCAAAGAAAATAAAATACAAAGTAAATAAATTAGAAATTAACTTAGTGATTAAAGTTAATCTTTAATCAAGTTAAGTTAAAACAAGAAAGGAAAGCTAGCTTCGGGCGGAGCCCAAGTTTAAATACCCTTGCAGAATATTCTGTAAATTATATTCTCTAAAATTATTCATATGATGCATTCTTAACACTCATAAAAAATTCCAACTTTCTAACTTTAAAAACACCAAAGTTATGGTATTTCTGATCGTTCGAGTTATATGACAGCTATTGGATATAGTCGGCCGATCCTTATGAAATTTGGTAGGTCGGATTGATTGGCGAAATATAAAACCCATAGAAAATCCCAGCTTTCTAACTTTACAAACATTTTAAAATTTAAGTTTAAAATAAATTAAAATTGAACGACTGTTTCATAAAGCTACCATAGCCACGATCACAAAATGTATCGAAAAATCGGCATTACTTTTTAAAAATCGAAAAAGTTGTTTTCATTTTTGTAATAACAAACTATACGACACCAATTAAATTAAATTCTCAATATTAAATTGAATAGAGATAAAATATAATACGACAGTGTGATATAAAATGGCCATTTTAAAATTGGGGTTTATCAAATATCCAGACAGCACAGATCCACTCTGTGGAAATAGAAGTAGCCAATATCTTTACATAATTTTGTATTTACAAAACAGGTTAAGGGCAAGGTTACAGATGATCGGTCATGGTTAGATCGACTGAAAATGCCTTTGGAGCGATTCAATCCGAAAAATGAGCAAGTGAAAATGCATAGCCAACGGATTGGTTTACGAAGCAACCCTTATTATGCAATAGCCCCAAAGCGAATATTTACCGAACCGCAAAATGTACCATACCCAAACAACTGAAGCCCCGCCACCCGTTGCCATTGTTTACTTTGCCAGTGAATTTGTGCACCATCGACCCACATGAAAACATTTTTCATTTTCATTAAAAAAGTGAGCACAACAAAAACTCTCGCGACTTTATAATTTAATTTAAAAAGCGGAGGGCTGGCCAAAGCGGTGCAGAGCAGAACGGAGCAGAACTGCCAGCGCAAAAACATAAAAAATAATTATTAAAATAAATTAAATGTCTGCTGCTGCCCCCATAAACTTCGTCGAGTGGGCAATTAAAGGAGCCAGCGTGTGAGACGCGGGGGCAGAATGGAACGTGGCTAGTTTTTTCTCAGGAGTTGAAGAGTTAAGCGGCAGTCGAAAAAAGCACACATAAACCAAAAAAATCAAATTGCTGCCGCCATGGCATTTTGACTCGAGTTTCACACAACGCCATGGTAAATGGCAAAAAATTGGCATGTGAAACGTTTGCAGAGTCGGAGTCCCCTGTCCCCTGTCCCCTGTCCCCTCATTTCGGCCGCCTGACCATTGCCACAATAAAGGCTCCAGTTAATAAAGCTAACAGAGCATGTGCTGTAAGTCAGAAAACGTATAAAAGTATATGTCGGTGATATGGGAAGGCAGCGGAAGAAGAGGGAAGGGCAAGGGGAAGTATGCGGACAGACTTAAGAACCACGGAAAATGAGCTCTGTAATGGTGCATGCCCTTCCGCTCATGATACAACCATTTGAAGCTTGATTCTGAAATTATTTTCTTACAACTACTCTTGATTTTAAGCCAAAACTCAAATGAACTGAAACTTAAAATTTCAATTTTTTTGGCACGCCGAAATTTGAATATAATCATTATGAAAATGTATGACAGTGTGTAGATAAAAGGCATGTTCTGAACATTTCTGCAGATGAGGAAAAGATGTTTGTCCAGAAAGACAACTTTTAGAAAAGTTTCAAGAAGATAGCTTTAAAACTGAGGGACTAGTTTGATCAAGAATATATATACTTTATAAGGTCGGAAATGTCTCCTTCACTGCGCTGCAAACTTTTGACTCAAATTAAAACACCCTCGGCAAGGGTATAAATATCAATTATCATCTAATAATGTCAAACAAACTTAAACAACCTTACTTTGGCAACTTTTAAGAAATGTTTTTCGGCCCACAGTGCGTTGATATGGACGGAAAGGCAAATGGACATGGCTAAATCGACTTATCTATTGATCGTGATCAAGAATATTTATAATGTGTAAGTGTACTTACTATAAAACGAGGACGGAAGCTAACTTCGGCAAGCCGAAGTTTTAATACCCTTGCAGACTTTGCCGAAATTGCTAAAAGTGAAAAAGTAGCGAAAGGAATAAGGTATACATAAGTAAACTAGATTTGCATCGTTTCAAGTTAATTGCTTTTATACTGCAAAAATGTCATATACAAATAGAAAAAAAGGGATACTTTCGCAGCCTTAAACAATTTTTCCTATTTCCTTTAAGATATAGACTTCCGAGCGGCAAGCGCTTTTACCCTAATCAAGATATGCGTAAATGAATAAGAATTGGAAAAATTTATGATAGTAGCTTACACACTTCGCGAAATATTCTGATAATCATCAAATTTGGACCGATTTCACCCTATTGTTCCTATGGGAGCTATAGGATATAGACGTCCGATCGCCACGCGCTTTTACCCTGATCAAGGTATGCATAAAAAAATACGATTTGGAAAGATTCATGTCAATAGCTTGTATACTGCACGAAATATCCTAAAAATCATTAAATTTTAACCGATTTTACCCTTTTGTTCCTATGGGAGCTATTGGATATAGACGTCCGATCGTCACGCGCTTTTACCCTGATCAAGGTATGCATAAAAAAATACGATTTGGAAAGATTTATGTCAATAGCTTTTACACTGCGCGAAATATCTTCCATTCTTGCAAGTTATATCCGATTGTTCCTATGGGAGCTATAGGATATAGACATCCGATCGGGGCGGTTTTCAAACTTGATCTGCGTACACTTGTTTTAGGACGAGTGTGAAAGTTTCAGATCGCTAGCTTTTAAACTGAGCTCGCAAACGGTATTGAAACAGACGGACAGACGGACAGACGGACAGACGGACATGGCTATATCGACTCCCCTATTGATCCTGATCAAGAATATATATACTTTATGGGGTCGGAAACGTCTCCTTCACTGCGTTACAAACTTCTGACCAAAATTATAATACCCTCTGCAAGGGTATAAACAATATATCGGCGGTGACACCTTTTTCAGGAATATTCTTCAAGGGTATATCAACTTCGGTTCTTGTTTGTTTTTGAAATTGGGAAATTATCTTTAAAGGCCCCAAAAAACAAATCACCAACCACATTTTGTTCAACGGAATCTTTATTTGTATGGGACTGGCTGACTTCGCTGTCATTTATCTGGCTCTTCCTACAGTGTGTCCTCGTCCACAGTGCGACCTGCCTAAGGCGAACGCGAAGCATGGCGGTGGTAATGCGAGCGGCCGCGTGAAAAGGGGGAACGGGAGGGGGTGCGGTAGCGGCGGTTGTAGCGCGATCCCGACTTGCACTGCGAGCGGGAACTTGAGCGGGAACGGGTGCGGGAGCGGGAGCGGGAGAAGCTCGGCGAACGGGATCGGGACAGGAAGCGCGGTAGGGAGCGGGAGCTGGAGCGAGAGCGGGACGGCGAGTGGCGGCGCTGGCGGCGATTCACCGGCGAGTAGCGGCGGTAGTCGCGCCACGGAGCCTTCAGCATGCTCTCCTGGAAGGCGGACACCGTGATCCGCTTGCCGTCGATCAGGCCGCCGTTCATGTGCTTGATGGCGCAGGCGCAGTCCTCGGGACGGGCGTACTCCACGAAGGCGTAGCCACGCCCCAGGCGCACCTGGTAGCGGTCCATGGGAAAGTCGACGGCGGTGAGGGCGCCAAAGTGGCCGAAGATCTCGGTGATGTGCTCCTTGGTCACCTGGCGGGTGAGTCCTTTGATGTGGAGACGCACAATGCGGGCGGGCTGGCGGAATCTGAAGGTGGGCTTGCCATTGCGGTAAGCCACTTGGCTGCCCTCGGCGTCGGGATCATCAAAGGGGTCCTCTCTGGTCGCTCCACCACCTCCTTCTCCTCCTCGGCCTCCTCCTTCTTCTCCTCTTCTTCCTCCTCTTCCTCCCCCTCCTCCTCCCCCTCCTTCTGCTGATCCTCCTGATCCTTCGAAACTACGATTGCGCCGCTGTTTCCACTTGCAGCCATCACTTCGCTCATCATCCCACTGACGCTTTGGCGTGGAAGGTCCACGACGCGGTCGCTCATTGTTGGAAGTCCCAATCTTGCTGGTCTCCGGATTCTTGCTGAGGGTGCGGGGTTTGACATTGAAGTGCCTCGAACTGGGATTAACAGGCTTTGCCAGAGCTTTCGAAGAGGAGCTGGCCTCCGGGGTCTTGACCTGGTTGGCGGACTTGCTGGCCATGGCATTGGCAAGGGGTATCTTCGTGCTAGAGGATCGGGCACCGCCAACCTTGATTTTGCCTTCAGAAGAATTGCCCATCGACTGGCCATCACTGGGCATGGTTATGGGGGTTGGAGCGGTAGTGGGAGTGGCGGTGCTCTTGGTGACGGTGACGGTCCTCGACTGGAAGACGCCCTGGCTGTGGCTACTGGTAGCTGGGATGAGGTTCTGCAAGCCGGAACCGGAGCTGCGCACGCGCGTCTTGCGGTGATGATGCTCCATGGGCACCGCTTGGGGAGCTGGCTTGGCCACCGGAGCATGAGTATGACCAGGAGCAGGAACAGGAGCAGGGGCTAGAGCGGGAGCCGGCACAGGCTGCGGATGCGGTTGCGGATGTGGATGCGTGGCGAGGACGGCCGGAATGGGAGCCGGCACGGGCAGGGGAATGGGATCCGGTATCAGGATGGCCTGCGTGGATGGGGACTCCTCCTTGATCACAAGTGGCGCCTTGGCGGTGGAGGAGGCGCCGCGACGCCCCTTCCTGGAGGAGCGCTTCGTGGAGCGGCCGTGTGCGGAGCGATGGTGGCGGCTGCCACGCCCACGTCGGCGGTGCGAGTGGCGCGAGGGGTGGTGGTGGCGCCGATGGCGGTGATAGTGCCGATGGCGGCAGCAGGAGGGCTTCTTGGTGGAGCCCTCCGGCTCCTCATTGCTTTCGCTGGACGAGGAGCTGCTGCTGGTGGAGCTGGTGGAGCTGGAGAACCTCGAGGATGCGGTGGAGCTGAAACTAGAGTCCGAGTAGCTGGACTCGCTGTCGCCCCAATCGCTGCTCTCCGTGGCGATCGAGGGGGTGGGCGACGAGTTCCTCACGCTTGGACCAGCTCCTCTGCCTCCCCCGGCGGGGATTACCTCCTTGCCATCCTTGCGCCCCCGGCGATCCTTCCTCTGCCGCTTTGTTGGCGGCTCAACCCCGTCCTTCTCCTTGGGCATCTCTTAAGCCTGATCTCTTGCACTGCGAACAAATTTAGCTGCTGGTGAGTTGCTCACACGTCGGGTGACTGCTGCCAAATGAAAATTGGCAAAGGGCAAATGGCGACAACTGTCATCCAGAAAAATTTTAAGTGACCAGGAGGATCTGGATTGCCACCTAACAGTTGGGATGGAATCTACATCTCTGTGCCAATAAATTGCTGAATCTTTGAACACTACTGTTTAATCGATTAAAAGCGTTCTAATAGAAGTGAAAAGGTATCATCTGGTAACAATCCAAAACAAGAAAGGAAAGCTAACTTCGGGCGGAGCCGAAGTTGATATACCCTTGCAGAATATTCTGTAAATTATATTCTCCAAAACTATTCATATTCTTAATATTCATCAAAAATCCCAACTTCCTAACTTTACAAACACCAAAGTTATGGCATTTCCGATTAGTCATGCATATGGCAGCTGTAGGATATAGTCGGCCGATCCCGGCCAACAGAATATTCTGCAAGGGTATATTAACTTCGGCTCCGCCCGAAGTTAGCTTTCCTTTTTTGTTTTCCCTCAAAATAAAACTTATTAGTACTTCAGGCTTTTGGGTTCGATTTTTACCGGTTTTGTCACATATCCTTTTAAAGGGATACCCTTAAAATTGTTTGAAAAATTTGCCAGCGTCTTTAATGACAAACAATTTTCTAAAACGCTTATGGGAAAGTTATTAAACATTCTATCACTAGTAAATTTAGTTATCGAAGATCAAAACTAGTTCGTACGAGTTAAAACATTTAATACGCATAAAAACTGTCGAGAAACTTAATGTAAAACAAGAGAGAACGCTATAGTCGCGGACAGACAGACGGACAGACGGACATGGCTAGATCGACTCGGCTAGTGATCCTGAACAAGAATATATATACTTTATAGGGTCGGAAACGCTTCCTTCTACCTGTTACATACTTTTGCACGAATACAATATACCCTTTTACTCTACGAGTAACGGGTATAAAAAGTGGCCAAAAAACAACAAAATAAGACAATTTTTGCAAGACGAAGTTTACAACAAGTTTTTAGACGGTATATATTTATTCATTAGCTCAATATCTATAGACACGATATATTGCCCAGTAATGGTAAGAAGTTATTCGGAAACTATACCCTCTGCAAGGGTATTAATAAAACAAGTTGGGTTTTGAAGGCAATGCTTTTGATAAACAGAAAGGGCGAAAGAACTGTATTCGAGTATAACCATAACAATTGTATCTATAGTAGCTATTGTATCAGGAATAGTTTGTCTCTTTATTTTAATTTATTTATTTCTCACACACGTCGTCGTTACTTTCTGGTTCGATCGAGAGTGAGTTTCGCTGCACGCAGGCAGCTCTCTCTGGCGTTCTCTTGAGAGAGAGGGATAGCACCTCTCTTGAAAGAGATAGCCACTGCTCTAATAATGTGGCCAGCTTATATATATTATACTTGGCCTGTTACAACTCGGCCATCCTGGCTTTGAGATAGCCCACTATCTCGGCGTTACAACATATCTTAAGCTAAGTCTTAGAAGTAGTTAACAATTTTGTACAATTTTTTTTCTTATAATTTCAGTCTTATTATCAGTATTTTTATTCTATTTAATTGATTAAGATTTATTTTCATCTTTTATCCAATGCCGAATATTACTTGCGCTCCAAACACCTTGGTATGGATTCCGAGATAACTGAAACCCGTCGATGTCCTTTAATAAAAATCTGTCATTTCTTAAAACTTTTCCAATAATGTATGGTCCTTTGTGCTTCGGTATAAGCTTTCTCGAAACCCCTGCAGTACTATCAAAATTCTTTACCATGACATAATCTCCTTCTCTATATTCTGTATTAATCTTCCTTTTCGCATTGTAATAGGCTTCGTTTTTTGTTTGAGATTTTATTTGGTTTTCTTCCGCGTTCTGCCTAATCTGTTCTAAATTTTGTCTATTATCTTCAATCTTTTCTTCCTCTCCTAATTTTTCCTTTAATTCATCACTATTTTCTCCTCTCTGAGCTATTCCAAATAAGGTTTCACTAGGAAGCTGTTTGATGCTGCTATGAAGTGTATTGTTTAACGAGTACTCCACTTTTTCAATAATTACATCCCAATGTAATCCTCTCTCTGGTTCCGATAGTTTTGCAATCATCGGTCCCAAACTCCTATTTACTCGCTCAACTTGCCCATTAGCCTGTGGTGACCCTGTAGCAATTTTAATGTGCTTTATGTTTCTTTCCTCGGTAAAGTTTGTAAAATCCGTTGACGTAAAACAACTCCCACGATCCGAAATAATACACTTTGGTCTGCTGTATGACCGAAAGTAGTCTGTTAAAGCACTCATAACTTCTTTTGTATTCGTTGTTTTTGTTGTATAAAGCCTAACAAACTTCGTGAATGCATCTATTACCACTAAGATATGCTTTTTTACTCTACTATTATCTACTGGCCCATAGTGATCAATATGAATAACATCAAATGGTCTATTCCCTTTGGGGATACTGTGCAGCGCTCCCTCTCCTTTGCCTAATTTAGGAGAGAAAGCTATACACTTCAAACAGTTCTGAATGTGATCACAAACCTTTTGTTTCATGCCCGGGAACCAATAACTTTTACTAATCGCATCTAACATCTTATCCCTTCCAATGTGACCTAATTCGTCATGATATTTATACATCACGTGTTCCTCCATTCTATTTGGTACATAAAACAGTAACTTGTTATTATTATTCTTTCTATATATAACCCCGTTCCTCATTTCAAACCACTTATGCTCTCCGTTTTCTAAAATTTCCCTAATTTCTTGTACCTTACTATCTCTTGACTGACAAATTACCAAATTATTCTCAAACGTATTTGCCTCTATTATCATTACATTATTACATCTGCTAAGTGCATCAACATGCTGCATTTGTTTTCCTGCCCTGTGTTTTAATTCATAATCGAATTCTTGTAATTCTAAAGCCCACCTTGCAATTCGTGGGTTTAAATCTACCTTATTCAACGTTAATGTTAGAGAATTACAATCTGTAACAATCTTGAACCGTTTCCCTTGTAAATATATCCTAAACCTTCTAAGTGCATAAATAATGGCTAACGTCTCTAATTCAAAGCTATGGTATTTAGCTTCAGTCGATGTTGATCTTTTCGAAAAATAAAAAATCGGATGCAACTTCTTGTCTTCCTTTCTCTGAAACAGTACAGCCCCAAACCCTAACGCACTCGCATCGCAGTGGAGCTCAATTTCATCCTTGTAATCATATAAAGCTAACACCGGGGCTGCAACTAATTTATCTTTCAACAGTGTGAAACAAGCTAACTCTTCATTTCCAAATTCAAACGTCCTATCTTTCCTCAGTAAATCATATAATGGTTTCGCCAATATCGAAAAGTCCTTTATAAAGCGGCGAAAGTAAGAACAAAGACCTAAGAAACTTTGTACAGCTTGCACTTTATTTGGCATAGGAAAGCTCTTTATAGCTTCTAATCCCCTCTCATCAGCTTTTATTCCTTCATTTGAAATTAGAAAACCTAAATATTTTACCTTATTTTGAAGAAACTTGCATTTATCCATTCTTAGTTCTAATTTATTCTCCACTAATCTCCTAAATACTTCTACTAATATTCCTAAATGTTCTTCAATACTCTGGCTTGCAATTAAAATGTCATCCATATATATTATCACCTTATTATCACGAATCATATCAGAAAAAATATCATTTACAAATCTTTGAAATACCTGGGGAGCCGTCTTCAAACCCATTGGCATTCGCAAAAACTCAAATTGCCCTAGCGGCGTTGTAAAAGATGTGTACTTCACTGACTCTTTGTTCACGAAAACGTGGAAGTACCCATTCTTTAAATCTAATTTTGTAAAAACCGATTTTCCCACCAATTTATCTAACAAATCGTCAATTAAGGGGATAGGATAATTATCTTTAGCCATAATTTTATTCAACCGTCTGAAATCAATGCACAACCTAAACTCCCCAGTCTTTTTCTTCACTAAAACGATCGGAGATGCGTATTCCGATTTACTACTCTGAATAATTCCTTTTTCTAAGTATTCATCTAACAATTTCTGTAATGCCTCTTTTTCATTATAAGACAGTCTTCTAGGTGCACAACTAAATGGTTTTGTGTTCTCTAAAATAATATTCAACTCACATTTAACTCTAGGACTTTCAGGTCGCAATACTTTAATATAATTTTCCTCTAATGATTCAATAAACTTCATTTGATCCTTATAACTAACCTGATCCCCGATATTGTAAGCCATTTCTTTAGTCTCATCTTCTAAAATGTTTATTTCTAACATTTCACTTTCAAAATTATCCTCTATGCTCTTTCCTAAACTACCTGAACCTAAAGCTTCTTCATACAATACATTATCTAAATCCTTCTCACCTAAATCATCATCGCCTAAACATATGTCAAAACTCTTCTCCCCTAAACCTGTACCTAAATTGTTCCCGCCTAAATTTTTACCTAAACTGTTTTTATCTAAACTTTTTCCACCTAAATGTGTACCTAAACTTTTCTCACCTAAACTCTTTTCACCTAAAGATGTACCTAAATTGTTGTCACCTAAATGATTGGCTAAATTTTCCTCAACTAAACTTGTACCTACATTTTTCTTGCCTAAACTCTTTTCACCTAACTTTGTACCTAAACTTTTACCTAAACTCTTCTCACCTAACTTTTTACCTAAACTCTTTTCACCTAACTTTGTACCTAAACTTTTACCTAAACTCTCTTCGCCCTCCGAATCGGTTTCAAATTTCCTAATTTCCATACAATTATTAGAAATTACTTTATCTTCCGCTTTCTTCTCAACTTCGGTTTCAATACACTCTACAGTAACCATTTTCAGCGCATCTAAATCAATTTTTAAATCGCAAGCACCCATAAAATCTCTACCCAGCACAATGTTACATCCCATAGATTCGTCAGCCACTACAATTAAGTTAAACCAAATCTTTATTTCATTTTTAAATATAAAACATAATATTCTACCATAACTCCTTAATAAGCTTTTGTTTAGGCCAAAGTATTCCTCTTCTTGAGGTTTTAATTTAATGTTTACTGGTAAGTATGAACGTTTTATTAATGACACCGGGCTTCCCGAATCTATCAGGCATTCTGTAACAATGGGCTGGTTAGGATTTTCAATACTAAAAATTTTAAATAATCTTACATATTTATTCTCGACCTTCTTCTTGTTTTGGGGACATTCAACCAAGCGGTGATCTTTTGCGCCACAACCATAGCATGATCCTGGCGGTCTTATCGGCTTGGTGCATTCCCTCTTCCAGTGCCCTTTTGCGTTGCAGTTGAAACAACGTGTCTCGCTGTTTCCTGGATCCGTCCTTGGTGTTGCCCCTTTAGTTGTTGTTGCCCTTTTCGGCAGCATGATGTCCGCAAAAGCACGAAGCATACGCTCCGGGCTATCAAAACATTGAAGCTTGGCCTGTGTACGCAATCCTAGGGCTGGAATGCCCTCCACAAGTCCGTCCAAAAGCTCATCCACCTCCATGCTGACCTCTCGAGCAAGTCGACACTTTTCATCAAAGTAAAAAGCAAATTTTTCGGTTGGCATCCAGATACGCGCCTCAAACTTGCGCCTTAATGCAGCCTTCGATTCGACGCCCCCGAAAGCTAGCTGCAGTTGTTCAAGCAGCTCATTCGTCGGCTTGGCGAAACGTCCTTCATCCGCATGCAACCACTGCAAGGCACTGCCTTTTAACTTGCTGATCAGCAAGATACGTTGTTGCAAGTCTGAAAGGCTATATAGAGCCGATATATTGCCCCATTGAGCGATCCAGGATCGAACAGGCACTTTACCGGTGAAGTCCATCAACATTTCCTTGGCCATGTTAAATCCTGATGACGAAAACCCACCACCAGACGATGCCATTTCGTCATAAACGGCGCTGCCGTCGTCTCTGCCTCTGCCGCCATTGCCTTCTCTGCCACCGCCTTCTCTGCCACCGCTGTCTCTGCCGTCGCCGTCTCTGCCGCCGTTGTCTCTGTCGCCGCCGCTGTTTCGCCGTTGCTCGTTCTGTTGAAACGCATTTTCGCCTCCTCTGCCTCCGTTATTTCGGTTGCCACCAGCGCTGTTGATCTGGTAGTTTAAGTTTTCTAGAATTTTCTGAGCCCTCGAAATTTCGGCTCGCAAATTTTCCAAAGTCTCAGCGTCCACTTCCAGCTCACTGCGATTCTCGTCAACATTTTCCAATTCAGCTTGCTCCACAAGGTTCTCGGGCGCCCTTCCGCGAATTTCTTCCGGAACGCTGCAAAGCCGAGCAAAAAGTTCCGATTTGGTGCCCTTCGTCGACAGATTTAGAAGCTCCAACCACTTTTTTAATTGGATAACTGTCACTTCCGATATGTTTATATCCATATTTTTATTTATTATTATAGGCGTTCTCAGTTGATAAAAAAAAGTTTTTTATGAATCCCACTTCTGAGATTGTATCAGGAATAGTTTGTCTCTTTATTTTAATTTATTTATTTCTCACACACGTCGTCGTTACTTTCTGGTTCGATCGAGAGTGAGTTTCGCTGCACGCAGGCAGCTCTCTCTGGCGTTCTCTTGAGAGAGAGGGATAGCACCTCTCTTGAAAGAGATAGCCACTGCTCTAATAATGTGGCCAGCTTATATATATTATACTTGGCCTGTTACACTATGTAAAATAAATGTCTAATTCTAATTTATATAGTTACGACCATTAGTGAATGTGTTGAAAAACAACAAAGCTATCTCTCTTTTTTCCTATTAATTATTAACGATCGAGCTTTTGAGATTAACAAACTTTTTTATAAAGCAAACCAAAAGCAAACCCATTTTAAATCTTTATAATTAATACTTATGCTTATTTTAATGAACACAAAACTATGCTAAGCCAATATTATTATACCCTTGCAGAGGGTATTATAATTTCAGTCAAAAGTCGATCTAGCCATGTCCGTCTGTCCGTCCGTCCGTCCGTTTCTACACAAACTAGTTCCTCAGGTTTAAAGCTATCTGCTTGAAACTTTCCCAAAAGTTGTCTTTTTATTGCAGGTAGTATATAAGTCGGAACGAGCCGGATCGGGCAACTATATCATATAGCTGCCATATAACTGAACGATCGGAAAAGCCATAACTTTGGTGTTTTTAAAGTTAGGAAGAAGGGATTTTCTATGATCTTTATTTTTGGCCAAATTATCCGACCTACCGAATTTCATAATAATCGGACGACTATATCCTATAGCCGACATATAACTGATTGATCGGAAGTGCCATATCTTTGGTGTTTATACTATATCCTATAGCCGCCTTATAACTGATTGATCGGAAGTGCCATATCTTTGGTGTTGTAAAGTTAAGAAGTTGGGATTTTCTATGGGTTTTATTTTTGGCCAATCAATCCGACATACCAAATTTCATAACGATCGGCCGACTATATCTTATAGCTGCCATATAACTTAACGATTGGAAATGCCATAACTTTGGTGTTTTTAAAATTAGGAAATTGGGACTTTTTATGAGTATTAAGAATGCATCAAATTAATCATTTTGAAGAATATAATTTACAGAATATTCTGCAAGGGTATATCAACTTCGGCTCCGTCCGAAGTTAGCTTTCCTTTCTTGTTATGACTAATTCTTTTAGACCTTTTTTAAGTAAAATTGAAACATAATCTTGGTAAATAATTTTTAATTTAGTTTATTTATTGTATTTCATTTAATTAAAAAAAAAATAATTGTTGGTCAGAGTGCGTTACGTGGAGTATAGCTTAGATCGGGTGTCAGAACTGTGTGCCAACACAAAAGTCGTATGAGGACTACTCCAGGTCATGGTACATCAAACAACAACTGCTCATATGAAATATATGTTTGATATGGTCATGGTATTAAACTCTTTAATAGTAATTAAAACAAATACTTCTCAAATAAAATATATGTATAATTTTGAAATGGGAATAAAATAAGAAACAACACAGCAAATTGTTTATATCCTTTCCCTGATCGTTCCTATTGAAGCTATATGATATAGTGAATCGATCTGGCCTTAAAACGGAGAGACTAGCTAAATTGTCAATCTTATTTTGTGGTGTTACATGTTGGTTTACAGATTGCGTGGGGAAAAAAAATGTAAATCATCAATAAACATTATTTATCCCTTTTATTTTTTGGAACAAAATTATTCTTCAAGATGTTTATTTTTTGTGTTTAAAAATAAACATTATTCTTTATGAATATTATTAACATAAAACATATTCAATAATTTGTTACTTTTAAAATAAATCTTCAAATAATTATGTTCCTTGAATTTATATTTTTTTCTTTTATATAAAATATTTCATTGGCGCTTGAATGTGTTAAGGATGTGTTAAGGATGCTAAGATGCTTAAAAAATATCTAAAAACAAACGATATACTCTTCATGGGTATATATTATTATACGTTTAACAAAATGCATCAGCCATTTCCTGTGAGCTTTGGAGACAAATCGTAATTTTTATTCGTACTGCATATTTAACACGTATTAATATTTCATGGTATATGACAAATTAATATAATGTTATCAATATAATTGATAATGGAAATTTGCACCATTATCAAAAGTGGGCAGAGAAATTCGACATTATTGCTGTTGTTGCCGGTGAAATAATTTCTATTGTCAGCGACACTTTTTTTGCCCGCGCGACATTGATCGGTTTAATGACGCGAAGCCGCAATAAATATTCAGCATTAATATTTGACAGCATATTAAATACAGCCAGTGCCATCACATTTCCAGGCCAACTTTCGTCATCGGGTTAAAGCCAACACTGACTTTAAATAAAAAGCAATGGTCCGTTTTTGTTTCACTCTAGCCAACTGCTGCCATTGTGAGACTTGACTTCCCCCTTTCTCTTTGATATGGTATGCTTTTTGTCCTGCCCTCTTTCGTATGCAGTGGTTTTTTGCCATTCCCACCCATCTGCCTTCTTCGCCCAGGACACAGTTTCGCAGGAGTTGTCGAACCGCCACAATTATGAGGAACCGCCTGACCTGACAAATGTTGCCAAATCAAATAGTTCGTATTTACTTTTGAAATGGATTGTGGCGTCTAATGAGGACTTAGTTTGGGAAACAATTTGTTTGATTAGAAGGCCACTTTCCCGACAGTTGGGACTGCAACCACCGAAAGCTTTCGTCTAGTGAGGTCAGTTTCCAGGAGAGCTTTTTCGAACTCGATTCGTGTAAAGTAAGGTCAGTGTGTTTGTACAAATTTTACAAACGAAAGAAGGAAGGGTATTGCATTGCAGAATTGCAATAGCTTGCCAAGAAACTTCAGTAAACTAATCATTTTTTTTAAGGAAATGTTAAACATTTTTTAAACTAAGTCCGGTTTTATATACTATATTTACCGCTGACTTGCCGTACCCTTGGAACCGGGTACCCTCTTTGCTGAATATGCTGATGATACAGCCTTTATTGCCAACTCAAGTCCCTCAAAACTTTTTGAACCTCTATGGCGAATGGACGAATAGAACATTTCGATAAGCCGGAAGTCCCAGGCACTCCAACTTCTCTTTTAAAAGTAAAATCCTCCCAAGAGTAAAGCTATACCGCAATCTTTACAAACGACTTACTTACGTGGATTGGATACTTAAAGGAACAAGTAAACTCAGCCTCAGCAACAAGATGTTTACTTCCAATTATGGGGTACTGCTTCAGACTCAAATGTCATGAAGGTCCAAAGAGTGGAAAGAGTAGTACTGTCTTGGTTATAGAATTGTTCCATTTTTTTTTATTTCTGTTATGTTTCATGTTTCTTTGTTATTTCCATGCTTTTTAAAGCCATTAAGTTGGTTATTCAACGCTTAAATAAATATTAGTACAAAAAACATCAATTACTGTTTTAAATTGTTACGAAAAATGCTTAGTAGTTGGATAATTATGGGCATTGATCAATTTGATCAAGCAAATTTAGTTGAGTGTAGATGTTTGTACCTACCCAGGTACATGGCAATTTAAAAAAACATCCATTAATTGCATTCAAATTTCTCAATCTTATAATACAATTCAACCCGTTTTCCCAAGATTACAAAATTTGGTTAAAATCGATTTACGGACAGATTGTGAAGCTTGCTGGCTTTGTAAAAAAAACATTTTAAACTAGAAGCGGAGTTTTACTACGTAAAACTACAATCAACCAGAACCGAATCTAAACTTGGCAATCCAAAGTTTCTGCTACAAAAAGTTAATATTCTATAAAACGGCTTTATTTCGATTTATTGATAAGTTATGATACATTTTGCAATCGTTTTGTTGGCAGCTTTATGATTTATTTTAAAAACTAAGACCTGAAATTGTTTAAAATTATTATAATGCTCTAAGAACATCGAAGTTATATTTTTTCATTTATTTTTCCAATTGTTTTGATCGTTTCGATTCGGCCTTCTCCAACTACTACCTTCACTAAAAATAAGGCTTTTGAACAACTTTAATCAAGGTGCCCTAAAACTGAGTGACTAGCTTGCGTAAAAAGTTAATAGGGTTGGAATTGTCCATAATATAATAACCTTTGAATGGGCATAATTATGAAAGGTACTATACAATTTTGTTTTCAGGGATTTCAACTGTACAATAATATACTTACTTTTCTGGAGTAAATTAAATGTTCGTTGTATAAAAACTAACTTGTGGATCTGTTGTCGCGACTTAAAGTATTATTTTTTTGGAAAGATGGTAAACTTTTCCAGTTTCATTCGAATTTCCCAGACGTATTCCGAGACTAATTTTCAAAAGAACATCACAGAATCTTTGTAAGTTCTGTAACTTCCAAAATCATAATCAATATCATATTCAAAGATGTTTTTAAATCTATAACTTAGTATATATATACACATATTTATACAATATCATATATTGTAAGATCTTATACATTAAGAAAAAATACTTATGTATAAATTCTTGGTTTTCTCTATTCCGCAAAGGTATATCAACATCGGATCCACCCGAAGCTAGCTTTCCTTTCTTGTTTAAATATATTTTCACTACTTATTTAAATAATAAGTATTAAGGAAATTCCTGTACTGTAGACAGCTAATAGTATTTTTATACCCTTGCAGAGGGTATTATAATTTAAGTCAAAAGTTTGCAACGCAGTGAAGGAGACATTTCCGACCCTATAAAGTATATATATTCTTGATCAGGATCACCTCCTGAGTTGATATAGCCATGTCCGTCTGTCCGTCTGTCCGTCCGTTTCTACGCAAACTAGTCCCTCAGTTTTAAAGCTATCTGCTTGAAACTTTCCCAAAAGTTGTCTTTCTATTGCAGGTAGTATATAAGTCGGAACGAGCCGGATCGGGCCACTATATCATATAGCTGCCATATAACTGAACGATCGGAAAAGCCATAACTTTGGTGTTTTTAAAGTTAGGAAGTTGGGATTTTCTATGGGTTTTATTTTTGGCTAATCAATCCGACCTACCAAATTTCATAAGGATCGGACGACTATATCCTATAGCCGCCATATAACTGATTGATCGAAAATGCCATAGCTTTGGTGTTTGTAAAGTTAGGAAGTTGGGATTTTCTATGGGTTTTATTTTTGGCCAATCAATCCGACCTACCAAATTTCATAAGGATCGGCCGACTATATCTTATAGCTCCCATATAACTGAACGATTGGAAATGACATAACTTTGGTGTTTTTAAAGTTAGGAAGTTGGGACATTTTATGAGTATTAAGAATACATCATATGAATAATTTTGGACAATATAATTTATAAAATATTCTGCAAGGGTATATCAACTTCGGCTCCGCCCGAAGTTAGCTTTCCTTTCTTGTTTTTGTTTGGATTTTTAAAAGATGATGATTGAACAGTAGTGTTCAAAGATTCAGCAATTCATTAGCACAGAGATGTAGATTCTATCCCAACTGTTAGGTGGCAATCCAGATCCTCCAATCTAGTAGCTTTGCCTGCTCACTTTGAATTTTCCTGGATGACAGTTGTCGCCATTTGCCATTTGCCCTTTCCCCATTTTCAATTGTGGCAGCAGTCACCCAACGTGTGAGCAACTCACCAGCAGCTCCGGAATATCGAAATTGTTTGCAATGTAAGAGTTCAGGTTGTGCAAGAGTTCAGATGCCCACGGAGAAGGGCAGCAAGGCGAAGGACGGGGTTTAGCCCCCCACAAAGCGGCAGAGGAAGGATCGCCGGGAGCGCAAGGATGGCAAGGAGGTAATCCCCGGCGGGGGAGGAGGAGGAGCTGGTCCAAGCGTGAGGAACAGGTCGTCCACCCCCTCGATCGCCACGGAGAGCAGCGATTGGGGCGACAGCGAGTCCAGCCACTCGGACTCTAGCTTCAGCTCCACCTTATCCTCGAGGTTCTCCAGCTACTCCAGCTCCACCAGCTCCACCAGCAGCAGCTCCTCGTCCAGCGAAAGCAATGAGGAGCCGGAGGGCTCCACCAAGAAGCCCTCCTGCTGCCGCCATCGGCACTATCACCGCCATCGGCGCCACCACCATCCCTCGCGCCACTCGCACCGCCGACGTGGGCGTGGCAGCCGCCACCATCGCTGCGCACACGGCCGCTCCACGAAGCGCTCCTCCAAGAAGGGGCGTCGCGGCGTAGCCTCCCCCACCGCCAAGGCGCCACTTGTGATCAAGGAGAAGTCCCCAGCCGCGCAGGCCATCCTGATACCGGATCCCATTCCCCTGCCCGTGCCGGCTCCCATTCCGGCCGTCCTCGCCACGCATCCACATCCGCAACCGCATCCGCAGCCTGTGCCGGCTCCCGCTCTAGCACCTGCTCCTGTTCCTGCTCCTGCTCCTGGTCATGCTCATGCTCCGGTGGCCAAGCCAGCTCCCCAAGCGGTGCCCATGGAGCATCATCACCGCAAGACGCGCGTGCGCAGCTCCGGTTCCGGCTTGCAGAACTTCATCCCAGCCACCAGCAGCCACAGCCAGACCGTCTTCCAGGCGAAGACCATCACCGTCACCGTCACCAAGAGCACCGCCACTCCCACTGCCGCTCCAACCGCCATAACCATGCCCAATGATGGCCAGTCGATGGGCTGTTCCTCGGAAGGCAAAATCAAGGTCGGCGGTGCCCGATCCTCCAGCACGAAGATACGCCTTGCCAATGCCATGGCCAGCAAGTCCGCCAACCAGGTCAATACCCCGGAGGCCAGCTCGTCTTCAAAAGCTCTGGCAAAGCCTGTTAATCCCAGTTCGAGGCACTTCAATGTCAAACCCCGCACCCTCAGCAAGAATCCGGAGACCAGCAAGATTGGGACTTCCAACAATGAGCGACCGCGTCGTGGACCTTCCACGCCAAAGCGTCAGTGGGATGATGAGCGAAGTGATGGCTGCAAGTGGAAACAGCGGCGCAATCGTAGTTTCGAAGGATCAGGAGGAATCGGAGGAGGGGGAGGAGGCGGAAGCGGAGGAAGAGGAGGAAGAAGAGGAGAAGGAGGAGGCCGTGGAGGAGGAGGAGGTGGTGGAGGAACCAGAGATGACCCCTTTGATGATCCCGACGCCGAGGGCAGCCAAGTGGCCTACCGCAATGGCAAGCCCACCTTCAGATTCCGCCAGCCCGCCCGCATTGTGCGCCTCCACATCAAAGGACTCACCCGCCAGGTGACCAAGGAGCACATCACCGAGATCTTCGGCCACTTTGGCGCCCTCACCGCCGTCGACTTTCCCATGGACCGCTACCAGGTGCGCCTGGGGCGTGGCTACGCCTTTGTGGAGTACGTCCGTCCCGAGGACTGCGCCAGCGCCATCAAGCACATGAACGGCGGCCTGATCGACGGCAAGCGGATCACGGTGTCCGCCTTCCAGGAGAGCATGCTGAAGGCTCCGTGGCGCGACTACCGCCGCTACTCGCCGGTGAATCGCCGCAACTCGCCGTCCCGCTATCATTACCAACGCCACGCGTCCCGTTCGCCTTAGGCAGGTCGCACTGTGGACGGGGACACACTGTGTCGGGATAATCGAAGGAGTCATCTCGGGTCCCTCCACCACCTCCACCACCTCCTTCTCGTCCTCCCCCTCCTCCTCCTCCCCCTCCTCCTCCTGATCCTCCTGATCCTACGAAACTACGATTGCGCCGCTGTTTCCACTTGCAGCCATCACTTCGCTCATCATCCCACTGACGCTTTGGCGTGGAAGGTCCACGACGCGGTCGCTCATTGTTGGAAGTCCCAATCTTGCTGGTCTCCGGATTCTTGCTGAGGGTGCGGGGTTTGACATTGAAGTGCCTCGAACTGGGATTAACAGGCTTTGCCAGAGCTTTTGAAGACGAGCTGGCCTCCGGGGTATTGACCTGGTTGGCGGACTTGCTGGCCATGGCATTGGCAAGGCGTATCTTCGTGCTGGAGGATCGGGCACCGCCGACCTTGATTTTGCCTTCCGAGGAACAGCCCATCGACTGGCCATCATTGGGCATGGTTATGGCGGTTGGAGCGGCAGTGGGAGTGGCGGTGCTCTTGGTGACGGTGACGGTGATGGTCTTCGCCTGGAAGACGGTCTGGCTGTGGCTGCTGGTGGCTGGGATGAAGTTCTGCAAGCCGGAACCGGAGCTGCGCACGCGCGTCTTGCGGTGATGATGCTCCATGGGCACCGCTTGGGGAGCTGGCTTGGCCACCGGAGCATGAGCATGACCAGGAGCAGGAGCAGGAACAGGAGCAGGTGCTAGAGCGGGAGCCGGCACAGGCTGCGGATGCGGTTGCGGATGTGGATGCGTGGCGAGGACGGCCGGAATGGGAGCCGGCACGGGCAGGGGAATGGGATCCGGTATCAGGATGGCCTGCGCGGCTGGGGACTTCTCCTTGATCACAAGTGGCGCCTTGGCGGTGGGGGAGGCTACGCCGCGACGCCCCTTCTTGGAGGAGCGCTTCGTGGAGCGGCCGTGTGCGCAGCGATGGTGGCGGCTGCCACGCCCACGTCGGCGGTGCGAGTGGCGCGAGGGATGGTGGTGGCGCCGATGGCGGTGATAGTGCCGATGGCGGCAGCAGGAGGGCTTCTTGGTGGAGCCCTCCGGCTCCTCATTGCTTTCGCTGGACGAGGAGCTGCTGCTGGTGGAGCTGGTGGAGCTGGAGTAGCTGGAGAACCTCGAGGATAAGGTGGAGCTGAAGCTAGAGTCCGAGTGGCTGGACTCGCTGTCGCCCCAATCGCTGCTCTCCGTGGCGATCGAGGGGGTGGACGACCTGTTCCTCACGCTTGGACCAGCTCCTCCTCCTCCCCCGCCGGGGATTACCTCCTTGCCATCCTTGCGCTCCCGGCGATCCTTCCTCTGCCGCTTTGTGGGGGGCTAAACCCCGTCCTTCGCCTTGCTGCCCTTCTCCGTGGGCATCTGAACTCTTGCACAACCTGAACTCTTACATTGCAAACAATTTCGATATTCCGGAGCTGCTGGTGAGTTGCTCACACGTTGGGTGACTGCTGCCACAATTGAAAATGGGGAAAGGGCAAATGGCAAATGGCGACAACTGTCATCCAGGAAAATTCAAAGTGAGCAGGCAAAGCTACTAGATTGGAGGATCTGGATTGCCACCTAACAGTTGGGATAGAATCTACATCTCTGTGCTAATGAATTGCTGAATCTTTGAACACTACTGTTCAATCATCATCTTTTAAAAATCCAAACAAAAACAAGAAAGGAAAGCTAACTTCGGGCGGAGCCGAAGTTGATATACCCTTGCAGAATATTTTATAAATTATATTGTCCAAAATTATTCATATGATGTATTCTTAATACTCATAAAATGTCCCAACTTCCTAACTTTAAAAACACCAAAGTTATGTCATTTCCAATCGTTCAGTTATATGGGAGCTATAAGATATAGTCGGCCGATCCTTATGAAATTTGGTAGGTCGGATTGATTGGCCAAAAATAAAACCCATAGAAAATCCCAACTTCCTAACTTTACAAACACCAAAGCTATGGCATTTCCGATCAATCAGTTATATGGCGGCTATAGGATATAGTCGGCCGTTCCGACTTATATACTGCGTGCAAAGGAGCAAAGGGTGTGTGCAAAGTTTCAATTCGATATCTTTAAAACTGAGAGACTAGTTCGCGTATAAACAGACAGACGGACAGACGGACATGCTTATATCAACTCAGGACGCGATCCTGATCAAGAATATATATACCTTATACGGTCGGAGATGTCTCCTTCACTGCGTTGCACACTTTTGACCAAAATTATAATACCCTCTGCACGGGTATTGTATGGCAGCTATATGATATTGTTGTCCGATTTAAATTTAATTAAAACCGTTATTCCATAATACTTAAATATTACCAAATCCCAAAGAACGGACAAACGGACGGACATGACTAGATCGACTCTACTAGTGATGCTGATGAAGAATATATATGCTTTATAGGGTCGGAAATGTCACCTTCACCGCGTTGCAAACATTTGACTGAAATTAGAATACCCTCTGCAAGGGCACAAAAAAATGTTAATTGTATTATTCCTACATTATTTACATTTGAAATTTGCAGGAAGTGGGTATCCGTTTAGCAACACTTAGTAACAACTGTCTAACATGTCAGTTGTTGCTCGTTTAATTGTATTTCTAAATATCAATTATCTTCGAATAATGTCAAACAAACTTAAACAACCTTACTTACAATATAAACATTACATCGGCGGTGACCCCGTCGTCCTGAACAAGGCACTATTGTAAACCAACCATTCGATCCCGAGATTTAGTCCGAGAACCAACGGGTTTCGGCCAAAAGTGCACCGACAGCAGCAGGGGGGAGGGCCTGATCGCGTTGCGCAGCGCTTTCGCTTCAACCTGCCCCGCGGAGCGCACCCCCCCTTAAAGTTGACCGTCACCAAGACGAACATAACACTCCTGCCCAGAAAGGGCGTTCGGTTGCAAGTCGATCCGGTGGAGTCGCGCCTAATGTAAACACAATTCGAAACGGGAATAAACAACACAGCCTGCCGTTCCGTCAGCAGAATATTCAATTAAATTCGTCCATTCGACGGTCGAAACCAAAATTTATAGCAGCCGCAAACGCCCCCTTACCGCCCGACCCCCTCGCCCCCCTCCACCACCCAAGGCTATGGCTCAGTTATCCCAGAAGCCGACACCATGGGCATTAAATCAACACAAGCGACACAGGTTGAGGTGTGTGTGTGTGTGTGTGTGTGGAGAGGGGGAGGGGGAGTGGGGCCTTGGGCAGCCATGTGAGCCGACCAAAAGCCATTGCGGTTCAGTTTGATGCACTTCTCCGATGGCCAACAGCCCGACACCCCGCCACCCCCTCAATCACCTCCTCCGAGGAGTGTGTGTGAGTTGCCTGCGCAAATCCAAACATTTACAATATTTTGCTAATTAGCAAAATATGTGTGAATAATGCATCTGGCAAGGGGTGGGCGGGGTCAGGGGGCGGTGTACGGGGTACGGGGTACGGGGGCAGTCGAGTGGAGCATCCTGCAGGTGTCATATTAAATTTATGACTGGAGCTGCCCACACAATCAGGAGACACTCATGTGGACTCATGAGAAACTGTGACAAGTGGCAGCAGTGGACAGTCTCAACATTTTGGCCATTTTGGTGATTAGTTGTGGGCAAGCAAGAGCTTCACTGCCGGCATAATGAGCGGCATCAATCAATAAATGGAAAAGGATCGAAAGTCGGCTCACAGATTTATACACGAGCTTTGGAATTGTGGTCATTGTGGGTTATGGGGCTGTTCAGGAAGTGCACCTTAGTTGAAAACTGGGTATTTTGTATCACCTCGAAACACTTAATAATTAAATACACTATATTTCTCACCTATAACAACAAAATGTATGACGCATTTTATGAGCTGCTATTCTTATTTCACTTGCTTATCAAAATCGTCGCAGTCTTTTTCACAAACTTAAAGTACACAACCCGCTGAGTTCCAAAACCCGCAAGACCCGACTTCACAATTACGGGCCACGAATTTAACTGATCCAATCCCCGGTTTTTGTGAGCTGATTCAGATGTCCAAGTGCGTGTTGTCATATGTATAAACAATCATAAACATAAGAGAGTGCGATTTTCACTTAAAGTGAGGAAGAGATGTTGGGAGAGCTGGTAATCTGGCGAGCTTTTTCACTATATACTACTATATACACTATGGACGGAAGTCTACGTGGTGACGAATTGCACGAAGAGGTTGCGGAATGAGAGTACTGGATGGATATTTTGGTTCGTTAGTCCTATTAAAATTGTGTATTGATCGCGAGGTATAGTTAATTGTCACACTTAGACTTTTTAAGATTGAATTTTTATTTTTATTGTCATATTAAGCACCTTAAGCTGAACAACATGTGAAAGCATTGCTAACAAATAAAATATTTCCGACACAGCATAGGAACAAAAAAAATGTAGTAATGAATGTCAAAATAGTAGTACGATAGCATGGGGGCTCTTTGCTGCACATAAGTTTTTTGAATGTCAACTGTTTGTCAAGAAACCCAGCTGATTCTGTCAATCAATAAGACCGTAGCACACTTTGTTCTGATGAACGCTTAAAAATGCGGTTGCCCTGGAAGGATTAAAGATTTTCCGCTTGCGAACTTGTTTTTCAATCTAAGTACTCGGATTGAAGCCTACAATTTAAATTTAACAGTGGTTTTTTAAGTTTTCGGATAAATTTTCGTTAATTTAAAATCATAGCTGCACAAGCTGCCTTGCAAAGGAATATTTCCGTCTATTTTTGCTCTAAGAAATACTCTGCTCTGACAACAAACACTTACAACAGATACTTTGTCAATTTTAGATTTTTACGCAAGAAAACCATAGCTAAACACGAACAAAAATGGTTGTGTCTTATAATACATTTTTGGTGTAACGATGAGCATTAATATTATATTTAATATTTCTATTATTTTGTTTAATTATAGTTATTTGTTTATTTATTACTTCCAAAAACGTATCACATTTTTCCATTTGTCCCTGTCTTTTTTTCTTGTAGCTTGAACGTGTTGTTGAGGTTGCACTTAATTAAAAGTCATTGTTCATCAGACAAAGTAGTTGCTATTATTATTATTTTTCCTTTCTTTTTGGCGCGACTTATTTAACGCCATTTAATAGAGCAGCTCCCAAAGGGAAGGTTGATAATGTGCAATTAGCTTCCCTGTTAATGTCTTAATTTAAGGCAACCGATCAGAACGAAAACTTGCATCTATTTCCATATAATCATATACTTTTATGGACTTTTAATTGGCAATTTCCTAAGCTGGTTGGCAACCTTGACGCTTCGTCTATAACTCACCCAGAACTTTTGTCTATTAAACGGCGCCGTAAAAGCGAAAATATAGTCATAATTTATGGCAGTTAAGCAGCTAACAAACTATCCTGCAGATACTCCTCGACCTCCAGTTACTCCAGGAGCTTTGCATGTTCGGCCACCATCAGCGGGGGGTGGGAGGTTTGGGGGAAGTCCCGAAGTGCTGGTGGGCTCAGAGGGGAACGGGGAAGGGCGAAGGGGGCAGGGTGCTCCTCGGGTTGGGGTGGCAGGTGAAAGAACTGCAGCTGTCGTCGTCGCATCCAGCACAAAACGCGGAAGCGAGTGAAAAGCAATTATCAGGTGTCAAAATTTATATTAGGGAGTCCCAAGCTGAAAAAAGGATACCAACAAGGAAGCAAGCAAAAGAAACAAAACAAGAAACTTGAAAATAACTTGGGAGTCCTGCTAGTCCTGCTATACGGATCAAAATTACACTAAGAAAAGTTTTGAAAGTTAAGTTGCTTTAAGAAATATACTGTTTAGTAATTAATTATTATTATAACTTAAATCTATTTTATATGAATTAACTTAATTTGTTCCTTTATTATTCACTATTATAAAATTTATTAAAAACAATTGTCTTTTCTTTAATGTACAGGCTGATATTCACAAATTTAATTTCGATTATTAAATTCTAGGATTGACAAACAGTTGCTTTATGAGAATTGCAAAGCAGGGAGTTCTTAAGTTGCAATAAGTACAAATATTTTATTTTTAATTAAAACGTCCTTGTTATTTGGAAATATTTGTTCACTGTGTACTCCTAACCCTTTCAGTAAAAATGATTTGTGGCTCCAGTGCATTGGCACGCAATGAAAAGTTTCTGACGAGGAAAAGGTAGGGGATAGATAGAGCTCAGGACTTCGTCGGACGCTTTATAAAAACCTTTTTATACTGCATAAAATCTGTTATTGGCATGGAAGCCGTCTCCCTCCGCCATTATTTATTGGCTGTGTGCGTGTGTTGTGCGAGACTGTGTGTTGAGCCTGCTGTGAAGTCAGGGCGAGAGGGGAGGCGGTTGATTAGCGCCCGAAAAGCAACTGATATATAGGAGAAATCTGGAGGTGCAGGGGTGAAGGGTGGCCAGCTCAAATCAGTGCCTGACACAATATGGCACGGTTATTGAAAACCGACATCGCGAGTGTGCGTATGTTGAATCATTTTATATGGAGGTGATTTTCCGGTCTAGCTCGGTGCACTTGCCACACTAAATGGAAACCTCGCAAGAAAAGTTTCCCGGAGCAGTAAAATTTAATTAAATGATAAATCTTGACGAAAATGTTTGAAGCACACTTAAATCGATTGCAGTCACTTTCATTTTGCATTTATTCATAACATTTTTCTACACCTTACAGGGTATCGATAATCTTTAATTCAATTACAAATTTCCAAAAATTTGTAAGTACATGTAGTACATGTACATTGTAAGTTAAACCACTTGGCCGCATTGCTTCAAATATAACAATTTAAAAACGTTTTATTTCATAATGGTAAATGGTTAAAAAAGACGGCCATTGGCGACGATTCTTTTAAATAAATTCCATATAAATTCTGGCTGAATACGGCTGGAAAAGATTTCTGGAACGCCCATGTCTGTTAAATTTTATTTATTAGTTATTTAAATATTTATTACTGTGACAAGCTGAAATGTACAAGCTCTTGCAGCTGTTACAAAAGTAAATATTCTATAAAACGCCTTTTTTTTCAAAAGTTGTAAGTCTGAAAGACTAGTTTGGGTAGAAAAAGACCGACGGGCGGACATGTCTAGATTTACTCTTTTGTCGATTCTGTGCAAGAATATATATTTATATAGGGTGCGAGGCGCCTCCTTCATTGCGTTGCAAACTGTTGATACAATTATCATACTATCTGCAAGGATGGTGTCCAAGAAGGAACGCTAAAGTCCAGTTTTACGACTATTATATACCCGTACTCAGCAACCCATAATTCCAATAACTAATTATTTTTCAGTGGCATGACTAAGTTTTCCCGATTTCCCGTGGCAAGATTTTTAAATAAATCAAGAGTACAACTTTCTTTTAACTAAGATTATGGTCAGGTTTCATTTCCGTTTTTATCCACTTAAAAAATGCTTACAGCCAAATAATCGTTTTCCCTCACTTATAAAATAGGTAAAAAAAACGATTTACCAGCAGATTATTGAGTTTAATACCATTGTTACGGTTTCATCCTTGGGTATGTGCGTTACAATTAATTTCAACTTTTAGGATTAATTTATAGGACAGCTATTCAAATTTGCCAAGCTCTAGCATCTTTAATTTCGAAGAGATTACTCAATAAGTTGAATTAGCACTTCATGACCGAAATCGGTTTCCCGAAACTCGAGATAAAAACAAGAGAGAACGCTATAGTCGACTACCTCGACTATTAGATACCGTTACTCAGCTGAACCATCGCAATTGCCTTTAACAGAAATCCTTATCGAGAATTAACGTTGACTCTGTTGAGCACCTTGGCCAGCTGTTTCAAAGTCATCCGTTAGATGGCGCCATGAAAGGCGGAAATGTAGGCGCTAGCCAGGCTTAAGCGTTTAATGGGTTTTTGGGCGTTAGAGTGGGCGTGGCAAACTTTTATTAGGCCAATCGATAGGTATTGACGAAACAAATACATATCAATTAAATTTTCATAATAGCATCAAAACTGTGGCCACAGCTTGTGGCTTGTGGGCGTCAGAGGGGGCGTGGCACCATTTTGAAACAAACTTGCGCTGCGTAGGAACTCCTAAAATCTACATGCAAAATGCTAATCTAGCTTTTATAGTTTCCGAGATCTCAGCGTTCATACGGACAGACAAACGGACAGACGGACATGGCTAGATCGACTCCGCTAGAGATCCTGATCAAGAATATATATACTTTATAGGGTCGGAAACGCTTCCTTCTACCTGTTACATACTTTTGCACGAATACAATATACCCTTTTACTCTACGAGTAACGGGTCTAATTACCATCAAATATAAAAAATGGTTTTAAGGTATAATATCTTTCGATCTAACATATTGACTTACGGAATTATTTTTTGTTTGAAAATATTTACTTTCTTCAACTTAAGTTTACTTTATTTTTTAAAAAACGTAATCCGAATGTTTGAGTATGGCAGTATACAATCACATTAACTTTATGCAACGCGTTAACCGGCCCACAAAAACCAGACTTACCAAGAAAAAATCTTCTATATGAAATCAGCAAGGAGTGGGAATATCGGGAATCGGCTCCTTATCGGGCAACGATTTGGCAAAAATAAATCCACTCTTTTAAGCCAACAAGTGTTTACATACATACAAGAGTATATTCTTATCTATAGATAACACCCTCCGCTACCTATATTGAATAATAAGAAATGTATGCTTCGAAGCATAAATTGAACCCAAACTGGTTAACATCCTCATCGAAGTCGTCTAAAAGAGGGATTTCCCTCATCCCACAATAAATCGCCACGACCAATGACAATTCATATTCCGCCGCACGCACTTGCTTACTATCAACACCCACATCCCCTTCCCTTTGCTAACCCTTCGCTTCGCAATAGAATTCATTCACAAATGTTTGGAACCAGTTTTGCGCGCCCAAAAGTATGCAGAGAGAATTTCCCAGGGCTTCAATCCGATTCAATCGGCTTTCAACCGAGCTGAGAGCGCTTCAGTCGTGGTGAGTTTCCCAAGCACACCCCCCATTGGGCAGCACACACACACACACGCACAGCGCAAGTTAGAAAAAAAGAAGCACAACGAAGTGAAAAGCGCCCGCCAACAAAAAGCAAAATAAAATGTGGCCCGGCAACAACAAAAATCACAGTTGTCTGATTCGTTCGCGGCGCCGCTGCCCACCCTCCCGTCACCCACTAAAAAAGACCACCCTCCCACACACACACCCACCCCCGCCCCAAAAACGACGACGATTCGCCCAAGGAGCATCTTCGGGATCGCTCGGCAGTCGCTTCACGCGACTTTGGCGCCATCGGAATCGAATCGGTGCCTTCAGTGCTACGACAGCGTTCGGCTCGTGCGGTTGACTACTCTGATCCTGCCGGAAAAACGGAAATCTGAACTGAATCCTGAACGGAATCGCGAGTGTTTTGCCGCCAAGTGTTGCTGCATTCGTGTTGCAAGTGAATTAAAATGATGCTCAAAGGCCAGGAGTGACCTGTGCTGAGCGAATTTATCGATAAGAGTTGGTTACTGCAGGCCCAATTCTCATAGAATGAAGACAGCATTCAATTGTGCAATATTTATATAGTGAGTTTCATCAACTCAAAGGAGATAAACTAATAAAATTACCATAGAAAAGTGGGTTAAAGTGTTCGAATACTTTGGGTCTGAAACTCCTTATAAACTTTATAGGAATAACTTTAATACCTTTTAGCTATCAAGTCTAGTTAATCGTGTTAAAATGGTTTCCAAAAACCAACTAATTAATCTGTTTTCTGTAAAGCTTTCGAGTATGGTCGCAATCACAACTGTAAACTGAAAGAACAATCGCTTTCTAATCGCTTGCTTTGATTTCGGCCACTGAAAGCATTCAATAGTCGTTTGCCAGATTTTGCGGATACACCAACAACAAGTAGAACTCGCTCGCGTGCCAAGTCGCGCGCGTTTTTAGCCGCTTGTTGGCAATTTAGCCGCGACTTTGGCGACATTTGCCGTCAGCTGCGTGCTCACTGTAATTATGTTTAAAATAAAACAAAAGGCGAGTTATTTATGAAGCAACAACAATCGAGCCACCCTCGGCGGTCAATGGTCGTCACATGATTTGCTTTCCCAGCTGCAATGCGTGCTCCTGATGGGTATCCTGAAATTTGCCTACAAATGTGTCTGGGCCGCCACTCGACGCTGTTTATTACGAGTGCACGGTTTTAGGCCGGCCAACACGGCCAACAATTGCATATTTTATGTTTCACGGCTGCCGACTGTAATTTAAAGTTCATTGATATCCATAAAGCGCAGGGCCCATGCAAATCCGCTGTCTGTTGCCCATTTGTTGCGAATATGTTGCAGCGCTTTCGGGGTGCCCCGGATATAATACGTTCCCCCACCCCACACCCACTGATTTCCTGGGGGACGAGTGGACTGGACCTGTTTTCGATTTATGGCATTTCTCTATCATTTGCATTTTACATATAATTCCTGATCAGTTGTTATCGCTTGATTGTGATTTCAGCTGGTCCTAAACCAAAGCCGAATGTGCAGTTTATAGCTGGTGCACGTGGCGCCTGAAAACTTGTTATGGAAATTAAAACATGTTGACTCAAATTTGGGATCTCTGTTCTGCTGCAGTACGCTCCTGGGGCTAAGTCCTTAAATCCGTTCAAACACAAAAACACGCCCACACTATCAATTGCAAATTGCCCGGCGTCTACTTCTGTGAGGCATACAAAAATTCCATTTGCCCTCAAGCGATATCGAACTGGCTTGTGAACCCGCTCGTCAGTTTGACATAATGGCCAGCATGTGGGGGACTGGTCTGGTCTGGGCCTTCCTACCATTGTTGTTGCTGTTGTTAATAACAAGCGATAATAATCAACTTCCGTGCTGGAAAGTGAGCGGTGAAGAAAATTCTGAAAATCCGAGTGAAACTTTGCTTAGAGGCGCCGTCAGCTGAGCAGTTTGAGTTATGCAAATTTTATGCAGGGTCCGTTAACTGGGTTTCACCTATTCTAGGCTGGATTGAAAAATAAAAAGCAGGAGGCAAATATTTTTGAAAAATGCCGAAGTAACATCGCGATAAAGAGCTAGCTTTATCACGTGTTAATTAATGTTTGCGTTGGAAATTGAATTTTGACTCATTGTATAGCTCTAGATGTTTGGTCAACGTATATCGCTTCTTTATTGGGCTTCCCTTTTCAGCATAAATATTATTTTTAAAGAAGGAATCCCTTATGGCACACAATTTAAGTCGCAAGGGGAGCTTAGGGTGCGGAGATTTTGCTATAATTTAGCAGCTGATTATATACATTGGGGCATGGGAGAAAAAGTACTGTGCATGTCCGAAACCATAAAAGTTATATATGACTTGGACGCCACAAAGTGGCCATGGGTACCTTTTATTATTTGTCATAAATATTTGCTTCAGGCTGCTTTAAAAAAATGAGCTAAGAAGACTTTTATTATTCGAAGCAGTTACAGCCCAAAAACATTAGAATTTCTGATATAAAACCAGATTCAATAAAACGATCTATCCGAAATATTGTCTTGCCTTTTCTAACTTTTCACTTAATAATAAGAAATAACAGAGATATTGTATTTATTTTATTATCTCCAATTGACGTTGGTACTTTCAAATTCGTTTGGTGAGATTAAAGGATTAACAGAAAATAATATAAAATTATAATAATACATTTGAAAAACATTCAATATCCAATGAGATTCCCAATATAATAAATAAAAGACTGAAAAAAATAAAATTTCTTAAGTCTTTTCCCAAATAAGAATTCTAATTTGGATTAATTCAAATTAACAGTGATTCATAAATTATAGAAATTTTTCTCCAATCGACATAAAATTTCGGAAAGTAAATTTAAAATAACATGATCACTCAATAATAAGTATAAACAATAATAAGTATAAATTTCAAAGATTCAGCCATCCATTTCTCGAAATTCAGCTAGTAGGATGATTGCCTTAAACTTATCGTTATTGATAGTTGTTAATGATTACCAAATATAGATCCTAATTTCTCGATAGTTATTAATCCCCTCGCTCACCAAATTTCCAAAAAAAACCGCCATGACTAAATATGCAAAGAGGGACTTTCGACACATCCACTTCGATATGGCTTCGGATTGTGGTCAGGCTATGGGCCTAAAGCCAAGCCACCACCTGCCCCGACTCCAGCTCCTGACGTGGCCCGCATGCTCTAAATTATTAATAATATTGCCATGCCCATTTGCTAGACATTTTTAGTGCCTACCGCCAGTCTTGCCTCACCCCCTCCCTCAACCATTTGCAGTGCTGTCGCTTGCCGGTTGTCTTTTGTAGTCTACTTTCCTGGGCATGCAATGCGGACTTAAGTGTGTGTGTTATGTGTATGACAAAGGACACATACCACACATGCCGGCAACTTTGCTTTCAATTCCGCTAAATTATGAAAAAATCAATATGAACTCCAGGGGAAGGGAAAAGGAATTTTAATGAAATGTCAGTTTAAAATGGTTCCTGTCAGTTTGCGGGCGCCAGAAAGTAGGCTTTTATTTTTTCAAACCAAAAATCGTTTGCATGTTGAGACTCATGGCCGAGTCAGCTGGAAAGTTAATCAAGGTTCCCAAATCATATAAAAGGATTTATATATTGATATTTGTGTCGGACAGACTATTACTTTTTTGTTGGTCTAGTATTCACTTTATTTCATAAATAAAATAAATTCGATTTCTTTATTCTGAGATATAAAATAAAATTTCAAGAATCTAATAATCAATGTTTAAAAAGTGATCTTCCTTTGCCCTTTACAGTATAGAACACTGATTTTTATAACTTTTAATTACTAAACACTACATTATTAATAAACAATTTTAAAACAAATCGCAACTGAACAAATTATTTCAATTGACAATTATTTTGTTCTTATTCGACGTAAAACAGGTTCAGTTTATGTTCAACAACTTTTATATTTCTTAATAAATATTCCACCGCAAACACAAACTATTTATATATTATTCACTTATTTAAAAGAAAGCGTTTTCAATCAAATTTATATATATTTTATGAAAGGCGTCAAAAGCCAGTCTGTTCATATGGGCAAAAGAATTGTATTTTGATGTGTAGCAGGTGGATTGCAAACATGAGTTCACTTGAATTGGCAAACAAGTAAAGAGTTCAAGTTAAGTCACCTGCAAATTATAAGCAAGTAAGCAATGTGTTTTTTAAGTAGTGAAACGGTTTTGATCACCCACTTTGCATATAAAGTAATTAGGAACACTGGATGTCCGGATTCAGGAGCAACGGAAAAGTTTGATTACAACTGCAGTGCCCAAAAGTCGTCCACATAAGTTCGTGACACTCGGGCTGGGTCTTAAAAAAGCGGAGGTGAACTTATCTTAGTTTCCGCATGAGGCACAACTATTTCAGACCTATCAGAGGTCCGTCAGGATGCACGGTTTGATGCTTTATTTACGAGTTCACAGCGGTGCGGCAGCCAACGAAACATTTCATTTCCGCTCCGTAAACAGTTTTGCCCTCCGGACACGTTTAAAAGCCGTGAAACAAAACGAGGCGAGCCAAAATGAAATGAGCAGAGAGGAAGAGCATGCAACACCTTTTCAAGAAGATAGTTGCAGGCTGGTAGTTAATTTCTGGCAGCTGTTCGCCTGCAGAATTTACACAGCCAGAACACGCAAAATAAGCCAAGAGCGGGCTTCACCTGGAGAAAGAAATATGCTGAGCCCGCCTCGATAGCACAGGATACGTCCGGAGAGGAAGGCCGTTGGCCCTCGTGCTTTGTGTTTTGGGCTTTGGGCCTCAACTCGTGGTCCCGCCACCGGCTCTGGTTTAAACTTGAAACTTTTTAATTTGGCGTATTTTCGACCGGCATCGCGATTATTGTTTGCCATTGTTTCGTAGTTTTGATTCTGTTTTCAAGTACTTTTTGTTGAACTTTGCCCTGTTGCCTGTTTACACGCATAAATAGCAACAGCAACAGCAATATCCAGAAGTTGCTGCCATTAGAGGCGCGCTAATGACTGCCAATTACGAGGCGCGCGGATATTGCCCACTCAATCCCACACCATATTCTCGAGCGGTTTCTGGGAGGGCAAGTTTGAAAATCTTGTTTGTCTTTTACACTCTATTTGAACGGCTTAGTTTCATCTAGGATCGGATTAGAGAACTCTGATGTGTATTTACACATGTCAAAATACATGCTTGTTATTCGAGCGGTGTCATTATGCGACTTTCTACTGGGTAATAAGGTTTTAATATTCTTGACGAACTCAATAACTAAATAAAAATGCAAATCTATTACTATCGATACATTTTCAAAAAGCCACACATATAAACGATATCGAACCTTTACACCTCGTTAAAAATTTTGGCATTAAATAGTTATAATATTAAATCTACAAACGTGTCTTTGTCTTTTTTTATCATGATTTTTTAAACATATTTTAAGAATTTACAAGTGAATACTCGACAAAACAACTCGATGGTTTCCAGTCACTGACAAACTTAATCAAACAAATCTAAGTACATATATCCAAAATGCAAACCACCTATACCCAAATCCGTGCGATAAATATTATCCTGCTCCTTATCCTGATGAGTCAGCAATGCAAACTTCAGAGAGTGGAGGTGCCAGCTGAAGTTATCGGTAAGTCAGTTTCTTCTGGAATACAACAAGTTATTAGAAAATAATCTTAAAAAACTTTATTATTAAAACTGTATTTTCGCAGGTAAACTGTTTTTATTCCATTTTTAAACAAACAATTAGAGCTCTTCTCGATTTTTTGTGTTAGGATAAGATTAGATGTAAGTTTGAAAGCACTCTTGTATATAATTTGGCTTAAGAGTTCTTTAATATTTAAAAAAGGAACCCATGTTCTCGATTGAAGATAACGTGGCTAAATAAGTTCATGTGTTATTATTATTTAAAAAAATCATTTAACTTAATTTTTGATGGTTTCTGGTTAAGTGTTAAGTGTTAAAAAAACAAAAATTGTGCAACCTTGATTTGTCTATTTTAAAATTTATGTATGCGTGCAACTTTACGGAGTTATATTTTGCAGTCTTGTGTTAATTTATAATTCATGTGTAAAGGAAAACCCTAGAAATCCAATTTTAAACGCTTATAATATTAAGGGCACAGCTTTGACCCTATAACGTACATATATTTTTGATCAGTATCACCAGGCGCTCTGATGTTTCCATTACTCTGAGATATATTAATTTTTAACGGTTTTACTGCTTCCATAAGAACACCTAACTTCTTTGATTTTAAGCATCGGCTTGCCGAGGTTTGATTGCTTTTTTGTTTTTGGTAACATATAACATAATTCTCAAATGGATTTAAGATATGACTAGTTGCCAGTATCTCCATCATTTTTAAATGCTATTTCTCCACCGTTCACATAACAATTTCAGCAGTACTTATTTGTTAATCGTGTTCGAATGTGACGCGAATATTTTGTGTTTTTTTTTGTTCTGAAAGACTTATTCTTTTATTTTCTTTAAATATTACAGGAATAACAAATAAGAAAATTGTACAAACTATTCGGCTATTCGAAGGTTATATACCCTGGCAGCTTTAACAAAAGAGTCATTTTTTAAAACGACTAAGTATAGATTGTAGTTCGTAAATGTTTTAAAACTTTCTTGGTTTATCGATTCATTTTTTGTTGGTTCCTATGGCAGCTATATGACATAGTCGTTTTATTTTTAACGTCGTTCGATCCGGACTTAATTACTATGTGCAATAAAAAAAGAGTCTTAAAAAAGATTAATTCCTTTAAAATAAGAGATTAGTTTGCGTAGAGGTAATCGGAGAGACTAGGTCGGAAATATAAACACTCTCGGCAGCGATATAAACCACAATCCATATTAAATCACAGGCTGCTTTCGTCATAATTGAGTTGTTGTAGTCGGCCAAAGCCCTTTTTTTAAGGCATGAACCATTTTTTTTCTGAAAGTACTTGAAATCGCTTTTCCATTTAAATAGTCTGAAATACAATTAAATACCTAAGACAAGAATGATTAATTCGTATTCAGGCACGGAAGATAATTTTATCTTATTTTTCAGACATTGTTTTTAAATTTTGCTGTCATTTATTTCTGTTATTTAGGATTAAGTCCAAAAGTTTGTGAGACCATTTTATTTTATTTATTGTCTACTTTAAGATTGTAGATGTTTTGTTTAAAAGAGCCGTCCGATTTGCAATGGTATAAAAATACTTGTTTTAAGGTGGATTAAAAACAGCGTTAATGATTTATTTATTTTTGAAATTCTTATGCGCGGTTGGTATATTACCAAATGTAATGGCAAAAAATGAATTCTTATTTTTTTACAGTTTTTAAGTCGAAATTTAATTTTTTTATGATTGTACGAAAACCAGCATGTGTCTAAAGAATTCCAGTAGGTGCATATTTAACAAGAAAGGAAAGCTAACTTCGGGCGGAGCCGAAGTTGATATACCCTTGCAGAATATTCCATAAATTATATTCTCCAAAATTATTCATATGATGCATTCTTAATACTTATAAAAAGTCCCAACTTCCTAACTTTAAAACAAGAGAGAACGCTATAGTCGGGTGCCCCGACTATCAGATACCCGTTACTCAGGTAAAGGGAGTGCGAGGGAGATGGAGATAGAAATTTTGATCACGCATAACTTTTTAACGAATGGTCCGATTTGAAAAATTTCTTCTACATTTCGATAGGTATTGATAAACACAATAAAACTGCATTTTTACTTTTCCGAAATATTTAAATTTTTAAAATCGTATATAAGCGATTGTGGGCGTTAAAGGGGGCGTGGCACCATTTTGAAACAAACTTGCGCTGCGTAGGAACTCCTAGAATCTGCTTGCAAAATGCCAATCTTCTAGCTTTTATAGTTTCCGAGATCTCAGCGTTCATACGGACAGACAGACGGACAGACAGACGGACAGACGGACAGACGGACAGACGGACATGGCTATATCGACTCGGCTAGTGACCCTGATCAAGAATATATATACTTTATAGGGTCGGAAACGCTTCCTTCTAGCTGTTACATACTTTTGCACGAATACAATACACCCTTTTACTCTACGAGTAACGGGTATAAACACCAAAGTTATGACATTTCCAATCGTTCAGTTATATGGCAGCTATAAGATATAGTCGGCCCATCCTTATGAAATTTGGTGGGTCGGATTGATTGGCCAAAAATAAAACCCATAGAAAATCCCAACTTCCTAACTTTACAAACACCAAAGTTATGGCATTTCCGATCAATCAGTTATATGGTGGCTATAGGATATAGTCGTCCGATCCTTATGAAATTCGGTAGGTCAGAATGATTAGCCAAAAATAAAACCCATAGAAAATCTCAACTTCCTAACTTTAAAAACACCAAAGTTATGGCTTTTCCGATCGTTCAGTTATATGGCAGCTATATGATATAGTCGCCCGATCCGGCTCGTTCCGACTTATATACTACCTGCAATAGAAAGACAACTTTTGGGAAAGTTTCAAGCAGAAAGCTTTGAAACTGAGGGACTAGTTTGCGTAGAAACGGACGGACGGACGGACAGACGGACGGACAGACGGACAGACGGACAGACGGACATGGCTAGATCGACTCTCCTGGTGATGCTGATCAAGAATATATATACTTTATAGGGTCGGAAATGTCTCCTTCACTGCGTTGCAAACTTTTGACTGAAATTATAATACCCTCTGCAAGGGTATAAAAAGTATAATAAAACCGACTAAATAAACTAAAATGGGCCATTTCTGGGTATACCGCAAATATAATGCAGTTTATTTTATCTATACAGACTGATTTTACTGGATAACTAATTCGTGTGCTAGAGCTCGTCAGTAAAAGAAAAAGTGAAATTTGTTATGAGGATTTTGATGTCTAATATCTTATGTATTAAGATAGCGTACTCTTACATAATCGTCAAATTTTATTTTTACAAAAGGAATAGCAATATCGTAAAAATATTTATAGTCAACATTTTATAACATACAATAGATAAAAGAGAATACCTGATAGTATCTAACCTCTTTCAAGACTATAAGAATAATCAATATTTAAGCTATCACATTTATCTTAATATTCCAATTATTTTCCAATCAAGCTGACTACGCTCACAACACAAATATCCCTTGACTTTATTACAGTTGATCCCAAATTTAGTTCCCCAATTGTGAATATGACAGCGCCCGTGGGACGTGATGCCTTCCTAACGTGCGTCGTCCAGGACCTGGGTCCTTACAAGGTGAGTTCGGGGGGCAGCCAATCCGTTAATAACCGAACTTAAATTAGCAAATCAGTGGGAAGCATTCTCTGCGCTGCGAGCTGGGGCTCAATTACACACTCAATAAGCAGCCACAAAACCGAAACCGGCCGCATTAATATTCATTAACATTTCACCATCCCGGACACGGCGTGTAATCTCAAAGACCAAATCTCGACACCCAAAAGCGGGCAACAAGAGTTGAATGGCAGTCGGAATGAAAGTGAAAATAAAAACATAAATAGGGATATGCCGGGCTTACTGGATGACAAAAGCGAAAATCACATAAAAAGTAATTGAAATATGAATGAGGACGTGTTAAGCGAGTCCGGAGTGGCGTCCTTTTCCCCCCCTCGGTGTCTGTGTCTGCGTCTGTGTTTTATTTGTGTTTGCATTTGCATTCGTTTGTCCCGCTGGGGGAGCAAGTGTATCCGTATCCGTATCTGAATCCGAAGCAGCCACCAGGTAACAGCGGGTGTAGATCTCCATTGAAGCGAAAAGCTTTGTGCCCTCACTTCGCTGGGGTTGGTAACCGGGTCGTCCTGTGTGGCATGATGGGGAGAATAGGGGGAAAAGGAGCAGGGGAGCAGGGGAGCAGGGCGCAAGGACGCCAGGGAGGGCCACCCTCAGCCTGTGCCGTGCACAATTAAGCAATGTTCCGCTCAAAGATAATTGAGCAGGCACTTGGGTGTAATTACTTACTTTATGCTGACAGCGTTCTGGGACCCAAAACAAACCCAAATTCAATTTAATCGAAAATAATTCATTAGCCATCGATGGAACCGACTGGAAATTAGCCAGTACTTAATTTATTTATGTGCATACTAAGATATGCGGTTTCACAAATAAGTCAAATAGCTTCACGTGTTGACATGTCGGCCGAATGGAAATGGGCCCAGAAGCTCCCAAGCCTCGTTTTCCCATGCAAAGGTCGAAGTAAAGGGTATGACCCTCCCCCATGTACTCCCCATGTACAAAATATTTCAGCTTTTTAGCTTACAAGCTGCGTGCTCTATCGCATAATAATTTACCAGGGTAATTGTACAATTACGAGCTTCTCCATGCGACTGTGTGGCAGTGTGTGCGTGTGGATTAAAATTTCTTGAATAGTTCTGGGAATAGATTTTTTGTGTATAATTGAACAGCGTTGCATGCTAGTTATGCTTAGTTTGGCAGTGTGATTCATGACTGACAGGCTGCGATAGCTACTGTATGCTAAATGCAAGGATATGCCCGGCATGTGATTTAAGTCAGTGAATTTTCTTATTTATATTCGAATTTAAAGAAGAAAAAAGAATACTTAGTGAATAATAGGAAAGGTTAGGTACAAATAAGATTATTTGTTTCATATCGTAGCATTATGTTTCAAGAATTTTGTGTCAAAAATTTCATGTAACGATCGGCATTTTAAAACTTTTCAGCCAACTAATTATAAACTTAGCACACACCCCAAAGGTATATATAAAATAAATACTCGATTTTAGGTTTTATGGAATCTATACATAAGTTGGTCTAAAAAATGAGATCCTAAACTAAATTTTTTAAACTTATATGTAATAAGAAACTTTTGCTACCATAAAAAAAAAAAGAAAAACAGATAGAGACCATTACAACATTTTATAAAAACTTCTCATTCGTCTCTCTGTAATGGGATATTTTTCCATTTCTGTATGTTTTTCCTTTAGCGTGCCGAATCAGAAAATTGTATAAAATTTACTTGATTTTATTTTAATTTACCAGAAAATATAATAATTTTTCGTAGCAGATATTGATACCAGAAATTTAGGAAGTTTTAATTTTGGAAATGCTTTTTGGTTTTGTTTATCAATTATTACTAAAAAGTTCGCAAATGGAAAAGATCTATACAATTGTACATAGCTTCGCTGTTCTTGGAAATAAATCCTTTCATTAAATATTCTATATCAGATTATATTATATAAAAAGAAGGAACTTATAATTTTTCATTTAATGAACAGCAGAACTATTTATGTATCCTGTAGTTGGAGAAATTGTACATATGTTTTCTCGCCAAATTGGTTTTGCATAGTTTCCAGTGGTCTCAAATAATCCAAACTAAAAGGGTTCTCAACGGAATCGAGCTGCTGTTTTTATGTTTGAAGAATAAGATTGGAATGTTGAGGAATTAAAATATATTTAAAATTGTACAGTATTGGCATGGATTATCAGATTGGGACCGTAAGGAACATGCTACTCTGGTATCCATATCCATACTTTTCTAAATGTAAACATTTTAAATTCAAGACATTACATCCAAAATTCAAATTTCAAAATAACCATACATTTTTATCAATATATAATTGGTTCTGACAATCATTTTAGATTATTAACCCTCTAACCATACATTCCAGAATAATAAAAAAGGACAAAAGCTTTCGGTTACCTGTTAGGTGAGAAAAAGTGAAATTATGAAGTTGAGTCTTATGTATTGTAGTAGGCAACCTTACGCCCGATAAACTATCGATTGTTAATGTTAAGCTAACATTAAGTATAACATAATCTTTAAGGAAGCCCAATGTTAATCATTCTTGGTATATGCATTGAATAAAGCGGACGTGTTATAATAAAAAGTGCCTAAAGTATTAAATATACCGGTCCTCTCACAAATTCAGAAGTGGGATTAATCTACGCAATGGACGATATAAACTTCAACAATTTCTCGGTTGTTCAACTAAAAAGATGGCTTTCCGCGTTGGGAATGCCAACTCAAGGCCTTAAGGCCGAATTGATGGCTCGTCTTGGGCGTGTTCCTCCCGAGGAGCGCGGCCAGGCACCACGCGAAGACGCCAACCCAAATTCTGGAGAAGATCGACCCGTTAACGAGGATTCTGAAGAAGATCAACCCGCTAACGAAGAAGAAGAAGTTCAAGGCGACGCCTCCGCCCATCAACTTCAGGGCGCCGAGGGCAACGTGAACATCGCACCAGCGGCTTCTCAGAGGGTGTTCTCCCGAGATGCCCTTGAGCAACATGAACTTCTTGCCATCATAAGGCAGCTGCAGGCAGAAGTAAGTGCGCATCGCAATTTGTTGCAACAAGCGCAGACACGTGGCGCCGCACAACAACAAGCAGTTGACAATAGTGGCAACCTCGGAGACTCGAACATTCTACCGCGGTCGCAAATGCATGCATCGTCTGGCAACCCTACCAGTCTGATCGTGCTACCGACCTCAGACGACAATGCATCTGGTGGCGGCATTACAAGCTCAAACGTTTTGCCAGCCCTGCAAGGCCTTGCATCGAGTGTCAACAGCAGTGGTTTGGCAGTATTCGGCTCAACGAACAACAACACCGCCGTTTTCAACGCCGACGGAGCTGCCAGCCGAGCTACATCAGCAACATCGTTATCTTTCGCCAAAGAAGCAGCCATAGACTTTGACGAAAACATGTGTGCTCGCATCTGGGTGGAACACCTTAAGAACATTGGTCAAGTATATGTTTTGGCCGACGACTGTCTAAGGATGCTGTTCATCACCAAGCTGAAGGGAAAGGCACAGCGTTGGTTACACGCCAACCCCACTAGAATGCTGGAACCTTTCGAGAGGCTATGCGAGCAGCTGATTATGGCCTTCGGGCAAATGTCTTCAAAATCCGAGCAGCGTCGCAAGTTCGAGCAACGGAAATGGCAACAAACCGAGCGTTTTGCCATGTACTTCGAAGACAAGATGATGTTGGCTCAACCCATCAACCTGGAGACAGATGAGCTTTTGGAACAAATCATCGAAGGAGTGCCATCAGCCAATTTAAGGGATCAAGCACGCATTCAACGATTCGCCAACCCGGAGCAGATGCAGCAAGCCTTCGCAAATATCTGCCTCCCGCAGATAATCGAGACCAACGCAGCGAAGAAGACATCTAGGGAGGCCTCTGGAAACAACGAATTGCGCTGCAGAAACTGTAACTCCAAGGGCCATTTCGCAAAGGATTGCCGCAAGCCAAAAAGGGCTCCCGGATCTTGTTTCGCATGTGGAGAAATGGGGCACTTCGTAGGGCAATGCCCTAAGAGGAAGAGCGCCAGCGACAACAACAATTATGTAAGATCTATGCAAATTTATTTCGTTTCGTTTTCTAATGTACCAATTATTGCAGAATGTCTCATAGACTCAGGCAGCGCGATTTCATTTATAAAACTTTCCAAAGTCCCATATGGAATACACATTACTAAAGTTAAGACTTCATATTTTGGTATAAATAAGAGCCAACTTAATGTAAAAGGAAAAACTTTGTGTTTTATCATGAAGAAAGGAATAAAAATTTGTTTTGATTTAATAATTGTCGCTGATGAGTCCATGAGCCATGATGCAATTCTGGGAAGGGATTTCATGGATATCTTTGGTTTAAGCATTAATCTAGACACCCTTGACACTATTAAGGATAGTAGTTGTAATATTAACAAAAATAACTCACTGTCTCACACTTGCAACTTGAACCTTTATTGTGGAACGAAGGATCAACGACATAGAATGGCTGATTTATCTGAAGATGTTTGTACGGATTGTCTAGGACATTTAACTGGAAATGAAACTGTTAAGGAGCAACTGTTAGCAAATGAAACTGTTAAGGAGCAACTGTTAGGAAATGAAACTGTTAAAGAGCAACTGTTAGGAAATAAGACTATTAGGGAACAATTAATGGAAGGAGATACTGTTGAGAAGCAACTCGTAGGAGAAGAGACTGTTAAGAACCAACTATTAGAAAATAAAACTTTTAAGGAGGAACTGTTAGGAATACAAACCGAAAAACTGACAAAGAGCATTTTAGCAGAAACGTTTGATGAGGATATGTTAGGCATCAACATAGTTGATGATCAATTCCCGGATTATAGCATTGGTAATGAAATCGACTACGAAACCAAGTGCAGGTTTGTCAAAATGTTTAAAACGTTATACGGTACTGCAAAAAGACCAGAAATACCTTTTATCAGATGTGAAATGAAAATTAACATAGAAAAATCGAAGCCGTTTAGTTGTTCACCTAGGAGACTATCATATAATGAAAAGGATCAGCTTCAGAAAATGTTAGACGAATACCTAGATAAAGGCATTATAAGAAATAGCGACTCGGAATATGCTTCCCCAATCGTGTTGGTAAAGAAGAAAACTGGTGATCTTAGATTGTGCATAGACTATCGCAAGCTTAATAAAGTTCTAATAAAAGACAACTATCCTCTGCCTTTAATAGATGACCTCTTGGATAAGCTAGTCAATAAAAGTGTATTTTCAAAGCTCGATCTGAAAAATGGATATTTCCACGTATTCGTGAGCAATGATTCGATAAAGTATACGTCTTTTGTGACTCCTTTAGGACAGTTTGAATTTTTGAGGATGCCCATGGGAATAAAAAATGCTTCAGCCGTTTTTCAACGCTTCGTAAACAAGATTTTTTCTGATTTGATCAGAGAAAATAAAGTTATTGTATATATGGATGACATAATGGTAGCCAGCACAGATATAGAGGAACATTTAAGTACATTAAAGGAAGTATTTATACGTTTAGTTAATAATAGGTTAGAGCTGCGGCTGGATAAGTGTGAGTTTATGCAGTCAAGCATAAAATATTTAGGATTCTTCATAACTAAAGAAGGAATTAGAGCAGATGATAGAGGTCTTGACGCTATTGAAAACTTTCCGATCCCAGAAAAATTACACAATGTTCAAAGCTTTTTGGGTTTATGCTCATATTTCAGACGCTTTATAAAAGATTTTTCTATTTTAGCCAAGCCACTTTACGATATGTTAAGAAAAGATAAGGACTTTACGTTTACAGAGAAAGAGTTTAATTGTTTTTTAAATCTTAAGAAAAAACTAATCGAGTCCCCTGTCTTGGCTATTTATGATCACAAAGACGATGTCGAGTTACATTGCGATGCAAGCTCTTTAGGATTCGGTGCAGTTTTAATGCAAAAGAAAGGGGATGGAAAATTTCATCCCGTGTTCTATTTCTCAAAGCGAACAACAGAAACTGAGTCCAAGTACCACAGCTTTGAGCTAGAAACATTGGCTATCATATACGCCCTTCGCAGATTTCGAATTTACCTTCACGGAAGGCATTTTAAGATAATAACCGATTGTAATTCTTTAACCCTTACTTTAAATAGGGTCGACCTAAACCCTAGAATTGCCCGGTGGGCACTCGAACTTCAAAATTTTGATTACGAAGTAGTTCATCGATCGGGAAATAAAATGCAGCACGTAGATGCTCTAAGTAGGTGTCATATATTGACGATTGAGGCCAATAGTTTTGAAGATAATCTGTTAATCTGTCAATCAAAAGATTCAAAAATTTTACAAGTTCGAAACCAGCTAGAGAAAAATCAACTTAAAATGTTTGAAATGAGAAACGGGGTCGTGTACAGAAAATGGAACGACGACAGATTGTTATTTTATGTCCCTGAAGAAATGGAGAGTCATATTTTACATAAATATCACAATGAACTTGGACACATTGGTAGAGATAAAATGTTAGACGCTATTTTAAAAACATATTGGTTTGATAAAATGAAAGAGAAGTGCAGTAGTCACATTGAAAATTGCCTAAAATGTGTTGCATTTGCACCAAAAACGGGGAAATCAGAAGGTTTTCTGCATAGTATTCCGAAAGGGGACAAGCCATTCGAGTTGCTGCATATCGATCACTACGGACCAGTAGATAAAGGAAGAGCAAATAAACACATATTTCTGATTGTAGACGGTTTTACTAAGTTCGTAAGACTGTACACAACTAAGACAACAAATACAAAAGAAGTTTTAAAAGCATTAAGCGACTACTTCAGGGCTTATAGCACACCAAAGACGATTGTATCAGACAGAGGTAGTTGTTTTACCTCTAATGATTTCGAACAATTCTTGTCTCAGAGGAACGTAAAGCACTTGAAAATTGCAACAGGGTCTCCACAAGCCAACGGACAGGTGGAGCGTATAAACAGGAGCATTGGCCCTATGATTGCAAAACTTACAGAACCAGAAAACGGTGCACATTGGGACACAGTAATTGAGCAAGTAGAATATACCCTTAATAACACTATACATAGAAGCATTAAACAGATCCCGAGCAAGATGCTTTTTGGTGTTCAACAGAAAGGAGAGATCGTAGATGAGCTTAGAGAAAAATTAGAAGAAATAAAAGATACGATTGTTACTGAAAGTTTAGAGGAAATTCGACTAAAAGCAATAGATAATCAAAATCAAGCACAGGCATACAATAAAACTTATTTTGACAAGAAAAAGAAAAAGGCCAAGGACTACGGAAAGCGGGATTACGTCATGGTAAAAAACTTTGATAGCACAGCAGGAGTTGCGAGAAAGTTGATCCCCAAGAATAAAGGACCATATGTTATAGCCAAAGTGCTTCGGAACGACAGGTTCTTGTTGCAAGACGTTGAAGGCTTTCAAGTATCGCGAAATCCGTACAAGGGTGTCTGGAGTGCTCAAAATATAAGACCATGGATAGGAAAAAGGAAAACATTGTAAAACTTAAGATTACATAACCACTTTGTATTAAGATAAGAGTATTGTAATTAGCTTTAACTTTAGTTTTAAGAATCTCAGGATCAGGGGATCCAAGTCGCAGGACGGCCGAATTGTAGTAGGCAACCTTACGCCCGATAAACTATCGATTGTTAATGTTAAGCTAACATTAAGTATAACATAATCTTTAAGGAAGCCCAATGTTAATCATTCTTGGTATATGCATTGAATAAAGCGGACGTGTTATAATAAAAAGTGCCTAAAGTATTAAATATACCGGTCCTCTCACAGTATTTGTATGATACTCTAAAAAACATTTTTTTTATGTGCAGCGCAAATGCAGTTTGCATTTTGTGCAAATGCACTGCGGTTGAGTGATATGTCAGTACTTGTGCCATTTTCTTCCATTATCCCGATTCAACCTATCCGGAAAATGGTTTAGCTGGTCAAACCGCAAGTCCGATGTTGCATGAGTCACTTTTGCACCTAGTATGAGGATTAGCTGCGAAAGTCCTTGAGAGAGTTTGGTCTGCATTGTCCACTCTGTATGAGAGCATGAGGATGGAGACTGGGTTGTACGTCCAGGTGAAGATCGATTAATCGACCTGGAAAGTTTTTGGCTTGAAATATCACAAGACCTTCAGCAATCGATTCGGGAAAATCCGCGAGCTGAAGTCCATCCATTAGGACTACGCCGCCCATGTGAGCGTTATATTCGGAAATCTTCGATGTTTCGCTTAGATTTGAGTCGTAACGAGCAGTCTCTGCTATTCCTTCAAGCATTTTAGCCCTTTCAAATGGCTGAACACCCACAGTGTATCGTATCCTAGCTCACCCTTTCTGCTAGTAGTTCTTTTTGCCCTGTAGCATTTCAGATTTGGATAACGAGTCATGTCGGACAACTTGCAAAGAATCCACTTTGCATTTGTTATAATATTTAACCTTTATATTAAGAATAATCATACAATAAACCAAAACCAACACAAAAATTCCACATAGCTGTGAAACAGCTGCTGGCAAAAAAGGCCTCCAGACACTTATCACTATTTCTCAGCTTCAACACACATCTTTATTATATTTGCGGGCCTGTAACTTGATTTTAATAGTTAATAAACATACCTTTCACGAAAAAGAATAATGAGCTCAATTGGTTTTATATTTATACTTTTATCACTACAAGTAAACATAAAATGTAGCTGGTCAATATATACCCCACAAATAACACATTTATATATATAGCACATGAACAATAAAATTATAGCTAAAAGCTATAGAGAGCTTTAAATCTTCTCGTAAATTAGTGTTTTTTGTTAACAGAAAAATCATATTCAATGCTCTTAGTTTTTAAGATAATGTGAATAATATAATAAGTGTCGCACGACACTCTTACGTGTTAGAGGGTTAATTTTGTAGCTTTACACAGTATTCTCCTTCAGCACATACCGCCGCCATTTATTTATAAGAAACTACAAAAATGTTAACTAAACTTTTTTTTAATTTTCTTTTATATTTTCGATTTCTATATAGATATATATTTTTTGTCTATACTTATATATGTAAGTTTAATTTTAAGTGTACTCTTTCGGTCTTCGGTTATAATTATACCCTTGCAGAGGGTATTATAATTTTGGTCAAAAGTGTGCAACGCAGTGAAGGAGACATCTCCGACCCTATAAAGTATATATATTCTTGATCAGGATCACCTCCTGAGTTGATATAGCCATGTCCGTCTGTCCGTCTGTCCGTCTGTTTCTACGCAAACTAGTCTCTCAGTTTTAAAGCTATCAAATTGAAACTTTGCACACACCCTTCTTACCTTTGCACGCAGTATATATGTCGGAACGGCCGGGATCGGCAGACTATATCCTATAGCCCCCATATAACTGATTGATCGGAAATGCCATAACTTTGGTGTTTGTTAAGTTAGGAAGTTGGGATTTTCATAAGGATCGGCCGACTATATCCTATAGCTGCCATATAACTGATTGATCGAAAATGCCATAACTTTGGTGTTTGTAAAGTTAGGAAGCTGGGATTTCCTATGGGTTTTATATTTGGCCAATCAATCCGACCTACCAAATTTCATAAGGATCGGCCGACTATATCCTATAGCTGCCATATAACTGAACTATTGGAAATGCCATAACTTTGGTGTTTTTAAAGTTAGGAAGTTGGGATTTTTTATGAGTATTAAGAATGCATCATATGAATAATTTTGGAGAATATAATTTACAGAGTATTCTGCAAGGGTATATCAACTTCGGCTCCGCCCGAAGTTAGCTTTCCTTTCTTGTTGGATATCATTTTCATATGTTAAAATGGCAATGTGGTGTTGTTTTTAACATCAAACAAAGGATGATAAACGAAATTTTTAATGAAAGATTGGATCAAAGTGTCGCTGGTGGTCCTTTCCCTCATAAAAACGTAAATCAGGATGGTCTGTTTGGGGATGGACGACAGTGATCCTTCTGCTCCTAGTGATCCTGCTTAAGCACGCTCGCCATGGATGCGGCGCGCCATAATTGCATAATTGTCTTTAGGTATCTTCGAAGAGACCCACCAAATACGCCTCAGAAGCTTCCTGCAGGACTCCGATGGCCGCCGACTGGAAACGCAAATCGGGCAAATCCTGGGCGATATCACGCACCAGGAGCTGGAAGGGGAACTTGCGGATGAGTAGCTCAGTCGACTTCTGGAAACGACGGATCTCACGAAGGGCCACGGTTCCGGGACGATAACGATGGGGCTTCTTCTCTCCACCGGTGGATGGCGCCGACTTGTGGGCGGCCTTCGTGGCCAACTGCTTACGGGGAGCCTTTCCTCCGGTTGACTTACGGGCGGTCTGCTTGGTACGGGCCATATTAACTTCTTATCTCAAACGTTGAACTCGAAGGAAAATTGTTATTTTCACAATTAAATATAATACTTTCACACGAGAACGACGATAGATACGATTCAGACGAAACAAATTTCACATGATACTAAGACTTTCAGTTTGTTTTCATTTAAGAAATTTTTTCCTAGTTTTTTCTTGTGGTTTTGGCGCCCTATATCAGGAAAATATTCTTCAGTTTAGAATTTTATTGACTTTTGTAAGCCTTTCTGAAGTACCCAAATTTTGTGTACTTATTTATTTAAGTTCACAGGGATACATATTCAAAAAGAAAGAAAGCAAACTTCGGCAAGCCGATGTTTAAATACCCTTGAAGTTGGACGGGTATAAAAAGAGGTTTAATTTTATAATAATTATTTAATCCCCTTCATTACAGGTAGCGTGGCTTCGAGTCGACACACAAACCATTCTAACCATACAAAATCATGTTATAACAAAGAACCAACGCATTGGCATTGCCAACTCCGAGCACAAAACCTGGACAATGCGCATTAGGGACATTAAAGAGTCGGACAAAGGCTGGTATGCACATTAAGTGAATTCCCCGATTCGTCATAATAATTGGTAATATTTCAGGTACATGTGCCAAATCAACACGGATCCGATGAAAAGCCAAATGGGGTACCTTGATGTTGTGGGTAAGTGGATGGTGGATGGTGGATGATGGCGAGGGGTTTATTTTTGCTCATTACGTTTCGGTTGTCAAACAATCATACGCCTCGTTGCCAGGACTGGCTCTCCCATTGTTCGAACCGTATTCCACGAAACAAAAATATTAAAAAATTAAATGGAAAAAAGGAAATGAGTTGAGCGAAACGTTCCCGCCGTCCATGGGAGTTCGTGGCTTATTAAATTCCACCAGCTAATACGCGACGAGTTCTCAGGGCGCAACTCTGCAAACGGAGCTGGCCGGGGGCGACTTTCCGTTGCGAGTGCTTAAACATGTTTAACCGTCCACTGAACCGCAGAAATTGTTGATTTTGAATTAAAACGGCAACGGAACACAGAGAGGCATCGTAAGAAGTACTCCCGGCCTATGGAGTGTTCGCCGGGCACATTTGGGCTGTCCATTTGCGGTGCGCTCTGCCCGCGTCTGCCCCCATTTCCCCCTGTGCCCCACTGCCCCTCTGCCCCTCCCCTGGTACCCACAGTGCCTAAATACCTCTTGCTGGCAAATCTAAATCAAAGCGCTAAATATTTTAGCCACCATTGCAGTCGGCGCGGCATTCACCGGCAAACACGAAAAAGTATAATCAACTGTGTGTATTTGCACTGGATAATCAGCGGGCAGTGCACAGTGTCACGAGATCAATTGGTTGATTGGTACATATGAAAAGTACGGCTTGTCCTTTGAGAATTAACGAAAGTTATAAATTATTAGTAGCATTATATTAATTTTTCAGTAATTTTTGAGATAATATCTAAACTGTCATTTATTCAATTTTATATTTTGTTGTAATGGACATTTCAGATGAAAGTTCAGAAAATCAAAATACACCTATGTACAGCCTGTCTTTTTTTTCGAATCAGTTGTGGTCTAAGATTTATTTGGTAAATTTTTCATAGCATTATACAAATATTCCGTTTTTACTAGTGAAGCTTAAAAAGCTATGTGCAAGATAACGAAGAAATCTAAATTCGTTTAGTATTGTCTTAATCTAAAATCTTTGTCGAAATAATTCTTTGTAATTGTTTTTATACCCTTGCAGAGGGTATGATAATTTCAGTGCAAGTCGATTTAGCCATGTCTCTCTGTTCCTTGAAAAATAATTAATTTTGTTGCTGGTAGTATATCAGTCGGGCCTACTATATTATATAACTTTCATTTTAGCAATCGGGAAAAATGAAAAAAAAAATGTTAGCTTCGTTGTTTCTTTACTTATTTTATTTTAAAATAATAGACTAAATCAAATAGCTGACATAGGAACGATCAAAAATGTTATCGTTTTAAGCAGCAAACTTTTTTGTAACTTGTATTCATTTAGTTTCTTACTTTAGAAGCCCCGATTTATTGGTTTAACCTGTAAAAATTATCAACGTGAACAAGTGAGGACACTCGCGCCGAAGACCACTGTGGCCCACTCAAAATGGTTTCGCGGGAAAATCGAGGGAGGCGGAAAATCGGCCACGGGAAACGTTCGAGTTGGGAACAAGTGGAGGGTGGACTGTGAACGGTGGTCGCTCCTGATGATTTTCGTGACCGAGTGCAGTTAAATAGTCGACGACAAACCGTAGCGGAAGCGGCACAGCTCTCACCTTTTGGATTTCCATTGCTTCTCCTCTTGTCTGCTTTTCAATTCATACATACTCGTACACGCATGCAGGATGTGCACGATGGACTAGCTTATACTCTTATGGCTGGACGGCATTTGTGACATTAAGCGAATGAAATATTCATTTTAAATGTCCAAATATGTAGCTTTTCGCGCAAAATTCGGTGTTGTTGGACTGATATCTTATAAGGATTGGATGTTTGGTCTTGTGGTAATAGTGGAGGCAAATGACAATCGACTAGACAATCTTAGTCTAAGCCATCATGGCCGGCTTCACTTACCTTGCCCCACCTTGCCTTCCAGCAGTTTAGAATGGATTTTGTGATCCGGGACCCACCACCAATCCAACCAACTTTCAGGGCTGCAATTTTCCCGCTCCCTAGCTAACCTTGGCCACTTAATGACCATCCAGTGGTCGGTGGCCAGCACACAGACTGACTCACCCGCTCCCGGGCTTAACAAGCTGTTTGTCAACACCAGCACATTTTTTGGTCATTTACCGACCACATAATTGCGGGATATTATATGCATACAGTCCAGGGACCAGCCCTCTGCGCGCCCCATTCGCCTCGACCTGGTATTATTACGTTTTCACGGTTCATAGGTTTTCCGCTGTGGGTGTCCGTCCGCTCCTCTGTCCGCTCTTCTGTCCGCTCCTCTGTCCGCTGTCCTTACCGCAGCGACGGTTGTAATAATTTGTGTGTTTCAGGACATGTGAAAAGTTTGTCCTTAAAACAAAGGCAAATGCGAGGACTCCCCATTTCGCCAGAGGGTCGAATGCAGGCGGGAATATCTTTTGGTGGTGGCGGACGAGAATGAATCACCGCCCTGCCTCTGTATCTGCCTCGGCCCACCCGAGGGCGCCAACTGAACAATCCGAGCTAATTATTTAAATGAAGAATTACAAATTTAAATTATTTAAAACGATTGCAGCTCATTCTCATTCCCGCTCTCTCTTTCTCTTTTCCCTCTGTCTCTTCACATGTGCAATGCATTATTTTTGTAATGTTTGTTATAAATATTATCTAACCACGACAAACGTCTGGCGACCTCGATGGCAACCCGATGGCTGACTGCTGACTGCTGTTGCCGTTGCTGGCTGCAGTACCGCCGGATATCCTAGATTATCCTACGAGCACGGACATGGTCGTTCGCGAGGGCAGTAACGTGACGCTCAAATGCGCCGCTACCGGTTCGCCAGAGCCGACAATTACATGGCGACGTGAAAGTGGAGTGCCTATCGAGCTGGCCAGCGGAGAAGAGGGTAAGTCGGGGCTCACATTTTGGTACCACGAGTTCGCGCACTGCAAACTATTCAAATGCACTCGTATGATAGCATTTTACAACACAAGTTATGATATATAATTTTTAATATTAAGCATAGATCCTGTGTGTTCGTTTGATAACACTGTGTTATAGAATGTGACCTTTATTTTTATACATTAATGAATCCAAACTTTTAATCGATTTCGGTGCGAGATTCTCCGACTCTAAAAAAAGGAGGTTTTGATCGCTTTTGAAACTCATTAACAGGGAAAAGAATTTAAATTTATTTATGTTTATTTCACAACATTTTAAAGTAGTTATATATTAAAAGAATTTTGTGAATCTGACTGCTAAAAAAACCCATTAAAAGCGAAAAATACTTAAAATTTTTTTTTGTCGAACACGGGCTATGACCTTAACTATTAAGATATATGACCAAAGTCTGGAAAAGCATTTATTATGTCCTCGTTAAATAGAAAGGAAATTTTACCTACCACGAAATGAGCGGCAGATGATTGAAATTCGTTCTGATAATAGTTTTTGAAACCGTTTTGGTCTACTGGCAAGGTTTAAAAATAATGAAAATCGCAATTTTTACCACCTTGATATTTTTCGTAAAACGCTGACGGAATTTTTTCGTGGGCTGAATCAAATTAGGCACTACAAAATCTATTAGAAAAATATTCCTAATATAATGTAAGTTTGTGTGACCAGATTTAATATACCATTTTCCCTTGAAATAAACATTAACAACCATTTAAAGTATATATTCTTGAGCAGCGGCAGTATCCAGCTGTGTCAGTTTGCGAATCCGCCAGTTTTATTGTCTATTTATACAATTATGAGTTACTTCTTTAATCTCACGTAAATCAAATAGTAGTCACACTCCTACCCTCTAAAGTCATGGTCAGGATCTTAGGCAATGATATGCTATCGGTCTTTAGGATCTAAAAAATTTTGTTGATTAAAAAAAAAAAAAGGCAAATATAACTACCAAAGTTTTCCATTAATCTAACAGCGAAACTCCAATTCCATGGACTTTTAGTTGGAATTTTGTTAAAAGGGACTTTTAGATTTTTCCCAAAAATATTGCACTAAATATTTTGTGTTTCTGAGTCCAGCTTCAAAGCTTAAGCTTAAAAAGGTCGACCTTCTGTGGCGGGTTTTTCATGCTGGCTAAAATGGTTGATAGCTTATTTTCATTTTCTCCCAGTACAGTGAGGCCCCCCTCGAGCGCCCACCCTGCTGATTTGTAAGTACCTTTGCCGTTGTTGCCGACTCCGCCGCCTGTATGAGGCTTGCCATCCAACATTTTGGAGTACTTTTACACAAAAAGGCAGCGGCAACCGAGTTGGCCATCAGCCGTTATAGCCGCAGGCAGGCTCTGGGCCGAGTCCTGCCCAAGGCTATCGAGTGGTAGGGTGGTGGGTGGTGGGTGGTGGTCTGTGGGTGGTGGTTTGGCTGGGTGGCAGTCCCAATTCGTGGCCATGGCACCTGAACCTGCAGACTGCAGTGTGGCCAGCATGCGAGAGCTCCGCCCATTCCTGTTTGGCCGTTGATGATGATGACGTTTGACTGACAGAATTAGCAAATGGTTAGGGGCCGATCGTTGGTGGCGGCGATGTGGCGGTTGGTGCAGGCCAGATTTGCTAATTGGCCTTGAAGTGTTCGTCAGTTGAGAGGAGTTGCTATTTCGAGTTCTTAATTTGGAAAGTTAGCTAGCCGAAAACAAGTTCCATTATAAATAGGACATTTTTTGTTTTTAATGAAATGGGTGTGCACTGCTAGACACATGTATTATGGCATCTCAGACTCAGTTTAAAATAAAGCATTAAAAAGTAATTAACTGCAAGGTAAATGTAAGACTTTTGACTGCAGATCTTGTAACTTTAAAAACAGTTCAGAGTGGAATTTAAATAACTTCGAATAGAATCGGATGCAGGATTTTGTTGCCCACTGCTATTTATAAACATAATTGTCCGTAATATGCTGAACACAGTGGGCTATAATGCATTGACGTTGGAAACGGAATACAAAACGTACCCCATACCCACCATGCAGCACAAAGAGCAAAATAATAACTGAACTCAAATCAAAGGTGATGCAGAAAAGATCCCCTTAAAACCCCCAAAACAACAAACGTGAAACAGCAAAAAACTCGTACGGCTAAATGAGAGGATGCAAAAAATCAGCATAAAGAGAACAAAAAGCTGGCCAAATGACCTTTTCGCCGGGGCTTAAATGGCTGCCACCCAATCCCGCCCACCCTCGGCCAAACGAGTCCGCTTCCTGTCCGGCGAATGCAAGGCCCTTTTCCATTTTCCCGATTTCATTCGTGTTTTTGCCTGTGTTTTCAAGTCGGAGGGCTAGACTAGATTGGAAGTCAGGGGGCGTTGCAAAGTTGGTCCGTGATGGAGAGTGTATAATATGAAGCTTCGCCATTAAATCCCTGCCCGCTTTAAATATTCATTTTATTTTCAAGTCTGCAATATTAATATGTTAATAATTAATATACGCCTACTATTTTCAATAAAAATCTAATAACTAACTAGCGATGTATATGATACATTTTTAATTGGAAAATTAGGATTTTCTCAGTGTTGCCAAATAAGTGAGTCATGCAGCTAGATAATTTTTCAATAAGCAATTATACTTATACACATAAGTACATTTAATATACAGCTGTTGTATATTCCAGCTTAAAGTTTTAATCACCACAATAAAAAGCCAGTAGAAACAGTTAAATTTGCCAGTAAGAAAATAACACCTACTTTTGTGTTTTAACACAATTTTATTGTGTTGTGTGTTTCATATAATATAATATTTTTAATGTTTGTCTTAAGATAATTTTAAAATGTAAAAATGTGACATTTGAAGTCCAAAAGAGTATTTCCCATTTCATTTACACTTTCTCTATTAATTTAAGCACCCTTTTGTGTTTCCAACCAAAGTTTGTTTCGTTTGAAATTTGATTATTTCGTTCCGTGTTCGTTGCCGCTCTGAAATGAAATGAAATGAAATGAAATGAAACCGGCTGAACAGAAGTAAAGTTTTATGCCATGGCGGGCCACCAACAAAATTACACGTTTTTCGTGGCTATTACGTTTAATGGCCGCACTGTGAAACGTCGGAACCGCACAGAAAAAACAGGTGGGAGAGCTCGGCTAATAAGCGACTGGCTGGGGCTAAAATGGACCCTGGCTCAAAAGGCAAATCAATAAACGAAAAATCGGCGTATTATTATGTCCCCCAACTTTACCTAACAATATCAAGCGCAAACTAGCCAGAACTTCCGGTTCCGGTGCACCCAAACATAACCACCATCATCCGTATCCGTATCGCCGTCTGTGGTGTTGCCGGCTTAAACCAGCCTCAATGCTCATATAATGCAGGCTCCAGTTCGACTATGATAACAGGAAGTTTGTTTGGAACGCCAAAACGTCGAGTGGTGCCATGCAAAGTGACCAGTATCTGGTACAAATACATTTTATGTGTGGCACTCAGCTATTGTTGAATGCACAGCACTGGAATTGCGCACATTTAGACCCTAGCTTAGAGAAATGGTATTACCACTGTAATAATGGCAAAGTTTTGTTCATACTTTTGTTGTTACCATATAATTATATCCTTTTATTCCGTTTATCCCACTTCAAATGTTTTGAAAGGGAAAAACCGCCAATGAAGGAAATGCAATTTAATTCGATTGAAATTAAGTCTTGAGGTTAAAAAAAACCTATAACCATCAAAATAGCAAACAGTTCCGATTACAAATACATGTTATAATACATGTGCCTGCCTGCAGCTTATATACCACATGGAAAAAAAAGAAGCTATTTGGAAAGATTCATCAATATAGCATCTAGTTCGCAAGAAACAGACATACAGACGAACATGCATGCAAGAATATACTCACTCACTCAGCAGTGAGCATTCTGAGTCAAATTATATTTAAAATTGTATACTAGTATTAAGCAATTTAAAGTATATATGTAAAACAATTACATTTTAGTAAAGCTCAGGCCAGAGGTAAAATTATTTGAACAAATATTATTTTGGATAGTTTATGACCATTTACATAAAACAAGACAAAGCCATTTTATAACATTTCGTTCGATTAATTTCACTGTCACACCTTCACTACCTAATTTGCCGAGTTAAGTTTGACTTTGGAGTCATAGGTCATGGAATCTGGGGATCATCGGGTAACAGGTTTGATTCCAATAACTCGTTCAAAACGTCTTAGCTTAAGTGGCTGACAACTTCAAACAAACAATTCAATAAGGCTTACATCACCCCAACATAAACAGCCAATGTCAAATATTTCTAGTCAGACAAATTCTCGTTTAATTTTATTATTTATTTCGAATAATAAAAATATATATTGCCATTTCTTCGACTAAGACTACTATTTTTCGGCGAACAAATTATTATTACAAAATTCTAAGAAATCGCGGCTCATATTGGACATCCTTAAGCTGAAGTTTTTACCGACATACATAATCTAATACTAAAAGTATTATTAATGATGTGAATAGATTGCGATACAATTTTAAAATATTTTAATGAAGATAATGTCTATATTTATTAAATATAATAATAATGAAAATATACCCCGAATTCCTTTGGCCAGATTGCTTTACCAACATGGCTCTTCACTGCTCATATCGAAAGATTAAGCTTCTGGAGCCCATGATTCCATGAACTTATGATTCTTAGGGCTAGTCAGGGCAGAAAGTATCATATTGAAAGCCATTCGGTGTTAATCTATTTTCTATTGATTGGACTAGTTGAATGTACTCCTCCATTATACCTTCTATTAATCACATTTGACTTCCTTAAAAACACATTAGCAGGGAATAATTTTGTAATTGCCTATTAAATAATACTTGCAGTCGTGAGTATTGAAGGCACTGACCTGATAATACCGAACGTGAGACGTCAGCACATGGGCGCCTACCTGTGCATAGCCTCCAACGGAGTTCCGCCCTCGGTGAGCAAACGGATCACGCTTGTTGTGCACTGTAAGTGGAAGTCATCACATGAACTTACTTACCAGATTTAAGGTATTTAAGCTTTTTAAACATATATAATCCCTTCTCAGTCCCACCGATGATTACCGTGCAAAACCAACTAATCGGAGCTGTCGAGGGAAAAGGAGTAACTTTGGAATGCGAGTCGGAGGCCTACCCCAAATCGATCAATTACTGGACCAGGGAACGTGGCGAGATTGTGCCACCAGGTGAGAGCCATATCACTATCCTATATGACTTACTAAAAACGACATGGACACCAAACATGTGTAAGCCTCATCGGAAATCAGTGGGTCCAACCTACTGCATATTGCCAGTACAATTAGTACAATTATTATCGTTACGTAAAGTTGATTTTTGGCATTGAGTTCCGCCATTTTATTACCAGACATTCGGCGAATGCTAAGGGACATTTAAAAGGTCATAAACCGTGGCGAGCACATTAGCACATTAGCACTAAGCCCGAAGCCAAATCAGACTGCCGACCAGACCCTTGGAGGAAAGTTCGCCGCTTTCCCGGGGGAACACACTACCAGCTAACAAACTGATGACCGCTGAGTGCAAACTCCACCCGAAAAAGTTGTTAATTAGCTGATTTAGTCGCGGCACTAGCACGGACATGCTCGGCAGACAGGACCACAGTCCTGCGGTTTCCGCGATTGTCGGTGAAATGCTGCGATGGCAGTGCGATGGCTTGAAGAAGTGGCTGGGTTGGCTGGGATTGCTGGTTTCGCAGCCGTTGTCATAACTGGAAATTAAATTAATTTACAATTTTGTTTCTGGCAGATTTTAATTGACACCAGAAAAACCGAATCAGCCCCGAACCCCCCGCCACTCCACCCCGCAGCCCCATGTTCAGGACTCCGGTGTGACATGAGTTCGTGCATAAATTTATGCCTGTCAGCAACATTGTTGAAACTTTGGCCCGCCCGTACTTACGGTCGATGTGCGCGTGACATGCATTTAATTATTAAATAACGCAAAATTTCAATTAAATATTAATTAGTTTATTATTTTAATGAAATATTAACTCTGAAATCAAACCCCTCGCACATTGCAGGCGGCAAATACTCGGCGAATGTCACGGAAATCGGCGGCTATCGCAATTCGATGCGGCTCCACATAAATCCCCTTACGCAGGCCGAATTCGGGGCTTATCGCTGCGTGGCGAAGAATTCCCTGGGCGACACGGATGGCACAATTAAGCTGTACAGTAAGTAGTTGTGAGATCGCATTTAAGTTTGGTCGCGGTAAGGAACGGAGTTTTGTCGCCGACAGGAATACCCCCGAATGCCGTCAACTATGTGGAGAACTTTGAGGCGCGGCACAAAGGTGAGTGACTGCAAATGCATTCGTTGTTATGAGAAAATTGTCAACAATATGCCGCAGAAGAATACCCTTCCCTCGAACTGCGAATGCAAACTGGGCTACCCGGCACCCAAGAGGTAGAGTAAACGGGGCAGAGCGCCGGAAAAGCAAAATTTAATAGCCACTTGGCATAAATTTAAGATGAGCTGGAAATATTCATCTTGGCCTGGCGTGGCAGGAATCATGGGAAATACAAGGCTGCGCGAAAAGGTGGAAGCGAGAAAAAAACGCATAAATAATTCATATGCCATGCAAATCCGTTTCAAATCGTCAACGCCACGGATCAGGTGGAAGCTGGCAGACGGGTGGAAGGGGATTGGGTTGCAAGTGGGCACTGACACTGAAGCTGAAGCTGAAGCTGAAGCTGAAGCTGAAGCTGAATCTGAATCTGTGGTTGAGGTCAGACTGGAAACTCGGGGGTGGAGAGGGGAGGGGAGGGGTAGCTGAAAGACAACAAACAGCGACAAGTCCATTATGAATATGCATTCTAAATACGAATCCTTTTCGGCAGTAAATTAAAGATACTCAGCTTTTGTGGCGACGCCCTAATAATACCTCCATAACCACCATTCAATAATTTCTTTCCCTGCACAGGCAAGAAGCGAACGAAAGGCTCGGAGTCGCACCATCCGGCCAGGGCCCAGGAGCACAGTGGCGAGGATATGGAAAATCCGGGAAAAAGAAAAGGTAAGTGGAAGGAAGGAGGTGGGGGGGTGGAGTGCGGCGAGTGCGGCATGCCGATTAGGGTTATGGGCCATATTTCAGGCATTTGCCCTGCGGTTTGGGTCCAGCTTAACAGGCCACTTGAGACAGGCGACGGCCATAAAAAATGGACCCATCCCCGACTCCCGTCGGTGTTTAACAGATTTTCACACTAATTTGCAAAACAGAAAGACCCACAAAAAGCGGGGAATAAAGGAAAACGAAGGAGGGCTGAGCAAAGAGCGAAATCGTAGCACACTTTTTTGGGCCACACTTTTTGGGCAGGTGGAAGTTTCCAAGGGAATAATTGTATATCAATAAACACGCTCGGCTTGGCATTATGGCAATTTAATGATTTGTAAATACTTGGCCACAATCAAATAAATTCTTTCCTGGTCGTCGGTGACCAAAAATTGAAATCCTGATGCCTTCCGTTTTTTATTGATTAAATGAATTGTAGGAGAAGTTATTTTCTCGAGCTGTATAAATTGAGCCCAACAACCTTTCGAGGTCAGCATTATTTTCCTGATGCTTTAAAGATTTTTATTAAATATTTATCAGTATATCAAATTTTGGTAAATAAATCCATTTTGTAGAAAAGAACTGGACTGTTTGTTTTATTGGTTTTCAGCCAAGAGAGCATTTTAGCATTTTCAAACGATATTAATCTGAGTGCAGGATACATTACATTTTCATCATAGCTGTAAAATAAATACTTGAATGACTTCTGCCAGGATCAAAGTTTATTTGCAAGCATTGCCCTCGATGATAGGTTTATTATCGTTTCGTTATGGCGACTTCACCATTTAGTAGACCGTATAAAAGTCAAAGTCCTTGGCTTGTTTTGAAGGCCTACCAATCCACCGCAAGGGCAATATTTCCACTCTGACTAAACCAGAACCTCCGACCAGGCTAGCTAATCACTTCGCTCAAAAGCCTTATCCAATTTCCGCTGCTGCCCAGTCGCCCCATTAACATACGTGTGTCCCCCCTTCCCCGCAGCCGATTTGAGCCTGAGTGCGGAGAGCATCGACAGCATTTACGGATCCTCGGCAGCTCGGACTCGGCGGCAGGACCTCGGCGGACTGCCGCTCCTCGCCGTGGCATTGGTCCTGGCTCTGACGACGGCGGGAGTGATGCGGCAAGCCCAGATGACACAGCCGCCACAAACACTGACGCATGTTTGACACAGACGCCGCACTGACAAGGACATGGACATGGATATGGAGTCAGCGCTAAATCCGGACTTGGAGCCGGAGCAAAGTCTGCAGTCTGCGGCAGTGGCAGTGGCAGTGCAATGATGATTGAGTTTGTCAATGCCAAACGCTGCTTGGCGCTGATTTATGGCTCGTTGCGGCTGCTTTCAGTTAAAGTTTGTCAACGCCGAATTACATATTTCAAGTGCGCCACCCGGCGGGTGGTCCGCATCTGTAGCCAGTAAGTAAACTAGGCTTCCTAATTCCAAATCGCGCCATTGTTAAGCCGTGGAATTTTAGTTAGGGTTCGAGTTCAGCCTTCAGTGCAACCAAATCAATTACGGCACTTGTACATAGACGTATTGCAAGGTTTTCGAATAACTCTAGCAGGTAAAAAGACTGGAGTTGGCAAGGGGCTATGTATTATAAGTATTGTATAAACCGGATGTGGCAAGAGTCTAAGTGGGCGACATGTACTTACCGTTTGACAACAAATTAAAAAGTTTAGTTTTAAAGCTGTTTAAATAAGTCTTCGGTAAAGAAAATATGAAAGGTAAAGATAAAAATTCGCGGAGTTTCAAAAATATATGAAAAACTACCATCATATTCGATATACATAGCTATATCACAAACTGCAAAGAGAAATAAATATCCGCCAAAAGCTTAACAGCTTTAATGTAAAAACAAAAAAAATATTTATTAATTAGCTCAGCAGCTGGCTGTGTTCCCAAAAACTTAAACCAACAAAAAAGCTTCATTTATTTTTCTTTACCTTGCCTCATTGCTCCTGAAATATATTAAAACCATATAAAACGTTTAAACATATGTACCACTTCGAACAAAATACATATCATTTATTCAACATTCTAAACTTAGAACAAATTCTATACATTTTTGTTTATTTTATTTCGACAAACAATCAACATTAATAAAGAAAACGGTTATTCAAACAAAATATAAAAAATACTAGACATGCAGTAAATTTAAATGGGCAAATTAATCTCACGATTAAGTGCGGATGGGGGCTCCATTTAATATATATTTAGCAAAATGTATATTTCCAGACGAAAATAAATTGTTAAAAAAGCTAATTATATCAGTTATGTTTATATCGCTATTATATACACATACATACGTTTATCAAATATCAATATTAATTAATAATTTTAAGCATCACATGTACATGACAGTGTAAGCAAATTGCCGAATCGACAGGAATATTTATAAAATAAATAAAAGTTTAACATTAATGTGTTAAGAAAAACATATCTTTATAAATGTGGGACATGAGCAAGTGAATTCAATGTGGATTGGGCGAAGTTTCTGGTTGGTAAGTATACGTGTAGTGAACAGATTTTTAAGGGGTTTGATTCCCAATTTTGAATTTTATTAACTTTTTAAATATGGTCGTTCTCTATCATCTACAGATCATAACGAACGAGTTCAGTTGTAATGAAAAGTTAAAGAGTATCCATTTCAAGTAAAATGTGTTTTTACTGACTCAGAAAACATGCGAAAAACGAATTTAAAAACAATTTGAATTGCCATTTTCAGGATCAAGGAGTCCGCCTGTACCGGTAAACCCAACTTTTATCTCAGCAGTAAAATGTCGATTTTATTTTGTTGGTAAGGTTAATTTAATTTTATAAGCGAAAATATTAACGATTTGAAATAATGGTTATTTTGTAAATCGAAAAACATATGGCTAGAAAATAATAGATTTTTTTTTTTATTTTCTTCTTATTTCTAATTTAAATCTTCTCTAATCTCAAAAAATCAAAATATTTCCAAAATAAACAAAAAGTAAAAACAGTTTCACAAACCCTTAAATACACTTTGGCTGGACACATAATAGGTGTACGAAGATAAATGTTTAAATTAAATCAATATTTCACTATGATTTGTCTTGTTTTTTATTAAACTAAGTATCTGGCAAAACAGGTGCAAAGTCTTTCAAACCTCTTTTGCAATCACCCCTAAAAATTTTCGATGGTCCGGGGTTTGACTTGGCAACTCAAGAATATCCAAATTTGGCTCTCGGAACCAATCCTTTACTATTTGAGAGGCGTTGGTCATTATCTTGCTGAAACTTCCATAAACGTGGCATATTATCCTCGGTACCATCACCGTCTCCAATAGATCTTTGTATAGGAATCTGTCTATTATTCCGTCAATACGATGAAACGGACCTACACCGTTCCATGAAAAGCAGCCAAATACCATTAGTCTACCACCTCCATGATTCCCAGTTTTATATGTGTACGTAGGATGAAATTCTTTGGTTTTTGCACGACAAACATTCCTTTTCCCAAAATTTCCAAATAAACTTATTTTGGTTTCGTCACTCCAGAGGATATTACGCCATTTGGTTCTCACCCTGCGGTCCGCTCCAGGTTTTAGAACTAATGCAAGTATGTTCCTCATCTGTAAATTTGCCGACCAAAGGAACACTGCGAACAATCCTACCTAGTTCTTAAGTATATTTTCATAATATTTTACCTTCTGCAACCAAATAATTGTATTTATAAGCCACAGGTTAATGTTTTGCTTAATTTGCAAAGCAATAATTCAAATCACAATTTTTCTTAGAAAGCTATTTAATTTCACACTTTTCGCGCCGGAACAGTGAGAAGATATTAAAAAAGTAGAGCCTCCTTTTTAAATGCTTAGATCAATTAAAATCGATATTTGAAAATTAGTTCACACCTATTATATTGTCCATTAATTTTTTGAATTGTAAAAATTGTGGGCTTGACTTTTTCGTGCATTGAAAAATATATATAAGAAACCACAACTCAAAACCCCTTAAATTTTTAAAACTATTTATTAGCTTAGATTTAGCGTGTTATGTGTTAAAATAAGTTTTTTTTTATGTAAAAATATTTTTGAATATAGTCAGATTTCAGGCTATTTTAAGAAAGACTGAGCATTTTTAAAAAGTAGCTTTTAAAACAATTTAATATAATTTTATTTAAATATAGGAATTGTTTTTTGGTTCTTGGATGACTTATGTAAATGTAAAACAACATTTTAAAAAAGATATATATAAATATCTATATGTCTTTTAAATATATCTTTACATAATGTACTTCTTCTTCTTAAAAGTCTTTTGCCTTTTATTTTCGCGATCAACAGTTTGTGTCAGGCTGAGATCGACTAGTTGAACTTTGATTGTTTTAAAGTGATGTGGATTGCTCAACTTGTTGAAATGCTGAACTATTTGATTTTGAAGTAATTTAAGTTATCAACAAGACCTAGAAAGGCATACATTTCAAATATACATTTAACTGGGCTCTAAAAAACCAAATTAAAAGCGGCTACAAATTTGAAATAAAACAAAAAATCGCTCTCATTAAGAAATCTTTAAGTGCTGGCCAACACGCAAAACCAAACCATCATAGCAAAGCCAAAATTAGAAAATACAACTCGGAAAACTCTTCAAAAAGGCTCCTCAGGCTAATAAAAGCCCTTTCCAGTCGGTGTGAGCGTGTGTGTGGGACCCTGTCGGTGTGTGTGCGTGTGTATTACGGCTAGTTTTTATTACATTTGTTTCCAGGAATTTTCAGACATGCCAAAACAGGTGCAACCGCAGCACAGTTCGGCTTACGTGAGCTGCTTGTTTGCTCCTTTTTTAGTGCATTTTCATGGATTTTTCTCTCGCATGGTTTTTCCTGCCCGAGTGGCGGAGTGCCATGACCCATGGGTATATCTGACAGACATTTTGCATATTATCCATATAAATCTCAAGGTTAAAGAGTTGTAAATATGCATTTACATCACCGAAGATTGGGTAACGTTCACCAAAGCCATTGCCCAAATGACCTAAATATTTTCGATTTTAATAATGTCAATATGTTTGCATCCTGATGGCGTTGCACGTTGGTTGTTAAAAAATGTGATTAAACGTAGTTCTTTTGCATGACAGCCGTTTAAAGCTTACGGAATGCTCAAAATATGAAGAGTTGAGAAGTGTTTAAAAGGCTACTGGTTGTTAAATTTAGAAAATATATACATAAGTTAGAATAGAATAGCCGATAAAAACAATTTATTTTAATTAAACAAATAAACAATTATTTCTTGTATTAAATAAACTCGAATAGGTTAAGAACCATATTATTTTACTTTGCAATAAAAAAATCGTACAGCTACATATACTTAATTGAAGACCGTTTCTTAAAGCAATGACGATTTATTCAAAAAATGGAATGTTTTAGGAACGACTAATTCATATAACTTTTATCGGTACGTTTTGAAAGATCAAAAATGTTTCAGTTCCATTTCGTGTAGAAATTAGTAATTTAGTATTATAATTATAATGTTGCCGAAAATGTCCTCACGAAGAGCTTGGAAAACTTTACGACGTAAATCTTCGTACTCCGAGTTCGCCTTCCCCTTTTGGAATTCTTTAAGTAAGGAGCACAACATTTTTAAATGGCAGTTACTGTAAAACTAAAACGGTATTTCTAAAATTGTTAGGAAACAACAAAGTAATATTTTTATTTCCATTTTATCTTGGATTGTCTCTATGGGAGCTGTATGATATTGTAAGCCGATCCGGCACGTTCCGGTTTACAGAATGGAGACTTTTGCAAAGTTTCATCCAAATAGCTTTAATACTGAGGGTCTAGTTTGCGATGAAACAGATCAGAGGCTAGATCAACTCGCTATGGGAAATGTGCTCAACCCTGCGTTGCAAACTCTTGACGGAATTATAATACCCTCTCCAAGGGTATAAAAATGTTAAGTTTGGATTTGAACTCGTGTGGTGTGTATTGAAAGTCTAAATTATAATTGTTGTATTAAATAAATTTTAACTTTATTTTTCACCAATAAAAAAAGTTGTTCTACACAAGGAGTCTCGACTGCCGCTTGGAATTTGTTTCTGCCTTAGTATTTAGAGCGAAGGTTGGTCCCGTGTAACAATTTACAAGCGTCAATTAGGATTCGAAAGCTTTTAAAAAACTGAAGCTACAATTACGATTTATAAAACAAAGTTAAGTGTAAATGAACGTTGTGTTATAGAATAAATTAAAATATAACCCACGTATGACGTCGAGTTTAATCAATATCTTCAATTAAAACAAATATAGCAATTACAGTGAAATTAAATGCTTTTCCTTACCAAACATTTTCTCTTAGTCATAAAAAAATAGGTCAGGTAATAACTACACATCCGAATTTTACATGAAATTGTTATTTGACCTTCGTGATTGCTGAAATATGATTAACAAGAAAGGAAAGCTAACTTCGGGCGGAGCCGAAGTTGATATACCCTTGCAGAATATTCTTTAAATTATAATCTCCTAAATTATTCATATGATGCATTCTTAATACTCATAAAAAGTCCCAACTTCCTAACTTTAAAAACACCAAAGTTATGTCATTTCCAATCGTTCAGTTATATGGCAGCTATAAGATATAGTCGGCCGATCCTTATTAAATTTAGTAGGTCGGATTGATTGGCCAAAAATAAAACCCATAGAAAATCCCAACTTCCTAACTTTACAAACACCAAAGCTATTGCATTTCCGATCAATCAGTTATATGGCGGCTATAGGATATAGTCGTCCGATCCTTATGAAATTTGGTAGGTCGGATTGATTAGCCAAAAATAAAACCCGTAGAAAATCCCAACTTCCTAACTTTAAAAACACCAAAGTTATGGCATTTCCGATCGTTCAGTTATATGGCAGCTATATGATATAGTGGCCCGATCCGGCTCGTTCCGACTTATATACTACCTGCAATAGAAAGACAACTTTTGGGAAAGTTTCAAGCAGATAGCTTTAAAACTGAGGGACTAGTTTGCGTAGAAACGGACGGACAGACGGACAGACGGACGGACAGACGGACATGGCTAGATCGACTCTCCTGGTGATGCTGATCAAGAATATATATACTTTATAGGGTCGGAAATGTCTCCTTCACTGCGTTGCAAACTTTTGACTGAAATTATAATACCCTCTGCAAGGGTATAAAAATAAAACAAGAGAGAACGCTACAGTCGGGTGCCCCGACTATCAGATACCCGTTACTCAGGTAAAGGGAGTGCGAGGGAGATGGAGATAGAAACTTTGATCCCGCATAACTTTTTAACGAATGGTCCGATTTGAAAAATTTTTACTTTTCCGAAATATTTAAATTTTTAAAATCGTATATAAGCGATTGTGGGCGTTAAAGGGGGCGTGACACCTTTTTGAAACAAACTTGCGCTGCGTAGGAACTCCTAGAATCTGCATGCAAAATGCCAATCTTCTAGCTTTTATAGTTTCCGAGATCTCAGCGTTCATACGGACAGACAGACAGACGGACAGACGGACAGACGGACAGACGGACATGGCTATATCGACTCGGCTAGTGACCCTGATCAAGAATATATATACTTTATAGGGTCGGAAACGCTTCCTTCTAGCTGTTACATACTTTTGCACGAATACAATATACCCTTTTACTCTACGAGTAACGGGTATAATTATTAACCACTTAAAATGTAAAGGGTAGGGTGTTGTGTACATTTCGGCTAAATACACGTTATAGATTGTTCCATTCATCGTTGTCAAGGTTGTCCATGCCTTTAATTATTATTTTGCAAGCTTTACAGTTGTTACCCTAACTTGGTTACTAATCAAAACAATAAACGTCTTTTCTGCTACAGACAAACGCATATTCTCCAGTTTGCTAAGTTTAAACGTTTAATAGTCACATACCGGTCGTTCTGTCTTAAATACCAGTTCTGAAAGAAGGTCTATTGTCAATGTTTCGACCGGATAGATTTAAATTTACAATTATTCTGTTATTTTCTTTCCGTCTTATCAGTTTCGCAACACCTTACTTAATTTTTGGCTCGCTCACCTCAATTTTCCGAAATTCAATTACCAGTAAGCAATTACATAGGTTTAGATACGCTACCCGAAGCAATCTCATATATTAGCATAATTACAAGCAGTTGTCGCAGAACTCGTAAGAAATTCAATTCAGTGGCGCCAGCTGTCGGCGGCAAATGGCATCTGGGTACAATTAACATTACTTAAATACACATTAAGGTTAAAGACGCGCAATTTCTTCATGTTTTGCGGCTATTTTTTCAGCGCTGAGTTGTTTATCAACTGAGGGGGTCCTAAAAATTGCGTGACGCACAAAAGGAAAGCATTTTGGGGTACAAAGCGAAGGAAGAGGAAAAACGCGAACTAAGGCACAAGGGGACTCAATGGTGAACAGGAAGGGCAATGAAAATAAACACAGTAATTAAGTTAATGAGCATTTTGAGATTTATTATTAATTTTCTTTTGTTCTCCCTGAATTGTGGTGCAAAATCATTCCGAAAAATGTTCTGTGGTTATTTATTATAATTATTGGCAAGCTTTCGCTTTCGTCCTAGTTTTTTCTGTAGCCTTTAATTTGCATTTAAAACGCTCCGAGCGCGGAAAAATGCGCTAATCCACATTCTGGATTTTGTTTCACAATAATTGTTTTATTTTGTTTGCGACTGCGAGAGTGCCCTTAATTGTTATTTAAATGCTTTGCAAATAATTTTAAATATTTGCAGGCAAATAAAAAATAATCGTTTTCTGAAAGCTTTTGGTAAAAATGGTTTGCTAATTTATAGGTTGTCGTAAAAGTCTCTGCGGGCATACAAATTTTGTCATCATACTACCAGTGATTACGCCATCCTCACATGAGAAGGACTCAATTTAGCAATTGTCCTTAAGTTTACGATTTCGCATTGAAGTTTATGGCTTTGCAAAGACAGAAAACCAAAACAAAAACTTTTGTGAAAAAGGGCAACCATTTAAGACCTGCACAAAGTTGCAAACATATAAGCAACACGACCATTAAAAAACCAAAAGTTATCCGTTAATGTTACCCCTAAAGCAACTATAAACAAATTGATTTAGCCATGGTTATAACAGAAAAACCTTGAAATCACGGGCTAAAACAAATGGGTAAACCATTTTAGTTAATAGAAATAGTTGTTTCAATTGAAGACAGCAATTTATTTATCAATTTCCATACAATTAGCCAAATAAGTCCCATTTGAGGAACATATTCCAGCCCAAGGCATTTTTAGTTGAAGCCATTATCAGTGGCCCACAATATAATGATAGTGCTAATGACGAGAGGCCCGAAAGCGATTAGGCGGGCTCACAAAACGTGTAAACAAATTGCCAGCTAACTAAAGGACTAATCGCCCGAAAGACCCTTTCCCACACACCCCGCAAAGGGCCCAAAAGGTCCCTTGGACCCTGTCAGATATCCCACATAATCATGTCTGACTCGCTCCCATCCTGTAAACAAAACTACAATTAATCAAAGATTTTTACCTAACGGGACTATATTACACGAGGCTTTGGTTAATTGCATAAATAAAACTCTGACGGCCGTGGTGGGTGGAAAAAAGCTTAATTAAGCCTGCTCCACCACCTGCCGACTCCCCGTGGACTGGCAAATAAATAATAAAAACACAAATTGACACAAACGCACACAATAATGGGGGATTGGTGGTGATGGTGATGAAGCAAACAAGGAATGGCTCACGAAATACAAGGACGGAATAGGCAACCAGGAAGTGCAGTGTCCTTACACAGATTCTGGGCGAGGGGAGAGCGAAGGATATGGCCATAACAGACCCAGCCAAAGGTTATCGTTTTAAGGTCCTTTCATGAGCCGGGCTTTTATTAACCTTCTCGCACTGGGTTCGTTTAGTGGGGCCATGCGGCACTATCCATTTATGTGAGTGGTCCGTGGTTTGCCACTTAAGAGATTTTAATTGCCATTTTCGGGTATGTGGGATTTTACTCGCGCTGATCGAGAAATACAAAATTATGAGACAGCTTTGTGCTTGAAACATAATTAAGAAAGAGAAGCAATGCATTTAATAAAACTTGTATCCACAAAATGGGGTTTCTAAAACCAATAACACTTGTTACGGGAACTAACTTGGGACATGGGAATCAAAAAGAAATATTGGCATATTGGGCGGTGCACGAGTAATTTTGAAGATTTTGAAAATTAGAGTTTACATGTCTTTTAAAAACTATTTTGTAGATTATTTTAAAGGTGGAGTCGGAATAATAGTTTTAAGGATATTGCGTTCTTTTGCAATAACTCCTTTCAAAAATATTAAAGTTGTGGGACCTACAACAGATTTAAATGCTTTTATACATGCTGTAATCATTTTTTGGATTTGGAAAGGCCAAGCTATATAAAGTCTATGGTGCCGATTATTAAGTTATTTCCTGTTTTTTCAAGCTATTAAACTCCACAATCTGAGAAAAAAGGGATATTTCGACTGTGCTATCTCCGCTGTAGCCTAAAAATCATCGTTCTTCCAAGGATTATAAATTTCTTTTAAAATCGATTTACCGGCAAATGGTTAAGGTAGATGGCTTGTAAGCTTGCAGAAATTTTACGAGTGTATTTAGTGAAACTTATGGGTGCCGCTATTGAAATTTACCAATTTATTCAAATTTCGTTACCATCTAAATTAACAACCCAATCTTAATAGCCTTTATGGGATGGTAAAAGAATGTTATATTTGCTTGTCCAGTGAGCACTCAATGACCAGAACTCAAGATTTATTTTAATTTGTAATTTATAAAATTCTTGTTTTAACAGAAGACAAGTTCATTGATTTTGAATTTTCGTAATTGTGATTTTATAGTATTTCGTTTTAATTTAATATTTTACGGAAATTGAAAAAGTAGGTTTTGAAACGGACAATAACTGCGGATAATGACAGCAACTGTATTTTTCAGCACAATGCATCGACAGATAAGAAATATAATAAAATATACATTCTTCTATACATACGACCTTTCTAGTTTCTTAAATAAGTATGTTTTTCAATTTGGTAGTTTTATTCACAAAAAAATGTAACTTAAATTAATTAAAAATACCTAAACTCGGTACAAATTAAATACAACTAAACTCGACTTTATAATTTTTGTAGTTGAATTTCCGAAAATAATTGTTTAATTTATTGTAACTTTTTACTTGCTATGGTCATAAGATTTCTTCTACCATTATTCTTTAGTTAAGTACGAAACGTTTATTATTATATATATAATAATTGTTGTTTTCGAACAAAAAATAAATATTATAATTCCACACTTCCTTTCGCTTCGGAAACCTGAAAAACCGCACACATGACACAACTATACAGCCAAATTAAAAGTGCTGATCTGAACTGTGGTTTATTGGACAACTTGCGAAGCTAAAATAGTATGGGATCGACCGCCACTATCCAAAAAACAAATATAGGTCCTTAACTAATTTTACATTTTTTGCTGGCCCAGCAACTCATTCGCTTTCCTTCCGACCCATTGAACATTGGTCTAACGACTGCGGCCAGACTCCTGCGGATCGATGTTGGACACCCACTGCACGGGGTTGACGTAGATGTTGGAAATGGTGCCGCGCAGGGTGTCGAATCCCTGGTTGAGGGGCACCGGCTTGGCCCGCTTGTCCACCTGCTTCATCCAGTTCTTCCAGGCGCCCTGCGAGCGCTGCTTGCGGTCCTCCTCCAGCTTCGCCTTGTTATCCTGCAGCCTGCGCAGGCGCTCCCGCTCGCCCTGCTGCTGCTCCTTCTTGTTGCGCTCCCACTCCTTGATCCGCGTCTTGGTCAGCTCGGGCGCCACCTTCCTCATGGGACCGCTGCTCGAGCAGGAGCTGGAACCGGATGCGGATCCCGATCCCGATCCCGAACCGGAAATCGAGCTGGAGGCCGAGGAATTGCCCGAGCTTGACTGGCTGCAGGATGAGGGCTTCTTGCGGAGGAGCTGCTGCTGCTGCTCCTTGCGGCGACACCACTCCTGGAAGCGCTCCTGCGAGAGCTGTTGACGCAGGGCCGCCTCCGCCTCCCGCTTCTCGCGCTCCTGCTTGGCGGCCAGCAGGTTCTTCTGCTTCTGGGCCGCCTTGCGCGCCTTCCAGTCCTCGTAGGCCGCCTGCCCCTGCCGCTCCTTGCTCTCCTCCAGGTTCTTGTAGAAGGTGGACGTGTCCGAGGTGACGCTGGCCAGGCTCAGCGAGGGCACCACGTTGCTGCGCCCGTCCGCGGGCTGCAGTGCTCCGCCGTACATCTCCGTCCAGCTGCAGGTGGACACCGAGGAGCCGTCGTGGAGTCGGCTGCCGACCCGGTTGCTACCCCGAGTGCTGCCCCTGGTGCTGCTTCGGCTGCCCAGGTCGTAGGTGCGACTGGACAACTGGCCATGGTCCAATTCCCTGCCAAGGTCCGACGGGAAGCCCCGCCTCTGGTCCTTGGAGGCCGCCTGCTTGAGGAAGGTCCTGCCGCTGAGGCCATCCGCCTTGTCCTGCTTGAAGAAGGTCCTGCTGCTGATGTTGTCCAGAGAGTCCTGCTTGAAGAAGGTCCTGCCGCTGAGGCTGTCCAAGTTGTCCAGCTCCTCGGCGCGCTGCGTCACCGTGGGCGTGCAGCTGTCGAAGGAGCTGAGGCTCTGCACGTCCTGGTCGAAGTTCATCACGGTCTCCGTGTCCGTGGCAGTTGCGTCGTCCGCTCTGGCCATCTGGCTCTTGCGCTCCACCTCCTCCTCTCCATCCACTTCACCCGGGTCCTCCGAGTCCTCGTCTGTGAAGTTCAGCATGCCGCTGTGCAAGGCGTCGTTGGCCTCCTCCTCGTCCAGTTGATTGCAGAAGCTCAGGATCGAGTCCGATTCGCTGCCCGAGTCGTCGGCGCGATCCTCTAAAGAGTCGTTGAATGTGATGCCCGCATCCGTGTCCGCCTCCTCACAGTGGTCCCCCGCCTCTCCCTTGTCCCCGCGCTCGGTCTCCCCGCCAAGGCCATCGGTTTCCCCGTCTGTCTGACCCACGAACCTCACGGTGGGAGCTCCGTAGGTGCGGTTCGTGTAGCCCAGCACCGACTCCGAGTCCTCGTCACTGATGTCGGACGAGGAGAGTGGGCGGAGGGTGTGCCGCCCAGACACCTGCTGGCGATCCACCACCGTGCCATCGCTGCTCCGACGCGCTACGAAGGCCATTCCGGGCAGTCTGCGAAGATCGACGAGAGTGAGTGAATTCAGGAAGGATTTCTCTCGAGTTGTCGAGATGAACTGCCTTGTTGTGTTGACTGAGTGTCTATAGATGAAATCTGAAAGCAGCCCAGCTGAGGGTTCCAGCTCGGATTGCTTAGGCTGACTGGTTTAAGCTAGAGCAGAGGAAACTGGTAACTCTGGGAACACAGACTGGGTAACATCCACGATTGGGGATCTACATGCGATTCATCAGATTCTTTAAAGTGTTTTCCTAATACATGAACACCATTTTATCACTAATTATATAAATTTCGTTACAAAATAAATATTCAATGTTTCAATTTTATTCTTTTTATTAAATTAGCTATTTTATGGATTGGAGAACAATGCCCATGGGCTTTTAAAATTGATACTGAGGGACGGACTTGGATATATCATTTCTCCTGGCGATGCTGATCAGGTATATATCGATTTTATGGGGTCGGAAATATCTCTTTCACTGCATTTTCACTGATATTATAATACCCTCCCATTAAAATCAGTTAAATCGTTTTGAAATCAGCATGTAAGGGTAAAAAATCGTATAAAAATTACAAAATATTTCTAAAATTGTATAATTTGGAGAATGTATGATGATAAATCTGCGTGATTTATTTTAAATTCTGATAAAGAAAGTATACATTTTTATACACCTAACCTAAAAGTTTAATTCTAATTTCAATTTCTTAGAACGTAATCTACAGATAACCTTTAAAGTAGGAAACAAAATCTATGTTATGAAAATTATTTTCTGAACTAATTATAAGAAAACATTAGACTTAAAATTGGGTCTACACAGAGAGAAATAATCAAGTAAACCAGAATGAGAACCAACTGCTCTCAATTCAAGATCAATTTCAACGTATTTGTCGTGAATAAATATCCCTTCTACTCAAAATGAAAACTAGAGAAATTGAGTACAATCGTATTAAATTGTATTTCATTTTTATAAGTTCAATATTAATATTTATATATAATTTTAAAACTCTTTTCAGCTGAGATACACATATTCCCCTGATTTTTTATTCAACATAGTGCTAAAAGGATTGTTCGTTTATAAAAATAGTCCCTAATAACTTTACTTTATACGTAGAACTTAAGAATTTTTGATATTTACTGACGCCTTCACTACTTATCCACGCAACATATTTCTTCATGGGTAATACAAGTTCAAGTTGGATCAAAATATTTTAGATAATGTTTAGAAATGGTGAACGTAAAGATCTGAATTGTTTATAATACAAATATATTGGCAACAAACGAAAGCACGAAAAAAAACGACTTGAATTAACTTGGAAGCCGGTTCACAGGTCCGGACTTCACAGACCGCTGGACCACTTACATTGATTGTACATATATCTCAATTTGAGAACAATTTCCTCATTTTGAGATTCTTATGATCAATTTAAGCATCATTTAAGCTCATATTGAGGATATTTTTATACCCTTGCAGAGGGTATTATAATTTTGGTCAAAAGTGTGCAACGCAGTGAAGGAGACGTCTCCGACCCTATAAAGTATATATATTCTTGATCAGGATCACCTCCTGAGTTGATATAGCCATGTCCGTCTGTCCGTCTGTCCGTCTGTCCGTCTGTCTGTCCGTCTGTCTGTTTCTACGCAAACTAGTCTCTCAGTTTTAAAGCTATCGAATTGAAACTTTGCACACACCCTTCTTTCCTTTGCACGCAGTATATAAGTCGGAACGGCCGGGATCGGCCGACTATATCCTATAGCTGCCATATAACTGATTGATCGGAAATGCCATAACTTTCGTGTTTGTAAAGTTAGGAAGTTGGGATTTTCTATGGGTTTTGTATTTGGCTAATCAATCCGACATGCCGAATTTCATAAGGATCGGCCGACTATATCCTATAGCTGCCATATAACTGATTGATCGGAAATGCTATAACTTTTGTGTTTGTAAAGTTAGGAGGTTGAGATTTTCTATGGGTTTTATATTTGGCCAATCAATCCGACTCACCAAATTTCATAAGGATCGGCCGACTATATCCTATAGCTGCCATATAACTGATTGATCGGAAATGCCATAACTTTCGTGTTTGTAAAGTTAGGAAGTTGGGATTTTCTATGGGTTTTATATTTGGCCAATCAGTCCGACCTACCAAATTTCATAAGGATCGGCCGACTATATTCTATAGCTGCCATATAACTGATTGATCGGAAATGCCATAACTTTCGTGTTTGTAAAGTTAGGAAGTTGGGATTTTCTATGGGTTTTATATTTGGCCAATCAGTCCGACCTACCAAATTTCATAAGGATCGGCCGACTATATTCTATAGCTGCCATATAACTGATTGATCGGAAATGCCATAACTTTCGTGTTTGTAAAGTTAGGAAGTTGGGATTTTTTATGAGTATTAAGAATGCATTATATGAATAATTTTGGAGAATATAATTTACAGAGTATTCTGCAAGGGTATATCAACTTCGGCTCCGCCCGAAGTTAGCTTTCCTTTCTTGTTACTAATTCCTACGTTCTAAATTTCAGTATTCGCGTTCTCAAAATGAGCGTATCAAAAAAAATCCTTTTTTTGAGCTTTAAGTCGAAATCTAATTTTAAAGAAACAATTTTTCTGATCAATAAAAGAAGTAAGAATATTTCCAGATTACTTTAAACTTCAAAATCAAAATATTTACACACAATTAAAGAATAAATTAACTACTGAATCAAATCTATGAAAATGCAATGAACATTTGTAGTATTTGGTAAAATGTTCTCAAATTGATCACATTAAAAATTCTTTGACCTTAAAAAATTTTTAAATGTATTTTTCTTTGCCAATTACTGTTTAAAGTTATTTGTAACCTTCAAAAGTAAGGTTGCCCTCTAATTTGATTTAATTTCAATACTGTATACAAAAGAGTTGCCATGGCTTAGTGTAGGTTTTTGAATTGCTGAATTTTCTGATAGTTAAATTTTTATGAAACAAATGTCTAATTCAGACATTTGGGGAAAATCCAAAATGTCATTTTTAAAATTTTGCTTCCTCAAAAAAAAGAACGGAGGCTTTTAACTCATGCAACTCGCTCTGAATTTATGAATATCATTTCGAAACCATAAACAAACAAATTGTTATCAAATTTCTGGGCTGACATTTTGCGAATTTGATATTTTTGTGACTGCGCCAGACTACTCGCACGTCCAGACCGAGCTCGAGTCCGAAACAAAATGAAAACATTTTAACTAATGACAAACAATCACTAAAACAACGAGTCGAACGACAACGAGATGGTTGTGGTTTCACACAGGTAATTAAAACCCTAGACCACACACATATCCACACACATGTGCGGGTGTTTGAGCGCAAAGTCGCCGGCTCAAAAATCGTTTATTATCCTGTGGCCCGGCGTGTTGGTTATTCCTTTTTCTGCTCTTGGCCAGGTAATGAGCGGCTCTTTCGCTTTTAATGAGCCCCGGCACACACGGAGATACAGGGCACATGCGGCACTCAGGTGTAATAAAAAACTTATCGCAGCTGGCTGTTAGGCGCTTTCGGTCGCAGCGTTTGACAAACACAAAGGAAATGATTTTGTGGGTCGTTAATTGTTGTATCGTCGTTTAGCTTCGTCTTGGCCCTCAAATTAAAACGGGATGGTGGGTGACACAATTAAGTTGGACCTTTTTTCAACGAGCTGCCAAATGACTTGTCAAAAAGTGGGCGTGGCTGGGTATGTGGTTTGCGTGTGCCTTCTATTATAGGCTCAATGTTCTATTTCGGGAATAAGGTCAAATGACAGTATGTTTGAAAGCCATTAGACAATCGTACAATATAAAATATCACTGAAAAGCTTTTGTTTGGAAATTGTTGTGTATCAATTATGTCATTACTTTCGAACATGTCATAAGCTTACAAAATAACATCGCCAATTTGCTCCGGAATTGAAATTATGATTCTCTTTCAACGCTTTAGTTGAATGCGACTAGAAAATACCCGTTACTTAGCTAACCAAGCTCTAAATAAGTCCGCTCCCAGCTAATGGCGCACTTCGAAAATTTTAGGTGGCGCCATCTCCCGAACTGCAGTGCCAACACCGCAAGCTAAGAGCAATCAGCACCGTAACCCCCGATAACAGTTTTCTTAATGGTGCGGTGTAATAAGTTTTTTTAGTGCGGTTTTGATTTATACCATGTTTCTACAGAGCTTTTGTGGTCTCAGAGTGGGCGTTAGAATGGGCGTGGCAACATTTTTAAACTAGTATAGCGCAAGTCTCAAAGCCTTAGCTCGTGTATTTACCGAGATCTCGACGTTCATACGGACGGACAAACGTAGACAAACTTCAAGGCCTAATGAAGTTAGCTATGGATCCTGATCAAGAATATATATACTTAATAGGGATACATACTTCTCAACGAATACAATCCGATGCATATCCGAGGTTTATATAAAGCTTTAACAAAAATGTAATATACCTTAAAGCGACTTCACAAATATGATTTTATGTGTATATGTTTAAAAACAATGAAACTATGTCGACTTGCCAATCAATTTTTCTATCGTTCGTATAGCAGATACAGTCGAACTTTCAACCAGAGAACTTTAAAACTAAGAGACTGAGACGGACAAGGTTATATCAACTGGTCTAGCGATAATTATTAAGTATCTGTATACTTTAAAGGGTAACGTGTCCTTCAGTGCATTGCAAACCTTTCACTAAAAGAGTGTAATAAGCATAGGTCAAATATGGACTAGGCTAATGTTTGGTGTAATATTTTTCATAGTTCCTTTGTTTTTGTTAATTTATTATTTTTTATTATTTTATCCGTAAGTGACAAAACAAACATTTTTTACTTCGAGCTGTTTAATACAATAGATGTGGTTTAATACTGTGCTAAATTCATATCTATTGTATTAAACACCGATTTGAATAAAACACACCGAAAAATATACTTCGGGGCAAAAGACTAACGAATTCTAACAAATGAGATGTCATTAGATGCTTACGTTTAAGAAACTACGACAATTTGGCTGCATCGGCTCCAATTATTATTATTGTAATTCATTGTATTTAATAACGTTGGATGAAAATATTTCCTTAAATTAAATACTACCACCAATAGTAAATGTCCTAAAATGTTATAGCATACATTTAAATAAATAAACTGTTGGATTGACTAAAGAAATTTCAACAAGTGGTCAAGTCATTATCAAATGCTTCAGTTACATATTTCGGGCACGCAACCAATAAAACTTTTATTTTTAATTATAATTATAGTTTTTAACCGTGTTTTTGTCACGGACAAATCCATTGAATATTGGGCGATTGTTCGCAGGTTGTTGGTCTTCGGGCGCTCGTTTAATTAAAAACGTGACAATTTTACCTGTGGCCAATGCGGCGCATATTTCATACGCCATGTGTGACCACCGACCGACTCCCCGACTGCCGCTGTTGGAGCCAAGCGAGACTACTTCCATTTGAAAATATATAAAATGTTGTTTACATTCATAACAAACATTTCGCGTTTCGCCGTCGAATGTCGTTACATTTCACTTTCGCCAGCCACAAATTTAATTAAGTGTATGAATATGACGGCGGTGGAGAACGAGGCCACAGGGGATTGTTTTTTAATCAATGAAGCGTCAAATTGAACTGATTAATTTGGTCTGCTTGTCAAATGAAACTTTTTTTACACTTTGTCCATGAGTACACAAAAAGGTTTTGAAATGCACGGATTTACGACTTCTACATGTTTAAATATAATCGACTTAACGACACTTAGCCGATTGTGACATCTCAATGCGACTTACCAAAAATACAGATGGTTTGTAAAGAGCGCCACGAGGAGAGTTGTTTGTATATCCAGTTTCTCACTCGAGGCTGTGCGTATTAAAGTGAAAAGAAAATATAATTATTTCTTGCTGTTTTTGAAAATGTAAGAGTAAATATGTGTTAAATCCGACAGCTCCAAAAAGCAAATGCCCTCTGCGATCTGTGATGATTTAACCTAATTAAAATGAGTGTAGCTGCCAGACAGAACTAAAAAGTCATTGACAATCTTTCCACCCCAATCTCAGTCTGTTCATCGACGTCTTCAATTCTTTGGCAGCTCACGCACAACACGATATGAAGGCTAAACTGTCTTTCAAACCGCAAACAAATCAGATAAGTAACTCCATGAAACGAAAAGAGAATCCGTGAGGTGGGAAAACAAAACCAGACAACCTTTGGAAAACGAAGCTACCGGGCCAATTTACTTAAGTGACTTATGCCCAGCGAACAAGTTTCGACAGTAAATACTTTAGTCAGCCTAATTGCAGAAAAATCTCACGCAAGCCTTGAAAATTTTCTTTACTAGAAAATTTGTAACCTAATTTAAGAAAACGTAGAAAAGCAACCAACGGCAAACCGAAGACAAAGCCAGTTTTTCTATTATTTTTTAACAATAAACAAACGCACCTCTTAACGAGTTTAGAAAATCGTAACGATAGCATCTTTGAAAAGTGTTTAATATCAACTTTTGTGACAAAACATAATGGTACAAATTAAACCAAAATGGTATACAAATTTTTCATTTTTTAGCTGTAAGGTAAAACATCTGTAAAGGCAAGAAGCAAAAAAGTTTTACTGCTGCGTAGCGAATGAAAATTTTTATAAATAAAATATATTTTGAAAATTTTCATGCAGATAACTTTTTTTAAACTTACATACTTTCATTATTACATACCCATAATTTGTAAAAATGTCAAGTAGGGATTAACCATTGTAACCATTCGACCACGCACGAAAAGGAGTTGAGGTATTTTATTCGGAAATGCAAATCCGAATTTGGGGAAAAAATATATTCGGGGATATATTTAAAAAAGTTAAAAAAAATATTTATATGTTTTAATATGGAATTTGAGCTTACTTTGCCATAACCATGTTTATTTCACAAGTGCGTTGCAGAACACAGGGCAACATCTTTTAACACCTACAGCATTATAAAATTCGAACCATTATTTTAGAAGTTATCAAAAATTGAGTTTTACAAAGTCAGAGACATCGGACATAATTGTATGTGGTGCCTTATGTTAGAGGCATGTTCTTTTAAAATTGGTTAAGAAAATAACGGCTATTTGGTAGTCGTGGCTTTGGACTGCGGTGTTTCTTCTTGTTCTTTATCCTCATCACTTTTAAACTTACAATTTTGAATGTGCGATTTCTAAATCAGTTTTCAAGCAAGGGATTTTCTTGTTTCTTGATTTATTACTATCAAATTTTTACCCCGCTGACACTTTGCGCTCTCGATGTCAACAACAGCGGCAGCGCCAGTTCTCGACTTCAATTATCTCTGGGCACGGCGAGCTGATTGGCTGGCAGGTAACTTTTCATATTTAATTAAGAAACTTTTAAACAATCGCCGTTGAAATATTGCCGACGACTTATCGGCGGTAGTAGAGCCAAAAAATCGTATCCTCCTGCTCGCAAACTCAGCAGCGTAAATTTGAGTGTCGCTTGAAATCTCGTTTGACATAGTTTTTGAGAGAATGTCGGCTTGGAAGGCAGACTCCGAGCAGACACAGTCAACCGCAGCACACACACATGCACAAATCCACATCGAAGGATGGAATAAAGGACGAGATGGTGTGAGGAGATACTGGCGAGACGTTGCAGTTACAGTTGCCCCTAAGCCGTAATTGGTTGCGTCACTGCATAAGTCACGAGTTCGCCTCTAGTCTTCGAGTCCTTCGAGTCCTCCGAGTCCTCCGAGCCCACACAGTCGCAATCACAGACACCCACACTGCATGCGCCAGTTGGAAAGTATGCAGTATTTAAATAAGATAAATGCAGGCGACCACTAATTGAATTGCTGACAAGATTCCCCAGCACCCACCCACAACCTGGCAAACCCGTCCAGATTGTTGTCGTCTCTCGGAATTTCGGTAATTAATAATTTCACGTAAGCGGAAATGTGAAACAAGCATGAAGACCGTATCAGGATCAGCAGGAGCAGCTGGCATCGCAACAGGAGCAAGTTTGCTCAACAGGCTCTATCTGATTGTTGTCGGGCGAAATTGAGTTCAGACTGTGTGTCAGTGGCTTAAAGTTTCTAGTGGTTGCAAGTTTGTTTAGCCATAAGCAGTTCATGAGCGAAAAAGTGGGAGTGAATAAAACACGTGTGTGACAAGTGCAGTTTTGGCAATAGACTCAGCAGAGATGACGGGATGCTTTAAACTATCCGTTCTCTTAAAAAGAAGAAGTCAGTATGGGGAAGCCAAGACTTTATGGCCTTGAAATAAACTTGGAAATCTTAATTATTAAAGAAACCCATTTATAAACATGGTTTGGGAGACGGCTATTGGGAAAAGGTATTAAGATATAATAAAACAAAAATTTTATTTTTAATAACTTAAACATTTAAACGTCCGCAACCCGAAGTTTATACATCCTTATAGCTATTACAAAAGATATCCATTCCATATCATCCATAGATTTCAAGCTTCAAAACAAGCTGATTTTTCGACACATTTTTTCATCGTTCCTAATGGAGATATTTGATATAGTCGTCCGATTTTAGTTAAATTTAAACCGTAGTCGTTAAAAATAACTATATCATTTTATAATTTTATTTCCCTTTTTCCAGATTGTTACTAAAGGTTGATATAGTAGGTCAATTCATCCCGGTCCAACTTATGAAATAAAAAAAAGACTTTTTTCTAAGTTTTATTCAAAATGCTTTAATAAGTGGGTTAGTTTGCATAGATATATATAAATAAATACATATAATATACGTTGCAAACTTTTGAATGAATTTACAATACCCTCTACAAAGGCATAAAAAAAGAGAATCTTTGCAAGTTAGTTCTATACTTTTTGATTTAAAGCAAGACTCTTTGTAAAGATTTTTATTAATTAAGGGCTAAAAAATAATACATATATTTTATTTAATTGTAATCCTAAAATTATTTTGTTTTCTTTTCCTTGGGTCAAACATTTTTGACACCAAAATTGGGAGGCATTGTTTGTTTCTTAACCAGGCAAATTAGTATTACAACCAATCGCTACACTATTATAAAAAGAATAAGTCTATGTATTTCATACTCAAATCAAATTATTTCGCTTCGATTTTCATCTTTTGCCGTGTTTAGATATTTCAAATATGGAAATATTACATTTTTTAAAATATTTTATTTGAATATTCGGAATAGATTTGAATATATCAAATATTTAATCTAAATTTATGCCATATTAATTTAAGATTAATGCATAGTGTATATATAAAAAGAAAACATAGAATTAATATGAATTGTATTTAGTATTGAAATTTGATATTTAATTTTTGATTCAATAGTATTAGATTTAATTGCAACAAATAAATAGAAATTTTCACAGATATGTGTTGTATACCAAATAAAGAGGAATATTGAAGAGCTATCTAGCCTAGACCTTACATACAAATCGATTGCCCTGTTGATGTAAAGATTAAGTTTATTTGATGGATTTAGTAATATTGGATTAGGTTTAATCATTTAAATGGCCTACCCATCAGCTTTTTCTTATTTCCCTTATAATTTGCTATATGTGTAATTCTAATATAAACAGCCCCAAGCAGACAAAGTGAGGTGAGTAGAGTGTCTCGGGCCAGACGACAACGGAATGGGTTAAAGGCCTTAACCCCCTGGTGAACACTTTTAACTGCATTCCCTCTCCTTTTTTTTTTGTTAGCCAGGAAAGAGAAAAATAAGCTGAAATAAAACTGATTTCATTACCTTGATTAGTTGGTCTCTTCAAGTCTTTCCCTGCTATTTGTCCGTTTGTTTGCCCGACTTTTTCCGCACACACATTTTGAAATGCCACGATTCGCTTATGATGGCATTCAGCGCAGGATAAGGACGGAGTGGCAGGACCTGATGTTGAGGCTGGGCTTTTGGCCAGCACCGCTTTGCATTCGCCGTTTTTTGGGTTCAATGCAAACATTAACCTCATTAGCATTCCACCGTGAATGGATACGATGGATGGTCGCTTCCCTTCTTCTCTTCGGGCTCACTTACATTGCTCCTTTTTATTTTTAATGGATTAATTTTAATAGTTCAATCCGATTTGTTTGTTTTCAATTGACCAGTAAGTGCCATTTGTGGCAATCGCTTTAACAGTTTTTACTAATTAAATAAAGGGCTCGACGGTAGACTTAATCATATGAGGTGGTAAAATACAATTACAATTAAAAAGAATATAGATGTATGTATTAGACGTTTTAAGAACGTTAGAGAGATTTTAGGAAAAATTGTATTATAGTTAGAAAATAAAACTGTGAAAGCTTCATGCTAGTCATAATTAGATCTACAAAAATTTTAATGTTTGTGAAACTAGAAATAGTTAATCTAATCTATCTAATCCACGAAAAAGGTTAAGAAAGAAGACAGTACCAATAATCGTTATACAGTTGGCTAGAAAGCGTAAGTTTATTAACAGTAGTCTACTAGAATAAAAAGATAAGATAAGAATTGCATCCCAGTTCGGGCTTGTAAAACTTTTTTTTACTATTCAATAAGGTCAATATGTCTTCCATATTGTGGACTCCTGACAGAGAGCCCATACTCAATAACCGGACAGTTACCTTTTAATAAAACCAAGCACTCCTCTTACTTTAACACGGAGAATTACCACTCAGATAACTTAGGATCTAGTCTAGTTTTCGAAGTAAGTGATTTACAGAGTTTACAGAGTGCTGCAAAAGAGAAGCAATAATATTTTTAAAAAGCTTAGATATAACGCTATTATTACTGTCATTTATCTTGTTACTTTCCTTGTAAAGAGAAATCCCAAATGATTCCTTTCAAATATAACGATATTCGAACAAGACTGCGTTAAATTAATTGAAGTTGAATAAATAGGCTATTGCCTGATCTGTGGTTGCCGTCATATTTTAAAACTATAGTAAGAAATGGTTAGAATTAGATTTACCATTAGTGCTAACAAAC